CATATACCTGGCTATTTCTAGATAACTTTCCATCATCATCATCACAAAGGTCCTCAGAGAAATCTGAATCAGTAGAACTAATATAACCACTTGACTGCCTTGCCTTCCAGCCATCACCTATTCCTTCCAGGTTTAATGATGTGGGGCGAGCAGGTCTTTATGGAAGTTTGAATAACAAAACAATCATACTAATGAATAAGCAGTTGTACATGTAGTTTGAACAATATTTACAAGGCAGTGCTTTAAAGACACAATTTGTTACATGATGAGATTTTTTCAAAAATATTTGTTATTAATCATACTATAGTTTACATAAAAACTTTATTGATTTATGGATGTATCTGATAGTCCTGCTACAGGTAAGTACTGTGATACATCCAGGGAAGTTTGTCAAGACACATACTAATAGATACCACCTCAAATGTCGACAATCAGGCTGTGGTCCCAGGATGCACATGTATTAGGCTGATTGCCTTCATTTGATGCATGAAACTCTTACTTGAAGAACAATGTCAGGTCAAAATTTCAGTTTAATTGGTCAAACCTTTGTTTGAACAGGAAACTGTGTCTGCTTACTCATCTGACRTTCCTTTTTTGTCAGGTTTGTCCATCCCTTGTGCCGATCATGTTACAAAATATATCTCAACTAGATCATTGATATTGTATTACTGCCTTACCTTTCAAAATTACGATTTTCAGCAAAACCAATACTTGACGCTGCACGTTGGGCATGTTTAGAAGGTCTTTCTTGCATCATTTCATTGTTATCACCACCTTCAACCAGGCTATCCAATGACTGCCCATAATTAAAGAATTCACATGAACTGTATGGTGGAGGATGCCCAGAATCAACAGACAAAGAACTCCCAATACCATGAATGGTCTCTGGTGATTTACTACGACCCGTCATTGATGAGTCTCCAATTTGTGAAAAGTCTACAGATTTAGGTCTGTCYTGTAKTGATGGTGTTGATTGTTTGCTACTGACATCTGGAAGCAATGATGAAATGGGTCTAGCTACATTTTTGGCAGCTTGTGGAGAATTTCTCATGACTACTTTGTCATCTCTGTCTAATATAACATTACTGTCAACATTTCCCTTGTTATCAGCCTCATCATCAAACAATGGGTTTATTATTCCACTCTCTATGAAAAAAGAACACAATACATTATATATTTGAATATATTTGAACAAAATTGAGAAATTATAAAACAAACTACTGTATGCACATTTTACAACAAAATTTTGTATGGCTGCCCAAGAGGGCCACTGAGACTACTCATCAGGTGAATCCAGAACAGATAGAAGAAATGCATACGGTCATACAGTTATCATATTACCTGGTGTATAGGCAAAGTTTTCATTCTGTGTTGCTTGGATTTGTTCATCTGATACACTTTCACTGTTTTCCTAAAGCAAAAACAAGTAATATCACAGGTATGGTTTCTGCAGGAATGAAAAGTAAGCATTACTGCACAAATGAAATACTGTACATGTTCATGTTCCTACTATTATAATGCACGATGATAATACTAGTACTTACAGGGCTTGCTTTCAGGACTTGATTACTTGACACATGAACACTTTCAAATGAATAAGCACTGTTTAATGTGACTTTTCTCTCAGGAGTCATCTTTTTYGACCATCTATTGAAACAAAACTACAGTCTAATGTGTCTGCAAGTAGCTGTAGCTCTCTTATACGATTACATTTTATATGTTTTTAAAATTTAATAAATGCTATAAACAGTTCTAGATAACATTCTTGATTATTACGATATACTATTAAAATTGAAATATTGAAGAAATCTTCAAACTTCAAAGTGAAGGATGGTCAAAGATTTAATATGCCATGAATAAATCAGTAAATGATAATATTGTGATGTGTGTCAGTAATAAATATTATAGCAGATTAGAACAATAAAAATGGCTTTGCATTATTCTTGCATATTGATTTGTTTGTTATAAAGCTAAGCACTCATCTATATAAAGGTGACTAAATACAAACAAACAAATGAACTAAGAATGAGTGAATGCATGAGTAAATTTAATGATTGAGTGAATAAACTGACCCATGCTTTTCAAATCGATGTGGTGTTTCAGTAACATTTAAACGGCGGAAGCGATGATGACCTACAAACATTTTCCAGACATACTTGGCTGTGGCATTGTCCTCCTGTACACACACAAACACACACACACAAAACAATAGAGTTATAAAATCATATAACGCTTAGAAGGACACAATAAGCCTTTTGCAGCTTGTGGCCATGTAACCACAGCTACCTTAACCGAGTAAAACTAATGGMAAAACACTTGACAAACAGAAATTGAAAGAGCAGTTTCAATAGCAAATAAAAATTCTATTTTTTTCTAAAGAAACTTATGAATTTGTTGTTGAAACATGCTGTGTTACCTAGCATATCAACCTGCTCTTTCCAGTTCTAGACATCATTTTGTGATAACTGATTGACTCCCAGATGCACAGGGCCTATTATACATTATTTAAAATGCAAATTTTGCCAAGGTTGTCGTTTAGAAAATAAATGGTTGTTAGTGCAACAGCATCAAACTCACCATTAAAAACTGGATTGTATCRAGAGTCTTTGTGGTTTCAATACAAAAATACCTCTTGGAATATGTAATACGTATGATATCTGGCCACCTAAGCGAAGAAAACACAGGAATACCAAACATCAAATCATATAAATGATGACTATGTAAGTTTTAAAGATCATCATAATTACTTGAAGCAAACTGGTGGGAGTCCATGTGAATGTCTTATGATTATACCACGAAATGTTGCACCAATCAATATTAATAATCCCTCTTTATCCTGTATATATATAAATGTATCAGTACTTCAGTACTTGAGCAAACCTTTAAAATAACCTTTCATTATAAAAATTGCCAATAATGATTGTTTTGGTTAAGAAGATCACTCTGTTTGTTTTTGTACCTTGGCAGGGTAATATTCATCTCCATAACCCTCTAGTTGCTGTGTTAATTTAACAAACTCCATTTCAGCATCAATAGTGGAAAGTCCACTGGAAATAAACGTTCAGAGAAAGTGTTATTAAATGCACAATCATAAACAAAAGTCCTTACAAGGTGTGGAGGGCTTAGGGATTGCTTTGCAAGGTACATGTAGTACAGACATGTGTGCAAGTGATTTAGATAGCTAAAAGKCTTTACCTGTGGGATTTGTACAAATCAAATATCTGCAAATAAAAGAAAATTATGTCTTGAGGATRATCTCTTTTTTAATATCTATTTAATGCAACACAGATAAGGGTAAGCATTCAATTGACAAAAATGATAAATATCAAATATATCCAGGGGGAGGATTCATGGGATAAAATGGGAGCTGTCTCACTTACATGTAATGTAATATATTCTTTTTGTAACTGGCCCTCCCCTTTCTATATGTATACACACACTCTAATAATTGACCCATCCCTGATATCATAGTCATATAGTGCTCAATATCAGTTGCTCTATCCAATTCTGGCTGCCAAAGTCAGTTCACATGATAGTGGCTGTGTGCTAAGTAGTGTAGTTCTACCCCTATGGGAGTGACCCTGGATTTGACATCTTTAGAAACAATGTAACCATGAAAAACAACAGAGAAAGGTTACTCTAATATAATWGAGTAATTTGTACACTGACCTCTAAATAAACTTCATCTCTAGATTGAGACAGCATCAAGTTCTAGAAAAAAATCATTATAATGTCAATCTCATAATAAAAGTCATTTTCCACAATACATTTCCACAACACACCTCYGGCAACAAATCAGAATTCCTTATGTTTGMAAAAGAACGATCGTCTACATAGTCTCCAAGTTCRGCTATAAAGGAAAAATAGTATACAGATGATCTTACTATTAAGAGATAAAAAATAAACTAAAGATTTCATGTTTTCAACTTATCTATTTGCTAAGTTCAATTAGAGTGGTATCTGCAGGGCAACACCAATTTTCTGCATTTTTATTCTGGCAATAATGATCTTTCTAACCTTGGGCTATATATGATGCCAGTACAATTGCAGCTTCTTCAGTACATGAGAGTCTACTTTGAAGGACATTAGACTTGAGYTGTAGGTAGTAGAGATGCCTGTAAAAAAATCAATAACCTGATAAGCCTGGATATTTAATAACACCTCTGTCGAGAGAACAAGGGTCAGCAAGYTATAATTACTATAACAGCTAATGTTTCTTTTGGACAATAGTCAAAACCTACTGACCTGGCAGGAATTTGAAATCTGTATGGGAAATATATGAGCTTTCATTTCAAAGCATAAATCTTATTCTGTTTTTTTTTTTTTTTTTTTTTTATAGACATTCACATGATAACCAAATTTGTTAGTCATACCTAGTGACTGTTGATTGCAGGCTAAAAACATCAGAAACAAAAAAATGAACTTGAAATTTAAGTGTGGCATCTAAATAGCCATTGCTATGTCTCTGGAGCTGTTTGCTAACTGGTTTGTCCAGTTCTAACCACCATTCAGAGCCTTTTGTATTGACATACTGGAGACCAAAGTATGTTATCTGGAAAAAATCACATAGATAACTTATTTAACTTACATGTAATCGATCATGATAATTTTTTGTTTTACAAAAGTATGATTTAACACATTAGGTGAAATTTCCTCCACAATATTCTTTTGTACACCAATATACACAGTCATTTGTCWTCTAAATGCTTCCCAAATTTCACAAGAACATAATAAGGATGTCAATTTGACAATACATGTGTGAAAAAATGAAGAAATGAAAKCAAAGATGGTTGGATTATTTGTAAAGGAGATTTTTTAAATACATATTAGGTAGCCCATCAAAGCATCTTGTTGATTAAGAATATAAGGACTTTTTTAAAGGACTTTTCAATGATAAAGAGTATACAATGACATAGGGTTGTCTAGRTTAAACTTTGTATTAAGGCAAAGGTCTGTCAGTGTCATTTTCTTACTTAGGGTTGGAGGAAGGAAAATTATCAATGTTAGGAAAAAACAGTACTGTTTTTTGGCTAGTTCACACTCAATATAAAAAACATRAAAGTATTTTATGAGTCATGCTTGCCACAGGAAGTTGTCTGGACTAAAGAGCACATCAAAGCTTATGCATGTGTAAACTGGTATCCTAAATTCCYCATTAATCTTCTTGCTCTTCACTTCACTCAACAGAACTCTCTCAGGCAATGAGATTGTCCATGGGACTTTAAAATCAGTTATAATGAATATACTAACGAAACCAGGAACAAAATACAACAATAATCAAAATAAACATGGGCTTCTTTTTCAAAATTTTGATCATGTTAATTATTTGCTAAAGAGGTGACAATAATAGGTTTAGATGCAATAATATATTTACTCAAAAACAAAACGTCTTTGAGCTTGAAAGAATAAATACACAATGGAATAGATTCAAGTGCAAAAAAAGGATTCAAACAAATCAATTTTTTTTTCCATTGGCAACTTCGAATTTAGTAAGCCAATTCCACAGCTATATAAAATTGAAAACCTGTACGTTTTACTTGAAATTCAACAAAAGTTTTTAAAAAAATAATTTTGACTTGCCACAGTAAATTAACGTCTAAYTCCATTAGCTGAGAAAGTCATTAACAATTGTCTGAGGTAGCGTTACATACACAGGCTTAGTTTGGTAGAAACACGGTGAGATCTTAAATTAACATACACACTTCAGCTGTGTCTTCTCTTGCACGCATCACTTCACAACTACAATCATGATGTAAACTTACATTGTATCACCGTTTAAGGCAATAATCTGCCATGTATTTCGAAAGTAAGAGGGAAAGTAGTCCGAGTTTTTTTCAGCTTACTATCGAAGTCACAGGATGTGGGAATAGTTTCTATAGAATGTGTTTCTGCTTGTGGGTCGAATAATTCACTTCGTCATACTTCTCCAAAGTCCTTACAAGAAATAACATTCTCGAAATGCTCGTTATACCAACTAAGTTTATAATATTGATTTTTATTCAAATATTTAAAATGGGTGAATCAAAATAGCTCTTCAAGCACAAACACTCATTTACTGTGGTAAATCCTGCGGCACAAATTTCAAATCTTCATCACCCCGCCACACAATTGTCAATAACCAAAATACTTGAAATAGTCCTATAAGAATATTGCGATTTGACAAAACGTCAAAATCTTWTACCAACACGATACTAACCTCTGAAAGACCTAGTTTCTCTCCTACGATTTCTAAACAACCGGCTCCCGTGGTATTCTTAGCTAAATCCAAATGTAAAACCGTTTGGTCCAAGAGTTCGACATGTGTGCGGCAAACCCGTCCATCATCTTCATTCTTGGATCCACTGGAGCACAGGAGCCCAAGAGGCATAGCTCAGCTTAGAAAACAAGGCTTTAAAGCCACAGTTAATCAGATAGAGCTTTCATTCAGCATTTGAGAGTATAAATATTTGATGATCCTACATAGTCCATGTTGTGTAGTCTTGGTCTAATCTAGCTGTGATAATATCAACATTAAATCAATACCGCAAAGCACCATGGGGGCATTCCAGAAATCATTTCACAGTGACAGGATTCCTGTCCGTGAGTCATCACACGCGTCAATCTACGACAGATTGCCTGGTAAAGGTCTCTTTCATTTACATAATATTCATTCATTATCAATATTTTTTAAGATTTAATCTTTTTTTCACACTTTGTAGTTTTAATATAAGAACAAAAATATTTCTTTGAAAAATAATAAACAAATTGTATCGATAAAAACTGGTAAAGTGAAATAAAATTCACATACACAGCATCACCACTTCTCCCTCTCCCCGGTCGTATGGAGCTGAGTGCATGATGTTAAAAATAAAATTCCTGGATGTCCCAATTTCCACAAGAACCTTTCCGATTTTACCGAGTCAAATGGTCAGGCCTTTTTAAGAAATGATTTGAATGACATCCCATCAAAACAAACAGTGACATTTAAAATGTTTAAGTCCTGAAGCTCTAATAACAGTTTGAAAARCCCTCTAGCATCCCTCTTCGACTTGCATGTCTTGAGGAGAGAGGGAGGGAGCCCAAGCAATGACTTTAAACCTATAATAGTTAAAAATAAAATTTTACTTAAAAAATAGTCTACTTTTATTTTATTCAGTGTCACAATGCATTATAAATGGTTTTAAAAAAATTTCCTCTCCCTGTATATATATAGTGGCAAGGGAAGAGACTCCGCTCAATGGGTTTGGGCAGGAGCCCATTACTATTAAATGGACTCCTGGTTTGGGCTATTTTTGGGAGCACTTTTTTGGATTTTTTTTTTTTGCCCGAAAAAGCGTTTCTATCGATGCCTCTTGTCCAAAATAAGGTAAAAAACGTTGATTTACACATGCTGTCTCAGATAAATGTTCGTTTTGATCTAATTTCGGCGCGAAAAAAGGATTTTTGTCGATCGTTAGGAGAATTTCGAGCGGAGTCTCCTCCCTTGCCACTATATATATATAGGGAGGGGAAATTTTTTTAAAACCCATTTATAATCCATAATAAAATGGAAGTAGACTATTTTTTTATTTTAACTATTATAGGTTCAAAGTCATTGCTTGGGCTCCCTGTGGAGAGACTGGTGACAATCTTTATGTCAGCGGTTGTTGTTAGGCAACAAAAGTCTCGAAGGACGAAGGCCATGAAAACAAAATGGCGAATTTCACCGAGATAAAACCAATTCCTGTAGTAAATAATGTAATTACCGATCAAGAATTGCTCTACGACAGCGAAAAAGTGAGTACATTTCGTTCAGTTTTTATATATTATTTCATGAGAATCTTAAATGAAGTTTTTTGAATGTTTTCGTTTAGCAAAGCAATGGTGTTCATACCAGATTTGTCCCAGTCAGCGCACAGAAGACACATAGACTTCTTCTTGACAAGCATTCCGTATGTATAGTAAAAATTAAATTTCATACCAAACAGAAATACAGTTCATAGTCAGTTGTGTTCATAGTTTTCATTTAGTCATAATCTGAATTTGTACTTTAGATTGCTCTTGTTGATCGTCATGTGCGAGCTATTGACAGACTCACCAAATACTTCAACCGTGGCTTTGTATCCTTATGTATATATATAACAAGAACATAACAAAACATAGTCATGAATAACACTAAAAACGAAATGATCTAAAACAATATTACAATTTTTGATCATTTCAAAGTAAAGGGCGCAATATTTGTGGAAGCGGTTGTAGAATTAGCTTAAGTTACTTATATGGCGGCACAAACCCCTCACGGCCTCTGGCGAGACACGAGCACCAACATTGTTAGACTTGCTTTGTAACATTGCTACAAAACTGCTTTTTTGGTGTTTTGTTGTGTTTTTATCAGGATACCAACTTATCTTACAGCAAAATGCGAAATCAGCTGGTCCGGTCAAGTTGACATATTAAGTTTGTTGTAAGAAATACCTACCTAGTACCTACCTACCCAATCAAGATAGAACTGGGAACCGTCAAAGAGACTATTAGAAATCTGGCTTCATGCACCTATCGTTGCAACAACTCTTTGAGAAAAGTTGATACAATGAATGCAGCATTACTGTTCAGCTTGTTTTGCATAAATGTAAAGAAGTTGAATGATTTTGTTGCAGGTAATAAGTACCTCACCATAAGATATAATTAGATATCTTGGTATATTACTTTGTGATACATGTATATTTAGAACCGTCTTTTTGGTGACAATGCTTTGTAGCTGTTGAATTTCCAACTTCAATTTAGTTTTTGTTGTTCTTAATATGCACTAGCTTATGAAAGATATTGAGTTCATTACMGACATACTTGTGGTTTGCACAGAGAGATTAACTCAAAATTCTGAATATGAAAAGCCTGTATGTCAACTTATTAAAGTCTGTGGGTAGGTGTTTGTGTACATGTATGTAACTCATTCTCAGTTAATTTTGTGAGTAAAAGTCACAATTTGTACACAYTAATAATTACAACTTGCAGCTAGAATGCCATTTTGTGCTTTGCTATTTAATGATGATTTCACTTCGAAGGCCAAGTACAAATATACATTTACAGGTGTAGAAAACAAATTGTGAAATATAGCGTCAAATTAGTAGTCGTAATCTTGTTTAAAGTGAGGTAAGAATAAGAAATGTTATTAATAATGCGATATAATTGTTTTTGTAGGTATCCATTTCTCAAGGAAAAGTCTTCAGATGAAGGAACATATGCAGATTTGATCATCCAATTGCTTACACAGCTTGGTACATTTTTTCTCTTTTTTTCCTCATTGTGTGTATGCCTCCTTTCTTTCTTCTTTTTTTTGTTTGCCTTTCTTCTTTTTTTGTTTGTTGTTTCTTTCTTTTTTTTGGGGATGAGAACTCTCTGATTTTATTATTATTATTTATTATCACAGGTAATCTTATCAGTGTGGCATCAGTGGAAGTAGGACTTGCCCTTTGTCATTCATTAACATCATTATATTGTCAACAGTCACAAGAGAAGATGATTGATGGTAACTGATTATTATTGATGTATCATGATATCAATTTTTAGAAGTAAATTCCATACATTATATCATATAGTAGCAGTTAATTGTATTCAGTAATAAAAAATAATGCATTAACAATTATTACTTAATTATACAGACTATCAAGTACCAAGCCTTCCATACATCAGAGGGTTGATAGAAGTCAGTGGCATAGCAAGAACTCTTGTGGAGGTAAACATGATAAATACATTGTTGTACATCATAAAGTGGATAAAGAAGAATGCCATTAAATGATGATGCCCTTTGTGTACATTTTTGTATTTTCTAGTATAGCTTAGTACTATAAAAAACATTCTTATAATTTCATATTTGTCAACCAGTTATAACATTTAGTGTGGCGTGGGTGCAGAAAATAGAAGAATTAGTACTGACAATATATTTGTAAAATGATTTTACAAATGTTTTTAAAATACCAAAAAATTTGGCCTTAAAAAAGAGGAAAAAAGAGTAGTTAAAAAAGAGTCGTTAACCAAGGTTACAAGAACTTACAGTCATCAGCAAATATGAATGAGTATTGTCACAGCTCATGCAAGCCACTAATTTGTTGTTCCTTTAACTCTTTTTCAGTCATTGGAGTTTATAACTGACATTACTCTCAGGGTGGAAGTAATGAGAGTACTGCAATATTACTCTTGTTCTGGTTAGTATAGTACCTCTGAAATTATGTGAAAAAAGAACCAACTGTGTACACACAGGCAGCCCATCTTTTCCAGGATCAACTGTATTTATAGGAGAAATGTTTAATCATATGAGGAAGTAGCTGATCCCATTAATCATAATGAGTGCTCAATACACATATTGTGTAGAGCTAAGTATTACATATAATAACGAAGAGGCAAGATTTGCTGTTACTCCGAGTTTTGTGCTTACACACTCATCGGTTTATCTTGTAGTTAATTAGACACAGTATTTAATCAGGAGAAATGTTATCTCTCAATGTAGCTCTCAACTGTGATGACATGTTAACAGTTGGTGCTGCTGGAATAATATGCAGTGGACTTGACTGTGAAGACCCGTCTGGAAGGTACTTTCAGTAACCTAATATTATAAAAAATTATATTGTGTTTGTTAGAACTGATATTTGGCAATCTAAGATTGTGCAATCCCAGATAATACACTTATTATTAGATTTTGCTTGCATTATTCTTGAAACTGTTTAATATATTTTGTTTATTACTAGGTTGATTTTCCTTTCTGTGGAAATTTTATGGAATTTTGTTGAGCATGGGTCAAAACATGTGGTATGTATACTGTCAGTAATGATTTAGTCATTTAATTCCATAATTATGTGATTTTCCTTTTTTTTTTCTTGTAAATATGAATAGTCTTATAGTCTTAGAGCACAATTCAAGGACTACTCACACAGACTCCAGGGGTAGAAAACCGGATCAGCTGCACCAATTTTTATTTAAYTTAAATAAGACAAGTTTTATAGTTTCCATTCAAAYRAACACTGAAATTTTGTSTGTTACATACACTTCAGGTTGCAGATCAGTTGAACTGTAAGGATTGCATCAGGTATTCAATTCAACTATTTTCTGATCATGACTTTTACTATAATAATCTTAATAGTAATTCAACATGTGTYAATAAGGGAGACCACTCCATAGGGTACTTTTGTCCTTGATAAAAACGTATGTCTTTACTTGGCAGGGCTTTGAAAGACAGCTTTGTGAATCAAATAAAGTATGGCTACAGTCATGCTGATAGACAACTAAGGTATATTATTACTGGTATGCAGATTGCACCTTTTGCCTGTTTTAGTACATAAGAAAATACAGGCTCATATGTCAATAACATCACATCGCTCAAGTAATTATTTTTAATTGACTGACATTTTTCAGGAATGACTTATTACTCTTTTCACTGTTAGTGGCAAACTCCTGTCCCAATGCTCCATTTGTGGTAAGAATTCTTTAATGATGCATAATTTACTTAATTAACACTCAATCCTGTCAGGGGATTTCATGCTCTACGAACCTGAGACATAAAAAGAAACAATTGTCATCAAACATGATTGTGGCATATATCTGTATCAGAATGTTTATGACTCCATGAGCTTGCATAAACTTATGACAGCATAGGTTATCATTAGAAAACTTATCATAAGAGATGCATTCTGCTGTGTAACTGCAATCATTATTTTTTTCTGACCTTCAGGAAACTGGCTACCTGAAACTCCTTGTGCTTTTTGCAACTTTCACAGAAGGTATGATATTCAGAGATGTACATACACCTGTATTCTGTTGACAATTACCATGATTATTCATGGAATATTTCATTGATTTATACCCAGTTAAAAGCCACAATGAACTTGTAAGGAATTTAAAACTATATCAGGTAAGACTAGTTCTGTGCATGCTATATATTGAATACATTTGTCAATGTATTATGAACTATTTCTAATTCAGTCTCAAGAATACTGGTGAAGTTTTTTTCTTTAAACTTGAAGTAACGTACTACAATCTAATATTGCAAGACTAAAAGAAACGGAATTTGATATTATACTGTGCATATATTATAATACCCACTTCAAAAACTCATACATAGTAGTTAATGAGTTATTAGGCCAATAGAATGAGCCTATTTGGTCACATGCATGGACCTTTATATCTGATAAAACACTTATTAGTATTCTTTATGTAAAGAATACTAATAAGGGTGACCTTTATCAGATATAAAGGTCCATGACCCTAGCAAAGGTCTMRGGTTTGAAACCTGATCATTGACMAATGCAGGATGTCAACTGATTTCAGTGAACAGCCAAGAGCGCTTCTATTTTCCTTTATGCGTATTCAATGTGGGATGACAAGAGACAGAATGCTTTGTAAAGTGATTCACGCATGATCAGTTTGCCCCATTTATCTCTGAACATATTTTGTATGGCAATTTCTCCAAGAATTTTAACGTATTTGAGTTTCAAATTAGTGTTGGAGTTTTTAAAACACTTGAGATCACCTTCGGCTAGAATCTTTATACCTGATAAAACACTCTCTCTCATTTTAAACTATATACATAAAATAATTGACTAAGTCTGATCCTGTTCTTGAATCTCATGTAGAATCATGAAGATTTTGAAATGAAGAAATTGTTGATGCACCTGATGGTTGTACTAAGTAGTGACCCAACATCTGTTAATGTAAGTATCGATAGTTAAAAACCATATTTAAATAATCTGACAGCTTAACATCATCAATCTTTCATATTAATTTCCTTCATCCTTATTTATAAATTAGAGTGTTCTTTGTTTGTTCTCTACATTTTTATAGACACAACCCTGCCTCAATTAGCCCATGCTATTGGCAGGAATGTTTGTGTCTCCAGATTTTCCAAGATCATTTTAGAAATTTACAATACATATGTGATATCATTTGTGCAGTACAACTTTATTGGTATCATTCCTATTGTATTTATAGATAATGTGTGAGGGACATGTACTGCTGTCATTGTTTTTCTATGTAAGATCCAATGATAACCCACCATCCACAGAGTGGTCACCAGCTCAGTTTGAAGAACTGCAACTTCAGGTACCTTAAGCTATATTTAACGGACAAGATAATGAMTGTGAAAAAGCACTTTACTTTTACTTTAATTATTAAAAAATGTAACATAAAAGTTACTTTGAAGTTCACAGCTAGCTGTCTCTTTGCATCCAAGCCTGTCATCTTGCTTTAATGCAAAAGCGCAGGCATTCTTGTAACTAGATCCAATGTTACCTAATGTAAAATCAAGGTTCTGGTTGGAGATAAATGAGTCTTTGATTTGATTGGTTCAAAAATTCCCATTTACTAATAGCAAGCATTTATTGTAGAGCCCACATTCTGTGTCTTCTTGTATTGTCTCCAACCAATTTTCAGTTTGGCTGACTAGGGACTGGGTGCAAGATTGAGTCATAGCTGCCTTTTGATATAGTGCATGGAAATAGATGCAGGAAACTATTAAATAATAATAATAATATTAATAATGAATTAAAATGAATCAATTTTAGGCCTTAGATGCCTTAGCTACATTGGCACCCTTATGTATTGATGACTACATGACATGTCAGGGTAATACAAGACTTCTTATGTTATTGGAATGGTGTGTTGGACAAGGTATGTTTTTTGATTGGTTGGAGTGAAAATAATTATTACTACCCTTGACCTTACCGAAATTCAAGAGACAAAGGAACAATCGTGTAAATTGTCCTTAGCMTGTGAAAGATCAAAGGTGTTATTTTTGAGTTTGAGCCTGCTTCGTCGAATAGTCACAGAGTAGCAATTTTTTTTAAAAATAAGAGAGAATGTATGGGTTTTGGGGATGCTGGTCAGACGTCACGTACATTCTTGTTATTATTTTTCTAGTTTTATAAGCTTATAAATATTTATTGTTAGGTAATGTGCTCAAACTCAGCAGTTATACTATTTTCAGTATGCTCTCTCTTCTCATGGAATGCATTTCTYGACTCCAAATGGCATATTGTATTTCTGACTAAGTACCAGTCGATTTTTGAATTTTGAAATAAACTGAAATGTACAAGTCATAAAATAATACTGTATTGTTGGCTTTGTTTAACTATTGAATATATTATGGTCTACAGTCTGTATCTTAAGTCAAACGTTTGTCAGATAGATTTAACTTTTGCAATGTATCTGATTTAACTGTTTTTATTATTTTAGAGGATTATGGTGGCCATGGAAACAGTTTCTATGGAAGTGGTGGCCGTGGAAACAAAAGAGCTCAGATGCGATATTGCTTGAGGCTGCTTCGTAGTATGTGTTCAGTTGGAGATGATCTTGTCAATCAAGACATGGTAGATCAAGGTGCTATAGATCAGCTTGTTGGTAAGCAACCATTTTTACTGCATCATACCAAGACAAGTGCTGATCATCTATGAGATCTATACATCAGTGATGTGGCATCCTGCTTGTTCCTTCAGTGCTGATGTGAAGCATAGAGAGCTGGAGCCTCTTGCTTTACAGTGCCACTTTGTTATAACAGTCAGATTTTTATGTCCCTGCGACTTTTCTGACTAAAAATGGCAATGCTGCTAATATGGTCACTTATGGTTCTTTTGGTGGCCAGATTAACTAGGTTTTACCATGTCATATATGAGAGAGTAAAGTATGTTACCTGAGGACACACTGTGATTGCACCATTTGAGGATTGAAAGCTCATTGTTTGCATGTCTCCTTTCCTTTTCAGCTTGAATAGGACAAGGACTAGCCCTACGAACCGGTTATGTGSTTACTATTTAATGGGCTAATGCCATTTATTTTATTAGGAATCCTTTTAAATGCCAGCACCAGCAATGACGACAATGATTTGATTGACATTGAGATGCAGTGTGACATGCTCTTTATTGTATCAACRCTATGTGAAGCAGATACACACAGAAAGGTAAAACATGACTTTGAAATGGATGGAAAATAAGCAAAGGTCTCAATTTCAATATCGCATCATAGACCTTCACTAGGTTGTAAAGCAAGCAAACACATATAGCAGCACTCTGTCATCCAAATGATGGCTTGCTTTCAAAGTGGGTAAATTGTGCATGCTTAATAGCGACTAAAATTACTAGTTACTTTGCTCATCATTTATCTCACTGTAATTCATGTTGATTTGTGTTGGTGTTTCATGTTGTGTATAGTTAGCCTTAGTTGTGTTTGTTGACATTACAAACTATCAAAAGGCGTGTTTAGGAAACAGGGCTTGCTGTAAACTAGAAGTTATTATAAATATAAGTTATTATAAATACGAACATATGGTTTCCTTTTTCCAGGAATTATTTGGAGCACAAGGTGTTAATGTGGTTTTAGAATTTTTGAAAAAAGATCCCAGCAAGATCAACAGTCCTTTGGGGCATCATAAACTCTTCCTGGCCACCGTGGACTGTGTATGGTTAGTGAACCCTGTTAACAACTTTTTGTCTTTTAGTCCCATATCTCAGCAAATCAAGAACAAAATAAATACACGATGAAATATGATTTTAACTACCAACTCTTATGTATTTATGAGTCGATTGTATTTGATGTCCCTTGCTCTAAGATTTTTTATATCTTCTTTATTAGGTCTTCAATTCTGGGATGTTACATTAATGAAGAATTGTTTCTTGAAAGTGAAGGCGTATTCTTTCTGCTTGATCTACTGGAGGTAATGACGATATTGTCCATACAGCGGATTTCGTATGAGTGGGAAACRGACGGTACTGTACGGTGACCGTAATCGTACTGTAACCAAATTCTAGTGCCCCATTGKTTCACMAAAATTSTGCAGGCCAGGTCCGGTAACTGTACGGTAACCGTGCGGTAACGGTGTCGACGGTGTCCCACTCATACGAAATCCGCTCTATTGTGCATGTTGACTATACCCCGGGCGGCCCAAGCCGCTTTCGGATATGTGCGATTTCCAAGTCCAGAAAAAGAAGTGACAAAAACAAAGATTTTATTGAGAAAAAGATGATTAATATTTTCGCATTACAATATTTATTGAATTAATCTTAATTACTCTGTTTAAAGATTTGCCCAAATACGATGCAAAATGTCATCCTGGGATGTTTGGTTGATCTGTGTGAAAATCACAAGGTAAGAATCTTATTTTTGGTAAGGTATGTTACTAGTTAGAATGTTTGATTGTTATTTTGTGTTTCAAATGGTATTTCTGGCTGCCCCTAGTAGTTGCCTTGATGGTTTATCTCCCTTGTCTAGTATGTTTAGAATTAAAGTAAAGGTTGTGTTCGTGAATGCTTGATTATTATCCCGATAACTCTTAATATTAGCGTATGAAAGTCGGTTCAAAACATCCATGTTTCTACTTGTTTTAGGGTAGGTACGTTTATTACTCGGGGGGAGGGAGGGCTGGAGTTTTCAGAGTACTTTTTCCATAAGAATGTGTGACCCTCCCCAGTAATTCTAAAACTAAACTTTTGACCCTCCCCTCAGAAGTTCCAAAAATACTGATGACCCTCCCCCCACCCCACACGCAGGCTATACCAGAGTTTGCAGAAAAAGCACGCTATTATTCACACTAATGGGATGGGCAAGCTACCTAAAGGCTAAAGATCAAGCTACCTAAAGATCGGTGCAGAGTTTCCCCATATTTTTGCAACATTTCTAATAATCTTTTTCTTGTTATCGATTCTGATCAAAGCGAAAAGTCATCCTGTTTTCCTTTTTTCTTTTTCCTAAAAAGTGACTCTCAAAWCGCTCGAAAGCAATTTGCTTTTTATCTTTCGCAAATCGATTTCCCGGATGTGCAAACGTGTAGTAGAAGCTATGACAAAATTTGCCGGAATCTCTGTGCTTTTATTTCGCTCTCCTGATGTTTTTGTCATGTGATTGGTTTTCTAATATTACCAATTTCGAAGATAAATGTTTGAGGCCAAATTTCGACGTTTCAACAAATATTTTGTTAGCTAGCACAGTATTGGTTTCCTTYGCTGGTACATGGATGAAAGAAGTAAGGAAGTACCCATTGAGAGGGGAACGTGCGTACTCATTGGAACTCTATACAGTATGTCGGTCCATGAAAAATCGACACGATGGTATAACATTTTTTCATAGCTAAAACCTAAAAAACCTACTTTCGAGTGAAGATGTGACCCTCCCCTAAAGCTTGCAAAAATGATATATTACCCTCCCCTCTCCCACTCCAGCCCGCCCCCCCTCCCCCAATAATAAACGTACCTTCCCTTAGTATGCTTTATTTTCAAAATGTATGGGTTTATTATGCAGTCTCTGGCTCATCTGTCGGCTTGGCGAGGGAAGCAAGAGACAACAATAGGGAAACTTTTGGTTCGTTTATGGAAGAAAGAAGAAGAAAATATCGGAGTATTACGTGACAGCACAGGAGCAATATCTGGTAACTATGATGACTTGCCGCGGGACTGGTCCAGGTGTAGGGATGGATTTTGATTTCTCACGGGGACAAGGCTTAACTTGCCGCTTGGACTGTTTTTTTTTTTCTTTCTATTTGACTTGCCGCTTGGACCGTTTTTTATTTTGTTTTGATTGTTTTTTTCATGTCAAAGAGTTTCTGATGATTGTTTTAATGAAACAATCTATTATGATTGTACCTTAAAAGTTAGCAAACATTTWAAAACGTACCAGAATTTGCCCATAAAATTATCATTCATGTAAAAATATCATTCACGTAAAAAAGAACGCCCCGCCCACCTTCAGGCAATACCCACACTTATGAGACATTTATCTTTAAAAAGATGATTTATATATAAGCAAATTTAGAAGAAGCTTATTCATTTTCATGGGTTTTGTTAAAGATCCCAAGAAGCCATTAATGGGTATGATTCAAGAACGTCAAGGCGTTGTAGCTTTACCTGCTGATCGTCCTAGTCAAGCCATTGTGGATGTCTCTGAGAACATGAGAGCAAAAATATTTTCTTTGTTTTGCAAATTAGGTAAGATTTGCCTACATGTATATGACAAAAACGTTGTTTTTGGCTTATGCTAGGGTGTGGTTACGCGTCATCCTTGTTAGTCATGTTTTGCATGACTAAGGCTCATGTATTCGATTTAGCACCGTTTCTGTTTACAGTAAAGCAAATCTATACTGAGTTCTATAAATCCTAGCTCCTGTTTGATACTCAAATACTGACAAACTAGCTATCTTGTGTCTCATTAATTGTTCATACATTGTTTCTCTCAGGGTTTAACGACGTGCCTGGGCTATCGACATCGGATTACATAACTGTAGCAATCATTGAAAAATATTTAGACTTTAAAGTAAGTTCATTTAATTTCAGTAATTATGAAACCATCACATTTTTGTTAGGCTTTGTAAGTCAAGTTACACAGAAACACTAAGATATATTTTACCAAGAATTTTGCACGTTTTGAACGTCTTTTTGAGTCGTTACACCAATGAACTGTCGATTCCAGATAGGCCTACTCCGGGCCAGAAAGTCGCCTTGAGTAAAGGACTAAAGGCGACTTAAGAAAAAAATGAGTGTAAATTGGGCGGGCACTGGCAGCTTAAAGGCGACTTAAGGCAACTTTCTGGTCCGCAGTAGGCCTCCAGATGTACTGTGAACCAGCTCACTTTGTACCRGGCTTCAAACTCAACAAATCTAATCGCGCGACATTGAAGACTTTGCAAAAAATGTGTCTATATCTGCAATTTCTATAATGTAAATAAGAATTTTTTAACATGTTTCTACACTGGGACAATTGATATACATTTCATTGAAGTATTGCACCTGACSAATAGAATGGGACATGTTTGTTTAGTGATTTATTGTGGTCSTTGTGGTGTGTAAATATTATCTGTTMATAATTTCTAGGTGGCTGAAACATGGAGAGAAGTCAAACTTGAGTTGGAACAAGAAAACGTTCGTCCTGTTTCACCAGATGTCGAATGCTTGAATGAAATTACGAAGATCCTTGATGAACGAGCCAATGGCGTAGCAGCTGCTCAGGTAAATATGTGGAAAGGAGTTGAACTGAAGATGGATGCAAATAGGTCAGAAAAGACTTGTGAAGGATATTCGCATATAAGTAAGGGKGAATTCTTCCACATTAACGCCATTGCAGCCATTTGATCTGCGTGATGGATTGTGGAGGGAAGGAGTGTGGACAAACTTTAACATACATCACTTTTTTTAATACAAAGTACGGTTTTATTTTAGGTACAGTTAATGCAAACACAACGAGATCAAGAATTRCTTGATGAAGAACAACATTACGAAATGGTAAGTAACTAGACTCTAATTTCTCTTGTTGTGTTCCTATAATAATCGCTTGAATTCCATTTCTAGATCAAAGAAAGCCATCAACAGGAAGAGAAAGCGTACAGAGATTTCTGTGATTATGTTACACGGACATCAGACTATGGTRCACTTGTGGTAAGTTTAACTGACTTGTTGTAAATATTTATGATATTTGAGTGAAATGAGAAAGAACAAGGGTTGTAATAAATCAGTCAAAATTCTCAGCTGTTGGTCACAACTCAAAAGATATTACGTCACGGTTATTACCTGTGTTAGAAGCAGGCGTCAATTTTCTCAGCAACTTGTCTGGTAACGCTGTTGCTACGCTATTTGCAGAAAAWTCGCACAGGGATTGTTTGGCTTTTCTTTTTTGGTTGCGTATTGCGTTGCACGATATAGAACTCAGGTCTACTCTTCGCAACCCATTGCTGGTCCTTGTAACGTCATTGCACCATATATATCCCCTCCTAGTCACTTCAGACATGGCCGATTTCTCATYACAAATGTCCGCTTTCTCGATTCTGGCTAGATCAAATTACCTCGGCCAAAAATATTATTGCAACAGAGTTGCTGGGTAAAAAGAGCTTAATTTTCTAAGCAACTTGTTATGCAACTTTGTAACAACACCTTTACTCCCTTCTGGGATTTGTGCAATGCATTCTGGTACACAATCGTATAAAATGTCGACGTAGATTTTTTCATTACCATTGCAGGAAGCGAAACAAAGACAGTTTCATATTATTGAGAACTCACGATATGAAGAACAACCTAGCAATGGGTACGTCTTGTATACGACTGTATATTTTGTTTATTGTATTTTACTTTATTTTGTTTTGGATAATAACAAATAGTGTACACTATTCTATTTACAGAGAAACAGAGCACGAAACACTTCAAAGTAACTTGCAGAGTACAGTGAGTATATCATTTACAGTCTTACCTTCTTTACCATATATTATACATTAAAAAAAGGCAGGCGGCGTGCGAAACAAAACTTCTGTTATGTTTTGGCGAATGGTAAATTGTCAATCGGAGATTTACGGCGGAAATGATTCATGGGTATTGTCGATTGAGGGAAAATGATAATTAATTTATACTGTAAGATAGTCTGTGGTAAACATTGGCTCCTTTTAGTCTCTATTTTCATCCAVTGAACCAAACAAGTGAATTGTTGCATATCAAACAGCATAACCATAGTTCCTTTCGGTCGTGCTATCTACGTTCCACAATTGCCGTTTTTCCTGACAAGGAAYTTGAAATGCTGTATACAAGGAAATAGAAAGTGGGACATTATATTGATTTCATCACTTTAATTGTACTCGCTAGGTTTTCTGTGGACGTCAAATTAATATAAACAGTACAAAACTCGATCTTACTCTTGCAAARAGTCTTTCTATCGACGAAGGAAGTGTGAAAAGGCTTTCCTTGGTACAGGTAAGGYTATCTTTTGTTGCATAGTAGACTTTGGTACTGCAAAAGGTCTTACAAGCTGAAAACAACGACCACCAATATCAATAGCTACCTACCACAAACACCTGACAACAACTCACCGAAACCGCGACAACAACTGACAACAGAAAACGACAATGATCGACAGCGGACATTTTTTCGCAACATTTTGTGTGAATTAGATTGCAACATCATGGAAGAGATATCTTTCTAATTTTAATGTTTTGTTTTTTCTTTTCCACAGTGACATTCTCGTGCTGGGATGCTGACATGTATATGACAGCTCCATTGTATATATATTATTAATTGTACATTTTATTGCGGCATTTTATACAAACTGTTGTAAATACGCTGATGTGGAGTGTGTATAGGTGATAGTAAACGCGTTATAAACTGCATATTTTGTTCATGTCTGATTTAAGGAATAAAAGACGAAATTCCGTGTTGATACTCTGATCAAAACACTTGAGATGTAGGGAGAGCACGAGAGAAGCGTAGGAAACCACGACGCGTTTTGATCAGAGTATCAAACACGGAATTTCGTCTTTTATTTCTTTTCTAAAATTAAAAGAATACGAAAATTGTAAAGAATTCTGACTCTTGATACGATATGTGGCTGTCGTCTATCTCTGCAAATCTCGAAGTAGCTTTTGTAGCTTCTAAAATGTTTGATAGCTCTTCTTCTGGGATATCATCCCAGAGGACATCATAAATAGGCATTTCATCGTTCATTGTTGTTGAAAATGAATGATAACAACAACAAATGCAAACGGCGGGAAAAAAGAAATTTTTGACTCGCGCGAGCGTGTTTTGATTTACTGTAATCAAACATGGTTTTCGACCAATCACAGCGCGCGTAGTATCCTAAATATTTTAGAAAGTCTTTTTATGATCCATAGTATAAATCACGTACTCATTTTTTTGGTATCATGGGACTAACTGGAGAAAATATTTATTAAGTGTTATCATGGATAATAAAAGCATTATTATTATCCATGGTGTTATCCAAGGTATTAAAGAAAAAAGAAAATCACTAAGTTCATCTGCAGCTATCTACGGCAATACTCTTGACATCCGTACGTTACCTTTACTATGTATTTGTTCATCTGTTCACTGGGACTGCTTTTATCTGCCCACTCATTGATCCATCCAGTTAACTTCAGTCGTACAGCAGTCATTGCTGAGGGGAGAGGGGTTGCAATAGAGGAAATGGGACTGGGGAAAATTAAGATTTTTGTCCTGAGGAACCGAGCCTCGGTGTAAAAATATTTTTTTTTTTGCCAAAGGGGTGCAGTATCAAAGATCCTCGCTACGCACGTTTGGATCGGACTGGCATATTCACCTTTTTTTAAAAACGTTGTCGTCATCAGGACACAGTCCACAGTCTTGAACCTGCAAATAATCTCGAGGTTTCTATGCGTAATTAATGTGTTCAAAATATATCCTATGTGTCTTAGATGGCGGAAACACAACTAATATACTATTGCGGGTATTAAACCCACCAAACGAGTCTCGCCATGAGATATTTTCGTTGAAAAATGTTCCATGTTTTCAAACCGTCAATGAGCGTCAAAGCTATATATGTGAATATGTGAATTATATATTGCAATCCCGACATTCTTTGCAGGCTAAAGACTGTGGACTGTGTTCTGGCGACGACAACGTATTTTGAAATAACTGTGTATATATATAGCACAGTCTGCGAGGCTCCTGACTATTATTACAAACTCGGAGTTGTCCGTGCGTGAAGGTCATGCCAGAGAAAAACTCAATGCCAGGGTCTGAAAAGCAATCCTCTAAACAGACAGCTGGAGGGGACTTTGTGCGCATCACACAGGTCTACTAATTATGGTTCAGTTTATACATCTAGTCGAATGTAGAAAGTCACTGTAATAACTTAATCTACCATTCAGTCTGTCTACTAGTGATTTTTCGAGTACCACTCACCTTAATTATTCATGCATCATCAAATTATTACTTCCTGTGAGTCTTGGACAGTTGACCATGCATTAATGATAGTTGAACACATAATTGACCACAAGCACACATGAAATATCATTTTATCCTTCCTCTTTTTATTAAATTAATTACTATTAGTTGCATTATGATCACTAGTGGTCAAAACGTCTTCCTACGCAACGACAGCTCGCCGTAGATGAATTACAGACAACATTAACTTTACAAGGACGTTAAAACTGTACGACACGTCGCCCTGATCCACACCTTGTCTTTGAGACTATTATCAGTTTTTCACATCACCAAATAGTAGACCTTAGACTTCGAATTCATAACCCGCAAAGTGTGACGTTTGAAACATGTATATTTGATGATATAGATCTATTTAGTGATGAATACATTAACCTTTCTGTTAATCGAAGTTCTGTTGTCCAATTTGGTCGTGCGTTAATTCAGTWAAGTCAAAAATGACATGTTCGACGTGGGCTGACGTCCGGCCGATATACTTAACCATGACGAAGGTCGTGACTAGTAGCATATAAACTTGATCCAACAAAACGGTTTTTGAGAATRACTCTTCAATTAACCATAAAGTATACGAGTGATATCGTGGTATAGATGATTGTAATAATTACTTGAACCAATTAAACATGATTTGTTGATCCTTGAAAAAAGATTCCAATYATTCAAGCCTTTTTATCTAGATTAGTGATCTTCATTTTCTACACAGCTYTAGAACCAATTGCATCCATTCTGTRGACATTCGGTGCATTCCTTCATCGGTGTTGTAAGTAAAGCAATAACCTTTAAAGTTGCGCAGAATTATGACTTGATGTATAGAAACTTTCCCTTATTTGATGACCTTGAAATACGCTGATACGTAGATTCATTGCTGACGAACTTCCGTCATCTAAAGAAATATGAAAAAATGCTTAATATTCTTTCTATTGACCTAAGTTATTTAGCTTTTACATTCCACGTCTTTATAAATCAAACCACAACAATGCAAGCTGAAATGCCGCTGAGGACAATGGCCTGTAAGAAAAAATAATGACAAAAAAGGCATTGTAATAATAATATAGAATCAGGCTACAAATAAGACAATAGACGGTGACCCAACCATTAACTATAGAAATGAAGTATACTATTTTCTTTATCTCTTATGAAAGAAGCTTAAAGGCTACAGAACAATAAAAATCCACTCATCCTTGGCGGTACATGACAGTGCTAGAAGTATGTTTCCGCGGCGAAGAATAAAGTAAGATTATTAGTGGTTAAGCAACGTCATGACTCTTTTCCTGTCTTTCATTCCGTCATAAATACCGCTTATGTTTACGCTATTTTATGAATAAGAACTAGACCGTAAAACAAACTCAAAACTGTCCTAAAGCGGCTTTTTTCATTGAAATTGTATTCCTGCATTGAACATTCATGAAAAAATCAATAGCCTTTAGAAAACTGCTTGTGAAATGTTTGCATAGGAGTTCAGCGCAATTGCTAGTCAGTCTCGGGCGTTACTGGAATATTTAAAAGTAAAATTGTAAATAAATAGAAAATAAAAGTTTCTCCCGCGGTGCTCTTAATAGTGTTTCTAATCAATTTATCATGACCTATTCCATGAGATCGTTCAATTTTCCATTTATTTTATTGGCGATTAGAAGTGCAGTAAATGCCAGAGCTGTAAATCAACAAAGCCGCCCCAAGAGTCTATGGGTATTGTTTGAATAAAGAATAGACTGATTAGAATATATGTTTATACGGCGCTGTGAATCTGAAAGTTTCTTTCTTCAAGCACTTATTATCACCTAATATTGAATCATCAACTAGTTTCATCTGGTATTAACGAAYGTTTTAATCCCTGGATCCATTCGAAGGTTAGTCCTCTTATTTACGTTTTCTGTTTTTACTTTTTGTGACAATCAATTTACGTAGGCACGTCAAGTTTGTGGCGATAAAGTCGGTGATGAAATCAAAACCGCTCGCTATTGACTGTCTTCGTTATTGTTTGCCAGTCTGGTTGAGATAAAGTTTATGGTAGAGTCCTTACAGACGTAGTTTTTTCATAGTTTCTTTTTGAACGTTGGCAGGGAACGGTTGATCGATAGATGTATAGTCGCTATGACTTCAAGCGCGGTCAAAGAGTGGTTGACGACCGGCTTTTCGCTAAACCAAAAGCAATTACTCTCTTGAAAAGGGCTCAATTCAACGAAAACCTTTGAGCCCATTTTTATGAGTCTCCTGTATTTTATCAAACAGGACTTTGGCCTCATACAGCTGTTTTGTATTAGTAGCAAATTATGTAATGCTAATTCAGCCCGACGGGGGAACGAATAGAACGTAAAAGTCATTTAAATCATTATGACTATTCGTTCCAAACGTCGTAAACCTAAATATAGTAATTTAAACGGATTCAACTGCATGATGGAGTAGGAAATTAGCTTCTTATTTCGCCAGTTTATGTGTTGTATACGACATCTAGCGAATAAACCTTAGCGTGACACCAGCACAATTTTTTGCATGATCGAAAACGTGTGAACTTTCRCAAACTTTCACTGGTTTTGTTGCTAGCTTCGCACTGTTAAGCCTTTTTGAAACCTCAAAGTCGTAATGTATGCTGAATTCAAAACCRCTAACAACATTCTCAATTATCCATATATTGCGATATCAGTTGAACTATTTTATTGTGTATGCCTGTAGCTATATGTAACCTGACTTTGGGGCTTCACACAGTTGCCTTTGTATCAATTTTACTTGGCAACTTGTGATACAATACAACCATTTACGATTCAAAACTAATAGTATCATCAGTGTTGCAACTAAAAAAGCTCTCATCTTGTAAATGAAATTGAAGCTCAAGTCTTAGTCAAAAGGTTGTGGTAATGTAATTGTGAGCATGTGACAGACACTTGAAAATGTGGTTAGCAGAAAAATTTGGTATTCTGATGAAGACACGTCTGCTTCAAATCCTTTTCCTATTGACTTTTCGCTGATTTTCAAAATGCTGCCGAGCATTGCTTAAGATAAACAAATCTGRTAGTTTCCTCTATTTCCAACTTAGCTAATTGCTGACAATTAGATGTAAGATGCAACGACCAGTCCATTTAACGTAAATTCGATTAAAATAGGCTCAATACATTATGTAAATTAAACATATAAGAGCAAGCGAAATGGCCGGATATTTACWTTACCATGTTTTGAAAATAACTGGATTTTAGTTAGGTGTTATGGTTCAGAGCCGGATGGAAAACGAAGTCACGCAATTTTAAGCTACCACGTGTAGAAAACGTGTCGACTCGCGACTTATCAAAGATAAAACAAGCTTCTTTTACTGGAAAACCATTTCTTTACAAGCGAGTGAAGATAAGGAAGTCATTCACGCATTGTACAAAGTCTAAACTATAAAAAGTGACATCGCGTCTTGGTGAAGAGTGATCTATCACTTCCGATTGTCAATACGGGTGGTACGTGTTATTTTGAGTTTGTTGAACTTTAGGGTTTGACTGAGCAATAGACTATTCGAGGGGGGCTTGCTCACTATACCTGGTTATCACGCACATCGATCTAGTACCATGAGATATATATGTACAATACATCGACTCACATGGTAGTTATTTATAACAGGGCAAATGACTTATCACGTGACAACCGACCATTTGGTTGAGGAATATGAACTATTTATCATATGCCCCGTATTTCAGCCCTACGCGCGCTCTTAAAAAACCTTGGGAAATGGTCACGTGATGGGGGCCGTACGCCTTTTCGCGACAGGGTCGTACTATGTACTTATTGACTGAGTGGGAGGGCCGTACGGGAAAATATTTGGCTCGAGGTTATGCCGTACGGACCGAGCGCAGCCAGGTCCGTACAAATGACTGAGAGCCAAATATTCTCCCGTACGGCCCGACCTAGCTCAGTCAATAAGCATTTTATCATATGACAGCGTTTTTTAATGTAAACTGAAAAATAAATAAAAGCGCGCGGAACTTCAATCCGGGAAAATACGGGTTTGTACGGACCTGTCGCAAAAAGGCGGACGCCCTATCGCGTGACCATTTTCCAAAGGTTTCAGTGAGAGCGCACGTAGGGCCGAAATACGGGTCATATGATAAGAACTCGTATCTTCCCGGCTTGAAGTTAGTCGATGCATTCATCAAAGAAATGGCTTAAAAAACGCTGCCATATGATAAAATGCTGCGCTCGTTCCGTACGGCATAACCTCGAGCCAAATATTTTCCCGTACGGCCCTCCCACTCAGTCAATAATAAGTACATAATAACTGTTGAACTATATATAAAATGTACTAAAATAGGTGGTATCCACATGGTGCAGTCAAAAGCTGATACTGAAATACTAGCCATACTTACAAGTACTGGCAGGACCGTACTCTAAAAAGTAGTCTATTTTAAAGGCTTTTTAACGTAGTGTTCACAAAACGGAAAAATGGTAGGAGCCGTAAAAACGCGTTCATCAAGGCAAATCATATTTAGCGATACAATTCATTTGCCACTTAATGCGGTTGAGATGCAGCGGTTTTGAATAGGTCAGTGCTTGCCAAATTTGTCTAATGTATCCTATTAAAAAAATAATGCTATAGTTTACATGTCTGCTCTCGTGAACTACGAGTTGATGATAGTCCCTGCAGGTCCAAGTCCACCGTTTTTTGTTTTTTGTTTTTTGTTTTGTTTTTGTTTTTGTTTTTTACATCAAAGGCTGTGGCAACAAAAGGCAAAAAGGCGAAATGAACAATAAAAAAACTGCATTTCCAAAAGGAAATATCATGACCTAATATCCAGTAAAAAAATAGCCTGATCGGTACATAGTTAGTRCTATGTCGGCATGTGACTAGAACTAATTTGACTTTTAGTATACTACTTTGTCTATTTACCTTGAACTCTGTCACAGGCCGTAGGCTCCCGTAGGCTTTAATTTAGGCTCGCGTCATGAAAAAACGAACCCCCCCAATTTGTAAGGCGGCAACCTACGGGCCTGTGTCGCCCAAGCATTTCCTTTGTATAATGACTTTCCTACAGTCTTGTGATTAAGCAAACTTTAGACCTTATCCGTCGAGTTGTTTTGTCTGATAGTCCTCACGTTTTAAAATTATGCTTAGCAGGTCGTTTCTATGGCAGCAGCGCGCGTCCGTCTTTYCTTCCAAGTTCGATAGTTTCAACATTGATGTCATTGTTCATAGAGGAAACCAAAATGACATCTAAATATAGCGGAAAAGCTACTATGACTTATTTTTAAGTGGGAAGATTTGGTTCGCTTGTGATCACATTCTTATATGCCTATCCAAAATGAACTTTTATAACATTGGGACTCACATGGTATTGCTCCACAGTAATTAAAAAGTGGACAAAGTGGACGTTGATGAAGAGGATAAAGACAATGTTTGTGTTTGCTATCTCATACAATGTCACGACCAATTAGCAGCTAGGGATGGGACATTAGACTTTTTGCGAGGGTTGAATGATTCTTTACGCTGCAGGCCATAATTTTTTTCGCCTTTTTAGTCTCATGACCGTGATTTGCAGGAATTTTTTTTGAAAAAATTCTTTTAGAAGGTATGGAGGAATCCTGAAAAGATTTTTCTCRGTGCAGATAGAATTGATGATTCATTCTCGATGACATGCAATAGTCCGTGTTTATAGAATGTACTTTGACAATTGCCGTTTGCTAATGTGAAATTGATCGATTGTACAAATAATTAATTTTGCAAAATTACATGCCAAAAGCCTCAAAAATGAACTTTGCTATCTCAGTTTGAAATAAATTTGTTCTGGAACTTTTGCTGAATCTAGTGATCCGTCCCTCGGAGGTCTAAACTTGCTTGAGAATTAAAACAGCAGATTTAAAAAACAAAAATCACTAACGAAATATGATGCAATTCTTGTTTAKCTGAGGATGCTCAATATTTCTACTGTTCAAGGATGCAAAGAAAAAGTGAAATATTCAATTTTTTTAAGCAAAATTGTGGACCTTTTGGACCTGTGGGTGTGCCGCGGCACCTGACGCATACCCTTTTAGCTCCTRCAAAGCAAATTATTATTTTTGGMGATACAATTCGCTATTTTAATCAGCTGTATCCACTTGTTTTGCGCTTCGAGGCGCAGGGAAATAGGTTGCCAAATTTGTCCATRAATATACCCCCAAAATTTGATACTAGTTTAATCCCGGTATCGTGAACTACGAGTTGAAAGTCCGGACTAGCGGCTGTTTACGGCCCCATGGACTATCAACTTGTAGTCCACTCGACCTCGTTATCTGATTTTGAAAATATAACATCCARTCCTGATCACATAGAAAAATCTTTCTTGCTGTCACGGCCATTATTTGAAAAACCTTTTTTCACGAGAAGTCTCTCTGTTCAATATTGTTCTATCGATCAACATAAATTATACTTTCAGTTATGCCTCTAGGCTCTGCAGTCTAGCTCAAAGTCTTAGTTTTTTTGGTTCATTGCCTTACATGGCGATGAAAAATGAGGAACAGATCAACAAACAAAAACTAAGCTCAAAAATCGAAATGAAAACACAACAACTAACAACATCAAACTCTATGAAAAAAAATAAACCGCAAAAAAAAAATAAAGGATAACAAAACTAAAAAGAGAAAAAAAAAATTATTACAACCCGAGGCCGGTTGTACGAAGGAAGGATAAACGTATCTACACCATATACAATTTGTATGGGATTTTATCCTCTGCCTAAGGGTTTGACCAGTTGATAGTGCTAGTCTGGTYGTCATGTGACTAGAGCTACTTTGACCTATAGACTACTTTGTTGATCGGTCTTGAACTCTGCCGAACAAGAATACCCTTTGTATTATGACTTTCCTATAGTCTTATGAATTCAAGTCAACTTTTGACTTTGTTCGTCGAGTATGGATGCTTTATTGGATAGTCCTAAGGTTATTTCCCTAGCAGCAGCAGTGCCCCCTCCTTCCTAGTTCGAAGTTTCAACATTGGTACCATTGTTCTCACAGAGGAAACCAAAATAATGATTTAATTGTAAAGTTAATTAAATGCCTACATCTAAATATAGCGGAAAACTGAGATACTATGACTTGCATGGCGAGAAGATTTTTTTTCGCTCACGATCACGTTCTGAATTTGRCTTTGGCGGGCCCGGGAAGGATATAAAAAACAGTGGTGTTGGTGTTTAGAACCATCAAGAACCAAGGAGAGGTGCTGGACTCCTGCTGACAGTACTCAGTYGTTTTACAGCTTTTTGAAAACTGTCTAGCCATTGAACGTATTTATACATGAATATTGTATGGCTACAATGGCCGCTTGAGRTTCTCTTGTTCCGTTTAACTTCTCCTTTATGTCTTTATGAATGTGAATTCATTAAGTGAACGCACCTAATCCATTAAATTAACGTTTCACGGATTTAGTGTGTCAATTCATGCGTTGATTTACACAGGGAATGTGATCTTCAGAATTTTACCTTCGCCGTAGCGTCCAGTTGCTTGCCCACTCTACTTGAAATGTTTGAGGTCATTGACGGACACTATAAAGAAGTAATTTGGACTACAGGGAGTCGGAAGTAACTCCATTMATGTTATTACTAATCATTAATTAGGATCACTTGAAGATCTCAATGACCACATCCAGCATGCGTAGGTACTGAAATCTTTTTGGTGGATAGCTTTCTCTTCACAAATTCTTCTGYTCATAAAACTGATGAATGACTGTAAAGAGATAAATGGCGTACCGCGGGTCACTAAATTCGGTCCCTTGACTTTTCGCGGGTATGAATAGCCATCTTCTTGATAAAAATGCACAGATCGTGATARTTTTGTTACCAGTATGACATAGTTAAGACGGTAAAGGTCAAAAATATTTAGAGAAGAAAGCTTGCAAAATTAAAAAAAATCTTCATGAGTAAGCCGATCATTTTTCACTGAAAAAATGCACATGRTATGCGTCTGGTAGGCGCACTTTTTGGAATATGCCTGGGAACATTAACAGCTATAATTACAATGAAATTATTAAAGAATTGGAGATGAATAGTGGAATATTGCCAACCCAACGAATGCCCAAGGAAGCGGGCAGGGGAAAACGTCTGCTGCTATGTCGGTGGCCAGACAAAGGGGCGTGGTTTCTGAGGGCGGCTGTTTTTTCGTTAAAACTGTTGAGTAGTTGAGTAGTTGACCTTTGTGACGAATGTTTTTGGACCAAGGATGTTGTTTCACTCACAGAGTCTGTTGACATCAGTTCGGTTGGAATGTCAGTAGCTCAATTTCTACGTAAAAAGAAAACGCCGGCGATATGCCGCCCCATCTTATCAAACACGCATTTTTGATGAGTAACATTGATAATATCTACAAACAGAAACTCATAAGGGATCCCCTTATGAGTTCTGCTACAAAACAACACTATATGTCTTTTTGAGCGTATCCCGTTTCATATCAGTCTTTGCCGATTGACTTCAGCACTCTTTCTAATTCATGTGTGATTTTTCTTTTTACTTTTTTTTTTCCCGCGTTCAAACCGACGTATTGTTCATACTGAGAGAATCAGTGTTATTCTCAACTTTAAATATCGTCACCAAAAGAAAGAAATTTTCAGCCACTCTTATCTAAAACTAAAAAGAAAGAAAGTTAATTTGATTGAATAGCCAGTTCGTTTTTTCATTCTTTATAGATTGTGGTTTGGCCTAGGTCTTTAAGTGTCATCACTCTTCTCAGCCGCGTCTGACATTAAAACATACTTTTATTTTGAAAACGTATAAAGAAGTTTTCAAAAGGGATCCATTTCACAGAATCAGCAAAGAAAAAACTGATTAAAAGAAATAGGACAAGGCCTATCGTGCCAGTCTAGTAGGTCCACAAAGGCATGTTTCGGAAGCGACCTCGCGAGTGTTGACGCGGGAACATAAAGATGTACGTGTGTTCAAATAGTCTGAGAACAAGAAAGGGATTATAATTTGCCAGGAGTGGAGCGCTTCCTCTCAGCTTCGGATCTGACTGACTGAACTTTTAAACGTCTTTGTTCTGAGAGATTATCCGTGACTACCAAGGAGTTTGTAACGTTATACAGACGGCGGATGTTTTTCATTTTTGATTCACCACAAGCTCTGATATATAGGTTATCTTAAACAACGAGCCACAGATTGGYGATCCTCTCTAATACGTACATTATACGAGCCAATTAATTACAAACAAATTCTCTACAGATTAAAAAAATCTGAAACAATCTTTGATATTCAAACTTTAAGCATGCTTGTACACCTTCTTTTTTCGTGTAACACTTGATATCTCGAACAGCAGGATTACATGATCTTGTCGTGACATTTTTCAGCCATTTTGTTTGTACGGTTTCTTTCAACGGGGCGTCGTCAGTTCACTGTATGATATCTTTAGCAGCCCTGATTCATTACGTAGTTATTAACCAATAAGATGATCTCTTAAACTAGCGGYTCAAATCAATGGTCAAAGGCAGCTTTTGATCACTTTTCAGATGAATAGAAAACGACAAAAGCTTTATTTGTATCCACGGTGATGCGGGGTTTTCCCTCGGGCTCTGTAATTATTCATCGATAGACTTTTGTTGTTTTTGTTTAAACAAAAGGCAAATAAAACYCTACTAGCTTTAACTATCGTTTTCATCACGGGAGATCTAAAACTCTGAACAAATTATTGCTATGTGTATGTCTTAACTTAATATTTTAAGTTTATGGAAAAAGCTCTCAGACCTGTAGGAGCTCACGGAGAACGCACTCAGGTGTTCGCAAGCATACATTACCCCACTTGACCTTACTACTAACATTCCATTCTTGGGTAAAGTTACATGGAATGTGTACAGCACTTTATCTTGATTCACAAGCCGTATTTTCATATAGAAGTGTTACATATCATAATGTTTGTCATTCGTGAGCAATCAACTTACCTTATCATGTTCGACCTTCAAATCTTTATTAGAAGCGAAGTATTAATAAGTTTATAATTCATATTCCGATTATTTATAAAGCTCTATAGGTGATCTAGCACGAAAGGCAATTAGTTGCTACATTTATAGCGGTCGTTTCTCAGTTAAATGACAGAAGGTATCATATRCGTCGATATTCAGTACATTAAAACACTTCATTACAATTATGGGTGACGGTAGTAAAATTTGATTATGTAGTATCTCGGTTTTTTTCAAACAACGACAACTCTATTTGACCATGTGTCATTTGTTTATCTTTTACATCAGTTGCTGTACCTCTCTTTGTCACGCTATCTTTCAAGTGTTCGAGCGAAAATAATCGATATAAAAGTATGCTGCGAATCAGGATAGACATTTTGAGTACATTAAAAAGTATTATAAAACTATGTCTTCTTAAAAATTTGGGTATAAATGAATGTTCTACTAGATAATACTCACACATTGCTAAGCTTTCTCCCCGAGGATCGTGCAATCTTGATTAAGAACTTTATCAGAAAACTGACATTACAGCACGCAAAACTGAATAYATTAGCATACATTATAAATATGACGTGACGTCACACCGGTCAGGAACTATAACCAAGATGGCTTCCCCAAGCCAGAACTGTCACAGAAAGGCAAACAGAATCAAGCTAGCAAAACTATAAGAAAACATTATGAATACACCAGAAAGGTGGTCAACCGCCTCTTCTGATAGTGATCTTTCCTCGATATTTTTTACAGGTAGTTATGCAAGAAGTCTTTTATGAGTTGCCAATAAGTTTTTTTGTTTAGAAATTTAACATCAGTTGGAGGTTGTGTGTTGTTTGTCGAGTGCTCCATTATGTCTGTACTCTGTACCATGTAATTTCTATAGGTGATATACGACATCGAGGACTTAGCGCGAAGGATCTGCAAGAACTTCTTCTAAAACAGCTAGCGTATCTATCGGGTGAGTCGGAATTTGTTATTTGAACCGTTTGTGAACTTTATCGTACGCGGCGCGACGCTAAACGCAGTAAGCTTACTAGTTCATTTGTATATTTCCACAAGCTCAGTCACGGAACAACTATTATTGTAAAGCGGCATCAAAATAGTTCATCTTAAATCTATTCTCTGAGTAGATAAATAAACAATATGTCTGCTCGCTGAGTTCTWTGAACAGAATAAGTTTTAAAGAGTTAGAACATCCAAGACCACTCGTTCACCACGAATTATTTGAAACCACAATTATTACACTACCAATGCATACATATACCTCAAACGTCCTTAAAAACAGGCTAATTATAAGTTTGTTATCTGGTTTGAATTTATCAGGAGGAGTTGATCGCCGAGGAGGCCGAATTATAACCTTTCCCTCGCACTCATTTGGGTTAGACATTCTAGACGAAGAACATATCGCAAAAGTTCTGTGGTATCTAGCTAATATCCCAAGGTTTGTTGACAAATTATTACAGCGGGCTAAATCAAAACTATCTTGTCGTTTGCCAAAAATAAGTACCCACCTAAGATTAAATACAAAAGCTATATTTAACGTTGTTATTATAACTGGAATTACTGAGTGGCTGTCTGTAGTACAAATTGGGTAGCTGTTTGGACGAGTTTGAAATGTTGATTCAAGCTATAAAGCCTTTGTCATTGCTTTGTATTCACGTAATATACGGTCACTGATAGGCTGTGTATTCTTAGAACAGAAGGGCTTTCCGCTCATCGTTGTACTGATAACAATTTATCAGACGAAAAGTTCATTTAGGGGTTAGTATTTCGTTTCAATTCGTCGAGTTTGATGTCGTTATGCTACGATGCGCTTGCCGATACATAAAGAACTGTTTGCGGATTGTGCAAGCACACAGTGCCCTGTTTAATTTTACTCATAAGACTTATAAAAGGATTTTTGTTTTAGCTTCATTTTATTTTCTAAATCACATCAAACTAGATTTAGGTCTTCTTTTGTCGACTACAGATTTCACAATTAAGATAACTTAAGTAAAAATTCGGAAAGTTATGTTGGATCATAAACTTAAAACTYTCTTTTGTACAGTCATCGATATTGGGATTTCAAAGGATTATCTTTGTGAAACCACCTACGGGTTGATAACCCGTGAATTGATGTATCAGAACAATCGACGTTGTCAAAAACAATATGACAATTTCGAATCAAGCTCGATCGCATGGATCAATATATTTAAGTACAAGATACTTGTAGTGTTATCAGTTATTTGAATTTTGTTGATCTCTAACTTTTCTTGTTCAGGATATGTTAAGACATTTTCGTGAAAAAAGATCCAATATCTTGTTTGTCTATTCTTGGAGTGTAGTGCCACCTTAATTAACCCCCGTAGAGATGTCAATGTCACAATGTTATTGACTGGTGGCATCACTGTATTKATGATTATGGTGACAGTACTATAGGTCTTATAAGGCTTGGAAAAGTCCAAGTAATGTCTACTTCAATACAGGCTTTGTAACATATATGATGCCAAGGTTAATCACATCATTAGTGATGGTAGACCACAGTAAATCAGACACTATATAACATGCAACAGTACAATGTACAAAATGTTAATCCTTCTCAATTCCTTGACTATCATCTATAATCTGTATTCTTAAGTCTATGTAGAAAGAAAATAATGGTTAAAAAATTTGGAACTATTTTTTGACAGCATTTTCATTCAATCCATTTGTACTCACTTTTTTTAAATAGTTGCTTGAAGTGCTCAATTATAAAATGTATTTTTACTCCTAGCATTCAAAAGAAAAAAATCAATGATTAATTTAAGAATGTTATTGTGATTACTTTGATGATTAATAGTTGTCTCTTTACTCCTAAAATGTTTGTCCATTCCATATGATAATAGATTTGATTAACCTACCAAATTGCAGGATTAATAATATATCTCTGAAGGTTATTGGTCAAGTTGTTGAGCCTCACATGTGTTGAAATTTAATAAGATTACTGCACAGGCTGTTTTCTGCTTATTATCATTCACCAACCATGCAATTTCTTTGTGTTAATTAAAATTGAAAGCTTTTGTCRTCTAGTTAACAGACTGCTGCTCACATGTCAGAACACATAGGTGATCATTTCCAGTAATGATGGTATTTGGGGGGAAACGGTTTGCTAAATTATCATTTATAATTCATTGCATAATTATCATAATTGACTCAGAAAGATAAACATAATTATAGGCTTTCAATCCAATAATAAAGCAGCTGGTCTACTATAAGGGTAATTACTTGTTGTGGCATTACTCGTGCAGTTTGATACTATTTTGTTACATTCTTAAAAATAAAGAACTTTTTTGTAATAAAAACAGCTGGCCTATAGCTTATGACCATGCTCTTTAATATCATTGTATTAACATACCATTCTATTTTTAATATCAGTAGTTTGTGGTCTTTGTGGTTTTTAAAATCACAGTAAATTACTTAAAATATAGGGTATCATATTATTTTGAGTTTTAMATTGTATCTAAAGTGCTGTATGTATCTTTGTCAATATTACAAGTGAGATAATATTGCAATGAATTAAACATAAGTAGCTTGATTTAAGTTTATATTAGTAAAACAAATTTTAGTTTGTTGTTGTTATCATAAAATAACATGCAATAAATAGTTTACATGTTGTATTATGATCATAGGTAAATATAATATTTACCTCCAGCACTAAAGCACTAGTTTCACATACAGTAATTATTTATTGTTTTGACATCAACATTGTCATAATGGCAGGTGCATACCTTGCTTTTCCCTGTATTAAGTGTATTGGCGTCCTTGTGCGAGGTCCAGTTGTCGCTATTGATTTGTGTACAAAGTATAACTGTTCCATAGYCATTTCAAATGCCAAGGATTATGTTTGATGACATTTTAATGTAGAATCTTGAACTGCTTCAACATAAATGGYTGTCACAGTCTGTCATTCTTCCTGTGCTGTAGGATGTTTGTCAAATGGTTTTCATAGATAACCTACAAGTACAAGTACATAAATTATACATCGTAAAATAGTGATGTATTGATTCTAATCTTTTTGGCATTTCCATTAGCTGGTACAGTTATCAGGGACATAATATCATTCCAAAAGAGACATTGTAGAAATATTGAATGTTGCTGCAGATCTAATTAATAGCTCAGATGGAAGCAAGTGAAAAAAAGAGAGAGAGAGAGAGAGATGAAAGAGATGAATAAAAAAACACAATTTCTTCCTCCACCATTTTATATCAGAAAGTTTCATTTTTGCTTATAATCTATTATTTAATGAGCAGAATTCTGATTTCTTTTAAATAGTGATATAAAGGTACATATTAAGTCAATCTGAAATATACTTTATATTTAAATATATAATACATTAATAAATACATGTACATTATTCAATATGATAATCTTTAAGCTTAAAGTAAATATATAAGATAGCTATAACCTGTGAAGCAAAAACCAAGTCTAGTAAGTTTTAAATGGTAATATGTTTGATAATTAATATTTTATAAATTCAAATCTGTCATTTCAATGTTTGATAATTTAGTCTACAAGGTTTATTTGATAAAATGAATTTGCATTATCTRGATGAAAATTCAAACCAATAATTCAGAACTATGACTGACTTAGGTATGTCTGATTATTGGAAAGAGTTTTTGTGGGCTTCCTGTGTTAGATCAACAAAAAAAGTGGGACTAATCCCCTCGCTTGTGTATTTTTTTGTCCATTGGAAACCCAAAAATATCTAAAAACTGGAATAAGAAAGGTGCCTACAGAAGCGAGTTGGACTAGTCCCACTCTTGTTCACCTAATTAGTAGGTAGAGTCAGTCGAACATTTCAATTTAAATACTGTTCTTTATTCATGTCACTATGGAAACATTAGACCCTTGATACATGGGGGTGATAGTAACATGCTATTAAATGAGCAGCTCTCAACAAATTAGTTAAATCCAATTAATTTTTGCCAGTGTATGTTTTCATATGCAATCAATTTTTGCCTTCTARAAATGTACCTTATAATTCCTTTATATATTTTAATGGACAACCAAAATGTTTGTATTTATAAATCAAAGTATTTGCAGGATTTGATATCTTAGTTTACATTTGTAATGAAATATTGGATATACATGTACCTCTTTACAGCTTCCTTTTCATGTTTCCACTTAAAATTCTCCTTAAGTGTTAAAGCTGGTTAATTTTCCCKAAGAGTTTTTCAATGATAGCTGAACATGCAATCAATTTGTGTACAAAAATTGATTTATTTTGGTAATTCAGATCATTTCCAGTCTTTGAAATAAAGATATGAAAACTTAAAAAGCCTAATAAAATTTACATGTAAAGGTATTAGTGGTGATTTTCTGTGGAGACTATGTTTAGACTCATTACACTGCTCATTAGCATTTCCATTTCTTTCCTCTCCTGGAGACATTAACCAATATCTTGTTGTTTGAATATTGTGTTTTGGTCAACTGATTTTATTCAACTACTGATCAATGCTGTGGTTAGTATCATATTCAACAGGTAAATGTCTTTTATTGGGAATTTTTTTTCAAGGATTGATAAATGACATTTTTAAAACTTGTGATTTTTAAAAGTGAGAGAAACACTTTATTRTCATAAATATCTTTGAGAATGATGGCTGAATTGACTGAGCTTTTGCAATGACTAGAAGTATATTATTTTGTAAGATGTTGGTTTCCATAATGGGGTTATTCCATATACCTGTTTAACACATAAAGCCTTTTTGGAATTTCATCTTTAGTTTATAAAATCATACTTTTATCATMATTGGTACATTTGTATACTTTTCTGTTATAAGTAAATGACTTTTAGGGCTATCCTAATTGTGAACASCTAGTGCTTGTACCTGTAATAGAACTATATTATATATAAAGACAATGAAGCAGGGAACCAGTTGAAGTTGTGTACGTGTTATAGAGATGTTTTACTTCAATCTTGGTAATATGCTATATATTAAGGTTGAATTATTTTTGTCTTGCATGTAATTAGTGGTTGTACTTTTTGATTTTCTATACATCCTTTAAATATTCTGCACGAGATAAAATTGATCAACCATGTCTTAAGATATATTAGCTGGTGTTTTAAAGAAAAGCTTGTCTGATGCTATTAGTTGTCTTAGATTATATTGTATTTAATCCTAAAATATACAGGTGTACTTGTGTGTATAGATAATTGGTCTTTTCTTTCTGAAATACCACTATTGCATGGCTAACTTGAATTAAGATTCAATATTAGTAATTCCTGTCAGTGTTACAATATAATAAACACTATGAATACATAGCTTATCACAGGATTATCACAAAGTTTAAAGATTTTAAATTAGTAAAAAGATGGGTTCAAATTAAATTATACACATTAGTATTATAATAAATTATGTGACCGAAATTGACTGTAGAATTGAAAAATACATGTTGAATAATGTTGACATACATTACTGTTTACTGTTTTTTGCTGCTGAAATAGTCTATTTACTGGATACAAACATAATTTTTTTCTTTCATAGATATTTATATTTCTTAATGATTATACATTAATATGTTTTGTTTAAATTCCCCCTAGAAAAAATAATCACTCCCTACCCCCACTCCCCCAAACAATTTACATCAAAGACATGATTCCACCTTTCTTCTTCAATCAAAAGAAAGTAAATATTTGATGCACATGTGTCTTGTGCATTATCTAATATATATAAAGAATTATATGAAATACTGTGCTAACAATCTAAAAATATGTTTTTTTCTCATCACAGTCAACATGAATGCAGTCTTGGGTTCACCATTGTCCTTGACATGCGAGGATGTACTTGGTCAGCAGCCAAGCCAGTGCTAAGATCACTACAGGTATTTACAGTAMATATACATTTGTTGATTAATCAAAAGCCTATTTAATAAGACAAACTGMAATATTCTGATTAAGAGACCACACACAAAACAATTAAAGTTGAAAACTTAATGTGGTAATAATTAATGTTTCTAATGGATTTTGCTATTTCCTGGAGGTTTTGTGGATGGTCAGTCAACCACAATATCACATTAATAGCCATTTTTATAGTGAATTTGCTGATTGCTTAAARTTTGTTTATCATCATGTTTGTTAGACTTATTGTTCTTTTGTCTAACACTTCCTAAAATTGCTTTTTTGTTTATTTCACGTTACCATGCCTACCTTGCTCCTATTGGTATATTTTCTTTGCTACTCTTACTATATAAACTATATACCTAGTTCCATCTCTTTACTCGGACGAAGGATTAACGTCAGTAAGTTATTTCWCATAATTTTTACGGTGTTAAATTTATCTTTTTACACAACTGTTTCTTTAGAAACAYCGACGCAGCTCACACTTGTTTACCGCTAGTTCCCACCATTTTGTTAGACTGTGCATGATTAAATTACCTCCATTTAGCAATCTAAGTGATGTACTTGTAGTGCTTTTATCTGACTTCAGTTTTTAGAATGATACTTATCATAGAATATCAGAAACTTTAAGTGTGCATGYACAAAGAATTGTTTACATTTTCCATTCAATCTTGTACTTTGTATTTAAATGAAATAGCCACCTATCATCCAATCTGGCAATCTGGGTGGGGTGAGCTGGGGGGGGGAGTGGGTTGAAAAATTAGTGATTAGTGATGAAAATTATACAAATTGTATGTGTCTTGACTATTTTCACATGTTTACTAGTATATTTTTAGATATTAGACTTTTATAGTGTTTTTTTAGGGGTTTAGATAATTTATTGAATTGTTCCCATGGGGATTGCAGCAAGCATCTCCACAATCTGACATAATAGCAGTCCACCCCTCCCTTGGCCCATACAATAGAAAGGGCATACAGAATAGTACATGTTTCTATATTTTCAATGGCTTTTGATATGATGCAAATTTATTGTGAGCCATTTTCAATCAAGCATTTACTTTAATGTCATTAAAATTTAAATTGAGACTATAATCCATTCAGTTTTTGTAGATATTTGACCATTCARAACCTTGAATAGTCATTGGTGAACAGGATGTATATTGCTTAACTAGTGAACTGCTATATGTCATGGTTATTGTTTGGTRTTATTTCATTATACATTCAAACTAAATTCTTGAATGTCATAAAATATTATCAGAAATAGAGGCAATGTTTKCTATCTTATTAAAATCCTTCCTTGAAAGATTGTTTGTGACATTTTTTTTTATAAATGAGTTGCATTTTGTGAGTAAGGCCAAATATAAACCAAGAACWTATTATATTTGAGTCTAAGTCTTTCATATTTACAGCATTTCTAAAAACAATCTGTTTTGAAATAGWTTGTATTTGGTCTGTGAAGAGCTTAAATTAGAATTCTTAAATACCACATGTCTTATTAGTTGTCAATTTTGAATGTAAAAAAGAAAATGGTAATCAAGAAATGATCAAAAGGGAATTTTCAAAAAAGAGAGAATGAACATTGCATTTAATCACTGCACTTGATTCTGAAATAAAGTGGTTTTATTCCTAGTTTAGTGGATACTCTTATCTAGTGTTATAAGACAYAGGTTTTAAGGTTTTATGGTTAATCATTAAGATGTTGAAGATATGATGTGTTTGTTGGAGTTGATATGCAAATATCTCTAGTCAATCCTCATGTTTGTAATCCATTTACCTCTTAGCAGGGGGTAACTTTGGTCAAAACACTGTTAAACATCTTCCTTTTCTTTCAATCTTTGCTACCAAATGGATCATCTGTGCAGATATTAAATATATTGAACAGCATCMTATCTTGACTGGTATTTTTTCAGATATACCGCTATTTGACCCTCTTCTCATAAATGTAAATCAGGAAATCCAGTGTAATACACTTCCCTGAGTGATGATATTCATATTTTATTTACTAGGAGTCATTTCCTTGCAAGATTCATGCAGTACACATTGTAAAGCCCGAAGGCTTCTGGGAGAGACACAAGACTACTTTTAAGACTTCTAAATTGAATTTTGAGGTGAGGTGATCATGCAATAGTAATGTAATATAGTCTGAGGTAAGGTGTCTGCCTTAAAAACACTCTACTTGTGATGTCACATCACACATGTAAGTAACTCATGTACTGTGTTCATAGTCACTGTCTTATTTCTCTTGTGTTTGAAGAGCAATGATGAATTTGAATGTTTTCTCTTTTTTTGTCCTTCAAACATGAGCAATATCAAACAAAGAAAATTAGGAAAAGCTTGAAAAATCACTATTTAAAATTCATTTTGAATATCCAAAAAGGAAGCAAGTACACTGTGAAATACATACATACTGAATTAGAATGATTTTTACAGTGTATTTGTGTAGAAGTTGAAGTTGGAAATACTGTGTACATGCACTGCCAGCTGACGATTAGGAAAGATTAAAATAGATGTAAATGATGTAATATTTTATGAGAAATATAAAGTTAGAATAGAAATTTAAACGTTTATCATTATTATCTTTATTTCTTTTTATAAAATATGTTTTTGTCATGTTTGTTTGTCAAATGGTTTTGGCCATGGTAATAATTTAGTGTACTGCATACAGTAATATTCTTCAATGTGTTTAATGCTTATAGGATCATGATAATACGTACGCTATTCTTTTGACTTTTGATACTTTAAGATAAGATTTGTGAATAACAAGACATTTGAATTACCAGTGTTTTCACTATTAAGGCCATGTTGTAATGCATTTTCAGTTGTTCATTGTGAAAGTAAGATCTTGAATGATTTTAAGCTTATAATGTTTGAATTATAGAAAACTTAAATGCTTTGATACTTTAATGCCAGATATATTTTGTTGATGTTGTACTGTATGTTTTGTATGTTATGCCTACTGTTACTTATTTATTAATGTTTATTTTCATTTTAGTTGAAACAATTTATTTAATAATTGTACCAGATCGTTTTTCGTTATGATACTTTTGAATTCATGCTATTTGATGAATTGCTTTGTTTAAATTGTTAATGATGTATGCATTTATTGTTCATGCTGTTATATAACATGTGTAACATTTATGTTCTGTATGGCTTCTTGTTGTATTTTGTTAATGTCTCATTTGTCATTGTTATGCTGAAATTCACATGTGCCAACTTCAAAGGAACTCTGTTGTGTTGTTTATACTTATTATCATCATTTGTATTGAATTTGAAAGAAAGTAAAAGAAATAGTCCTGTTGATCTATAACTGAATGTTGTAGCTTTTACTTACTTCTTTGCTGTTGTAAATGCTGTGTGTTAATGACATGTCATGTGTAGTAAACTTCCATGTGTTTGGTTAACCTGTGATGACCCTAGTACATTGATTGACATAGATTACTGACAGCCAGACATTATTATTAGTTGAGGAACAAGAAATTTACTAAGCTTGTTTCCTTTTGTTAATGCAACACATGTTGTTCATCTTTAATGCTTATGACGTAGATATAAACCATTAATATGATGTCAGCATTTTAGTAGTGCATAATGAAAAATATATATGATAAATAGTTGAAAGAAGATGTCATTATCACTATATATTTACATTTCACATGTGATATAAAACTTAAATGATTTCATAGTTCAAAYATTTATTTAGATATTGAACAAAAAAAGTTTAGTTTGTAGGAATAGCAAGTTTCATACTTTGCTTTTTTTAAATTATAGTAATGATCAAAACAGAATGCAGCAAATAAAAWATAGACTTGAAAAAAATATRAAATTARAAAAAATCAGAAATTTCGATTTTTGATGCYATTGTAAGGCTGTGCGCYTAGGTGTTTTGTTGAGCGGTACTAGGCCTATGAAGTCATAAGAGTAATCCTGTAGGTTTTAAGTGTGTTTGTGACATTGTTATCATACCATAGATGAAAGGTCATATATCTGGAGCAACATGCCTCACATCCATTGCTTTCATATCTGTTTGGACGTATGAGAAACACCTCTCATATGTGGATAGAAGTGTCAGTTATATTCACTTTATCACATGGTGCTTTTTGATTTGTTTTGTGAATTGAACATGGTTAAGATGACAACATTTGTTTTGAATTTTTACATTGACCTGAGTAAAGAACCCTTATGTTAAGGTTTGTATACAGCCTATTTGAACATATAGCATACAATTTGAGTAATAATAATAATGTTTATGATTTAACACTTTTTTATGTAGTTACATGGTAGATTTTAGTGTTTACATTTCTAATAATATAAATAAGTCGAACTCATAATGTTTTACATTAGGATTTGTAATTCTACAATCAATTTTTGAATTGATTCTTTTGTAACCCATGTTAAAGGTCATTCATTGAAATTTTAATTTCTGTATAATAACTTAAACAATGATGCATTGTATCCTGCATTGTTTTCCTTACCATCATTTGCTTTTACATTTTGTTTGATTTCATGCTATGAAATATTGAAAATTACAGTCTGTGCATTATGTGTGAGAAAACTCCGGAGACTACAGCATATTAGCACATGTAAACTGTCTAGACTACCTAGCAATAGTTCAGTTAAACATTAACAGCTTTTAAGAATGTGTRTTTATTCATAGTGTAGACTTGCTCTTTTGTTGTTTACTCTTGTTTRAAAAAAAAACTTTCTTAAATGACCATKCATTGGGAAAATGTTGATAATTGAGTCATTGCCTGTAAAGGCCAAATTCAATGAATATTTCTCACTTCTCTTACTGTYGGCTTTGGCAACTCTTTCGTGATATTCGTTCTGGAAATGTTAACATCACTTCAGGTCAAACAGTGAGAGAGACAAGTCTATACTTACAGTGTTACACAGTGGTCATATGGAGTCATATAGTAATTGTCAACCAATCRTCACTCATTATACAATTCAATGTATAAGTTTTTTATAAGTAATAATAGCTACTAGAGATGTTAGGGATAATTTGTCCAAWGCAAGAGGCCAAGAATAATTTTGTGGAAGTTAATTTACTAAACTTTCCAAGGACAAGGGGACATTCATTCTCTAATAATCGGAAGAAGTTATTCTATTAGTTTAATGTAATATACTACAAGATCACCAAGGAAGATCTTTAAAAAAAATCAAACATCCGAATAATTGAATTCTCTTTTCCAGTCTTTGAAGCAAAATATACAAAATCAGTTAGCTTGATGCATATTTCTCTTCAACTGGTTTGGATAGTTGATACATGTKCAGGAATTGCTAACCTAACCTTGAAATTGCGTAAATATCAATAAATATTATCCCATCTTTGTGAGCATGAAGAATATTAAGATACAGGCTCTTTAGCTGGGTCAGATTCCACTGAATCCTGTGTCTTCAGAGATATGAGTTTTAACCAACTCTGGTAGAGGTGTAACCTCATGAAAAACATGTGGGAAAATTAGCTCTAATTTTCCCTCATGAATAATGAATGAGATTAAATTACSGCTAATGTTCCCTCATGAATATGCACAGGTTGGGGTAGTTCTATTGATGAAGGGGGGGATTACAGCCTTAAATGTCTCTCCAAAAACAAGGGAAATTGAGGTGGTCATGGTATCATTCTATATATACTTTTGTCCAATTATTAACTTGTCATGTATTACATTTCTTACATAAAGATTAATGTAAGYATATTTTCTTTGTCATGCTACTGACAGATTTGTGTGTTCCTTACTTGATTATCCTTTAATGTACACAGGATGAGGTCAGCCTCACTGACAGGGCTGGGTATCATGTAATGAAWCATTGATATATATCTACATAGAATAGAATCACTCTAACCAAAGTGTGTGGTACTTTACTACTTTTARCTTAACAAGTTTGTGGTTTTCAAAAGGGTAATGTTTACATGTCATTTTGATTGTTTACTAATTATAGCTACCTTTGCAGACATTTATGAAAGTATTAAGACATAGCAGCTTTAATTCAAATTAACTATATGCATATGAAGGGCATTCTTTAACATTAGAATTTAGACTTAGAATTTAATGGAAGAAACAAGACATATTTTATTGCATGAATTCTAAAGAATATGATTTAAAAGAGGTCCTCTCTAAAAGATTACTTTAACATTCTGGAAATTCTAAAAATACCAGTATATTTACAATTTTTAGTTTATTGTTTATTGTGCACTATTCGTATGGATCTATTTTCTTAAAATAATGTAATTCTAGTTTGCTATTGGTGCTTTTTGCTATTAGATTTGTAAATAGAATCTATGTGACAGTGTTTAAATTCTTGTAATTATTATGAACTGGTCAGCTATAAAAGGATCAACAAATTGTTTTTGATGAATTTGTTACTGTTCATAATGACTTTGTACTTTTAAGCAATAAGTTTAAATCTAATTTATCTGTCRGCATTCGAGCTGAATGTTTCAGCACTTTTAATGAATCACTTGACTAAATCTTGACACCTCATATTTAAGTCTTCAAATTAAGGTTGTGGCCCAGGAAGGACTTCAGATTAGGAGATATTTCACTGATGCTATCTTCAGTTTACCTCCTAAACTATAGATTACATTGAAAAGTAATGGTTCTGAAATTAAGTTTTTCATTACTGCTTTGTATGTACTGTTTTAGTTTAATAACTATTTCTATGGTTTGTCTGGACATAGTACAATATCACTGATACAATACATTAACACACATTAGTGTACATTAGCATACATTAGCATACTAAAAGAGATTACATCCAAAGGCTATTGAATAGTGCAACAGGTGCATAAGATTTTCTTTGTAAAGTAGCTCTGTTATTTCACTGTAACTACAAATGCAAATAACTCAGTGTACAATGTTGTGTAGGACTCTCAAACTCTCCATTTTTTTAACTTTGTCATTTTTTACACAGAAAATAGGTACATTAAAGCCCTGATATTTTTAATTATTATTCTTTCATCCTGTAAATCCTGCATTTGTTGATAGTAATTGGAAATAATGGTTCTTAACATCATTTTTTCATTTCAATTAGACACAATGATGAATACATTGTACTTTAAGATTGCATGATTTTCAAGTTAAGACTATGGTCCTTCATATTGATATAATTTAATTCAGTCTAATGCAGACTTGTCACTACTATTTATCTTGAGCTTGAAGTAATTTGTAATATTTGTTTATATCAATTCCATTCCATTCAGCACTGTGTACATAATGCCTTTCTTCTTTTAAGCGGAGTGTTATCAAGCTTTCAAACAAGACACTTCTGTCAAAGTAACATCCAGAAACACTACATAGAAGTCAGAATTTAGTGTTGTGTTGAAGATTTGYCTTAAATGATATGTTATGGTTTGGATTGCTAGTTGATTGAWTGACTCATTGTTTGTCAAAAAAAACACCTGGCACTTTTCAGTCTTTCAATATATTTATGGCATTTTTTCAATATTGGATATTAGATAATTACCATCAATAATTCTAGGGGAAACATTATTCTCAGGCAAAGACTTTACAGGGTAGGTATAGAGTTCCTAAGTTAGGACCCAAGGGACTAGAGGGGTACCTCAATGATGTTACATCTCAATGAATCATGTAATATTACCTCTGAGTATATTTTAGAGGGGAAAAGCTCACTTGTTTGTGGTATACCAGCTATATCTTAATGTTTTGTGTATGTCAGAACAAAAACCCATTTTGTACAATGATGTTTATTTATTGCTCAAAGAAAAAGTATACTCATTTAGAATATCTTTATGGTATTTCTCAGAATAATGTTTTCTTCTTCTCCTTTTTGACTTTTTATATCAATAGTACATGTATATGTACATTGTCTTGTTCTAATATGAAGCAATGTGTTTTATAGCATATAGATGGGTAATACTCTAGCATATCCATTTTTTTATGATATATTGCGCTCTACTATTTTTATTATATTTGTAAAAGGGGCTTGTCATCTCCCTATGTGTTATAGTTATGAAACCCTTAAGAAGAATTTTCAATTTCCATTGAGTGTGTACAAACACAAGACAACTCTCATTACTTTGTGTGCCTCCAACTGATTTCCAAATCAAAATATTTTGTCTTTTTTAATCAATTTTGATGTTTTACCATTTTCCTTAGTTTCCTGATTTCATTGATCAATAGCTCTACTATAATATGCTACTACCAACTTGTGAAATTTCTGTCCTTTTTATGYGTTTGAGTTAGGATCTTATACTAAAGGTATTAATAAAATATTTGTATTCTAAATCAACTTGTATCTACTACCATTCCTAGAATTGTCTATAGGCATTTCTGTCCAATTTTTTTAAGCATGCTTTYTTGTAATTCTCAACAAATCTTTCATTTTGTGTATGTGGTTACATACTGAATGAACAGATGAATGTAGCAAACAATCATGCTTGGAAACTTAATTATTTCAATCTTTTATCTGAAAATCATAATTTACAAGGTGTAGATGTTTTGGATAAAACTTCATGGACTAGAAGAAATGTCAGTTTTGATTTTTGATTCAGATGTTTCAGTGTAGTGGTACTTTCATGTGTAAAAGATTTTATCATTATTAGTTATCATGATGATTACATATAAATGTAGCCTGAGTTTTGCTTAGTTTAATCTGGTCTGCTTTCTAAAGATAATATGTCTTCTTGTCTACCATGCATGTCTTTTTGGAAATAATGATATCCTTAAGTGTGATATATTGTGATATATAATATTATTTTTTGTATATGTATACTCAATGCAGAGACTAATTATGCTCTATAAGGAAAGTTTAGAATCTGATAGTTACTCAAAAATGAAAAAGACTAGAGTACTAAGTATACTCAGTTAGTTTCCAGTTAGTATTCAGTAGCTATTCACAATAGTGTTAATATATTTAAATTAAAGGCAGTATAAAACCTTCTCCAGTTCATATACACATGTATATATTAATATTATTGTAACTTGAAGCTGCTATTTTCAAAGTTTACATCCAATAGAAAGRTTGTTTATATGATTGTTGTACAGTACTAATGACATTTTGCATCCACAGACTAATCTATTGTCCATTGATGGCCTCTCCAARTTCATTGATSCAAGCCAATTAACAGATAATTTGGGTGGCTCTCTCAGCTATGACCATTCCTCCTGGCTCAATATGCGTTTGGTGAGTAAAATGCCTTTGAATGGTTAATACCAGTATACCCATTATAAGTAAATGTGCTTTGATAAGATGATGTATGGCAATTCYTAAAGTGTTTTGTTACGTAGCATGTAAAATGGATGCACCAAATTAGTTTAATTTAGTGCCTATTTTGTAGCTGTTTTTAGAAAATTGGATTATTTTATTTAATTTAATTACAAATTATCATAATACTCCTTGTTACAGCTCCCAGTGTCACTTACTTTAGATTATAAGCTAGCTGTGTCTTTCAAAATGAGACAGTCTGAAGGTACTCATAAATAACAAAATCCTCCTTGAACATGGTTTATGGTAACAAGGTATCCACAACTACTTTACGAGTTGATTCTGAGAAATATAAAATGGAGTTTTGGATGATATATATTTAAAGAGACTCTGAAAGCTGATTATTTAGACTGTACTGGATTCATTTTAGTTGTCAATATAATCCTTGCTGCTCTAGTGCAATAGTTGTGAATTGCACTGAGTTAATTATTTGTAATTTGATAAAATGATTATAATGATTTATTGTCTTTATTGTAATGCAATTGATAATGACAGCAATTAATCCTACTCTTACTCKTATTTGATTGCTGGTGTATTGAGACAATAATTGGGTCGACATATTATATCAGTTATAAAATTAGACATCTTTATCAAGTATATCTGTTTTCATTTTGTGAACAGGCAATGATCATGTGCTTTGTTGCTTAACAGGTTTTTTTCTTTCCTAAAAGCACTGTAGAGATTACATCATGGCTATTTATAGCTAGCCTTACCTATGTTGTTGCATTGTCTGTAAGCGTCATCAATATGTCTAATACCAGGGGTTTTCCCAGAGAAAGTGAAATATTTCAGATGCTGAGAATCATTGTTGTCAGAAGACTAAAAATACCTTCTAAAAATAACCCCTTGATATGTGTGACTAAACCTGTCATCACAACTTTATAACAAATGGTTACAAGTCATGATAGTTCATTGTAATGAAGAGCTACCATTGAGTATCTAGTGAGATTTTCAACAATTTYAAAAGCTAATTTATTATCTGGTAAAGGTGTCATCATGAAGAATTATATTCATTTTGTACAGCAAATATATGTTTATAAGGTTTGAAAACAATTAATTACTTTATCAAATATTTGTTTGTTGGTTGGTTTAGGCATATCATTGATCTTGTTTCATCAAMCAATAAGTTATTTTATCACCAAGCTTTCGGGCCTTAGGCCCATCATCARGGTTAATGGAGTCTGCAACACTAAAATCATTAATTACTTATAAAACAATTCAGGACTTTGAAAAGAATCATGATCATGATTTTACCAGATACAAATGATATAAATATTCAATGCATTTGTTGTAATGCTTGATGCTCAAGATAATTATATTAAGAATATCTGATTTTCTTAAAAATTAAGACAAATTAATGTTTGACACTATTTTCATGATAAACGAAACTATGATKATTGTTAAAAAGTAATTTCAATAGGATATATATATCACTAGATGAATTTGAGCTTAAAGCTCTCTTTTGTAGTTAGCCATAATGCATAGCCCTCAACTATAATAACCGMTGTTATTAATCTAATGCTAATCATTTTGTCTTTGTGTTACCTTAATCAGGTATTGGAAAAGTTCCTTTTTGAGGCCACGGCACTGCTTTCAAAGCTTGAAGAAATCCAAGATGGCCTTGCAAAAGAGGAATTTTCAGACACAATAGATGGTTTAAAGGATCAAGTCAAACAAAATCACCATCTTAAGAAATGGATAGTAAAAGCACCAGTSGAAGTGCTGCAAGAGGAGGGTGACAGAATTCTGAAAAGTGTAAAAAATCCCACCAATGGACATCTTGTTGAGGGATTTACTAATGATGACTATCAAAAAGCAGAACAACAAGTCAAAGAGTTGATYGAAGGATTGATTTTTAAAAGGCAGAAGTTAAGGGAATTATGGAATATGAGAAAGCATAAACTAGACCAGTGTCTACAATATCGAGTGTTTCAACAAGATGCACACAAGGTAATTATTGACTTGACTATTGTTATCACTCTTGCCATTAATAATAGCGTGACAAGTAAAGCACTAGTAAGATTTGTAAGATTTGACAATAGTAATTCAACTGCTTTCCATCTGGGCTTGRGTRCTTTGTGTTGTAGCTAAARATCACACAWGTTCCACTCAGCAGATATCTCAATATGCAGACATTCCATCGCAAGTAGTATTTATTGTGATTTTATAAAAATTTTGTATTGATTTGATCTCCTGATTCCATGAGTCCATGACTTAATTATTAATAGCATCATTATTATTTTCTTAATTTCAAAACGTCTAATACATTTATTTACAAGATATACTGTATATTGCTATAATATCATTAAATAGGATTAACATCAGCCACTTCCTCATACGATTAGGATTAAAATCATATATATAATATACATAATTATTTTTAAGAACAAACTTTTACAGCTCATGAAATGACTGACTTAATTACAATCCTCTATTTTGCATTCCCATTACCTTTCTTCACTCCTTATTGCAATCAATCCTAGAAATCATTGTAAGCTCAACTACTGTCTTGCTTTGAATGAAATGAAGGCATCTATAGTTATCTTTCACAACATGGCATCGAGAACAGTAAAAAACGAATATTTCATTGCATCCTTATAGTATATTAATACACAAACCAGACAAAACATCTGCCTTGTTATCTGTTTATAATGCAAACATCTATTAAAACTTTTAATTCAATCTATAATATATTATATATACTAAATTYTGTACTGATGCACAARTTAATATGATTATTTTGCATGGTACTGTGTACAGTAATTATTATAAATATTTCCTGCATTCAACTACTACAGTAATAACAAAAYATAATTTTTRTTTTTTAATTTGCATTATTAATGGCAGCTGGATTGTCTATAAACAGATTTGTGCTCTCTGGAATTTGGAAGTAGAACAAGTGACATTRTATTGTGGAAATTATTTTATGGTAGTTGTGCAGYAGACATTTAAATTTCTGCAAAAGAATATTGATTTAATGAGTTTACTGATGCAGGTGCATGAAATGAATAACCATTCAACATTCACAAATTACATATATAATTATATGAATTTTATAAGTACTACAAGGATCACATCTATTTTTTTCCCATAGATCATGTAGTGCAGTTTCCTTTCTTTTGCTTTATATTAATGAGATATGACCATCTAAACTCTTGTACAGCTGTGTTTTAATTCCTGTTTGTTTAGTATGTTAATGTAAACTAATATATTTTTACATATTTCAATTTTACAAGATACAAAAAGGTTAATCCTGATATTTATCTAGCTTTGTCAGTGCTAGATATATTTTTAAGAGTGCTTTGGGTCATTGTAATTTTAAGAASTAAGCACTTCAACTATTTAAGCACTCTTTTTGCCCCCTCCCGTTGGGAGAAAGAATAAGTTTAAAATCCATCACCTGATTCAAAGCATTTCTCAAACATCAATTAAGATGTATTCATCCTTTTGTTAAAGCAATGAGAACCAGATCATTTATTAGACTACCAGTTTATACTACTGAGAAATGATATTGATCATTCTACAAGATTAAAATGATCATACTTATRAATATGAAAATAGAATTACCTTAACTCATTCAAAGCAAACATCCTCCATTTTTTATATTTATTCAAATTTATTATTAAATAATAGTGATGACATAGTAGTTTGGGTAAAGTGATAAGACGTTTATTAATTCATATAATTCTGAAAAATGAATATCTTGCCTCTTTCCATTCGATTCATATCATTTATGTATTATTCATTCTTTTCTCTATGTAGATAATGGTAGACGGACATTTATCRAATATTCTTGAACTTACCTCAGACATGTTTTGTTCATGCTTAATTTTTGATTTCTTTGTGGCAATGATGAGAAGTTAGCGTCAATTTGTCCATAAAGGGTGGCCAGACAGCAATACAAAATRTRTTCATTCTGATTGACTTATTGTTGTTGGTTTGTCAAATTAATGGMTGCCACACTAATTGACATGGGTTTTGAAGAGACTTTAGGCTTCATAGCTTGGAGCAACCTATAATAAATACCAATATTTTAGACAGATATCACTTTTATATGTAAGAGGACTCAAGCATTTCCTTACTCTCAAGAGACATTGTTGAGACTAGARGCTTAAGTGTTTGTTCAGTTATAAGTCACTATAGTCTTTAGTTTTCTATTTAGATACTGTTATGATGACAGTCACTTCTTCCAATATGGAGAATAGATTTTTTAGTGTAGTTTTTGTCTGCTATTTAAAGGTTGGATCTGTTTGGGTCCATGCCCAATGTTTGATTGATTGATGTCAGACTTGGATTACCCCATAGATTTTGCCATTAAAAAGAGATCAGCTTTAAAGTGGAAGAGAAAAATCACAAAAAAAATCTTGTCTTTGTACTAAGATGATAATGGTATTTACCGTGATKGTGTTATGGAGAATTTCCCTTGAATTCTTGTGGTACACAAGAAGTCCRTTTTCCATCCCTAGTAACAGGGAACAACAAACAATGACTATATAGTAACAAGTACCTGGGAGATTGCAAATTGTCTATGTGTCTCACAATTACTAGGAACTTGATCTCATTCATTATTAATAGTGTAGTGGCTTTCTCAGACACTCAGTCTGCCTGTGAACCTTTGAAGCAGTAACATCAAGAAAGCCTTTGGGCTTTCACTTCAAGTTGGTGRAGAAATTTTTCCTTCAAAATGGAAGTGGATGATATTGTGTATTGGGAGCTACAAGATTGGTCAGTGAAGGTGGTTTGGAACAGATTCTATCTGTATTTTTGTTGCTAATGTTAAATATAGCTACTTGTAAATGTRGACAAAATTTACCTAAAACATCATCAGTGGCTTGAGTTTTTCTGTCAATTCAACGCTGCAGTTTAAGGGGTTGTAAGAATAGACTAAGCATAAAATGTCGGTGTTTTTTTTCAATAGCCAATATAACTCACAGTTCTATTTACATTTTAATATGATGTGAGATGTGTATATTGTTTTAGTGATTATTCCCTGTAGGTTCTCCCATGTTTCTCATCATTTATTATCTGATTTATGAGTTATTATTTGTACTTATTTAGTAGGAAAAGTGTCTTCTTTTAGTGTTGAATCCCCTCCCCTGTTGGTTTTTAGTCTCCTAAGGATTGTGTATTTGTATTATCAGTCATAACCTCTAAAGCATTAAATATTCACTAGATTAACATATTCATCTTAACACTGAAAATCACTAGAGTTTACAACCACCCTACTAATATCCTTGTWGGCAATCAGGTTTTTTTTTAATATTTTGAAGCTTGTACATCATTGCTTGATGTTCAGGATATGATGAGTTCCTGAACTGTCTCATCAACCCAGTCTAGGTCTTATTAAYCCTAACCCAACCACCAATCAAAATGCAGCATATAATTTAAACATAAGAGTAATGTCAAGGCTTGTGTTCTCTTTGGCTGGTTTTTCATGCACCTGTAGACAATTGAATGACTTTCACAAATATTTAAACATGTTGACAAATATGGAAGAGTTCTGTCATGCCTATAAATAATCACCTTTTGAAATAATCCTTGATTCTATTGGACATGAAAGCAATCTCAAATAACTGAAAGGGATTATTATAGGAAAACAATAAACTCTTGAGAAGCTTTCATAAAGAGATGTACTGTCAGATTTTACATTTATGTCAGAAACCCATGTGATTTTAAAGATATTCATGRCATGTCAACGTGTCAGTGTCCCTCTAATCATGGGTTCCTTGCTTATCACTGACAGCACTGGCTGTCAACATGAACCAAATCTAATTTAGCTACTTCAGAAATTCTACCAGGATCTTTTGCAAAGATCATGAATTGAATGGATTTCTCATTTGCAGATGTTAAATTGGATCAAGGAAAACCGTCAGGAGTTTCTATTGAATTACACAGAAATTGGCCAAGATAGTGTCACTGCTGAGGAGCTTGAGGAGGAACACAGGAATTTTGAAAGTAGCTGTATGGTGAGTACCATGATAATGGTGTTCTTCTTTGATTGGTGTCATGACTTATATGAGATTGTCTGCCATTATGTGTTRCCATTAATATATGCATAGTCAAATGAAATAAACAGATAAGTGGATGAAAGAATATATTGGTGTGCTGCATCCTCTACCAAAAGTAAGACTTTCATCATCAAAACATTGGTTCTTTTGAGCAAATTGTGCACATATGACATCTTATTACTTTTGTTATTTCATTTGACAATTCAAATATTTAATATTCTCACAAAGCAGCAATGTTATGGGGAATTTGGATATTTTGCTGTTTATGTTATTTTTGCCTGATCATTGGTCCTTAACCATATTGCTTGTTTAGTCAAATTTACAAATGCTATTCARTATTACACATTATCTAGGTAGAATAGTCAAAAATTAAGAGTTTATGCGTCAAAAATGTCACTATATAGTTCTTGTATAAGTTCATATATCTTCTGTTTTTCTAATTTGTGTGGAAAGCCTGAGTATCAAACCTATATAATTCTCAAAGCATGATAAATAGTGTGTGAAAGGTATAATTAGATTAAAATGATCTCATGTTATGTGCCTTTACCATGGACCTTTTTTAACATAAATATATAGCTTTTATGAATTCTTTTGACAGAAATGGTGATTTTCTTTGAAGATAACTTTGTTTTTGCTTCAATCTATAATCTGTACTAGCCATGTCGAAGATTTCTATAAGCCTCCTACTGTTTTGAGCCCTGTCTATTTACTATATACGATATTTTCATGTCAACATATGCAGATTAGGTGGCTCCAGTGATAAAAACACCACCTGGCTCATAGTCACAATCAAAATACAAAATGTGTATTTAATTTTACTTGTGTTTCACCTTTTCTAGAGTCTCTAGTGCTATCAAATGCATGTATTACTATGTACCTTCATTGGGGTAAATAGTTTATTCCTGTCAAGTTGTATACAGTACGATGTAACCATACAATCAACTGTTTCGACTCTATAAAAGATATTACGCTTGTTTGTCTCCATAGACAATATATTTTGAACTCTGCAAGGATGCTATATGAGAAAAAAGGGAAACTTCTATATATTTTTTCCTGATGTCCCTCAGGCTATTTTGTCCTAATTGCAAATGTGTCATTCTACCATTTGAACTAAAATGGATCACATTCGTATAATAGGATATTTTAAAATGTCATAAACAACATGTCATTGAATTCTGTGAAGTTACGTATGCAAACTTGCCACATTCGAGCTATTTTTGATTTATAAGCTGTCTTTTTTTCATTAAAATTTCTGTGAAAAATTGTAATAGTATTTTCATTGTTTCATTTTCTTATTCAAATATCTAATTTCATTTACTTTATCCTTTTGGTAAAATGTTTGGAATAATCTTATGTGTAAACATTTCTGTACAGCAATTATTCAAGGATCGACCAGACTGTTGATATTTTGGATATTGAATRTAGGTGTTTTTCATTTCAATACCATTTTATGTTGTGATAAAACTAGTGGAAAGAATAGTGCTGTATATAAAATTTCACATTCGCGTTTTTGTTAACTTTAATACACTTATTTGTATATTATCGGAAAAAGTTTTCGTTTTGTCAGTAGAAAATGCTAGGAAACGTTATTATTGATACCCAAACTGAATAGTGCTCTTTTAATAATTCTTGCTTTTTCAAAATGCTTTAAACGTCTTCAAAGATTCATTCTAAGTATTATGTGTAGCTGGAATTTCTCCTATTTTGTATTACTTTGAAAAATTATAGCACAGTACATGACGAAAAATTATAGCACAGTACATGACGTCAGACCGTCATTTAAAAAATGAATATGCAGTATTGTAATACTTTTTTCAGTTTTTGTTTGTTGTAGCGGATACCGGCGTAGACGACTAAAAGATTAAATGAACCTCCAGTAGTATTCCCGGTCATATTATGGCATCACTACATTCTCTCTTAAGTTATTCATTGGCAAGTGAACTTGAACTTCTAGAGGGAATCTTGATGCGGTTTTGTGGCTTGCAAAGGAAAGATTTTTTCGTTGCCTTTTCACTATTCATGAACTAGATCAAATGATAAATACAGTCGTGTTTTCTGTAGAGCTGCACCTATGACAGCCAATTGCTGTTCATCATGTTTTTTTCTGTMGTAAGTGACTCGTTTATAAYTAGAAAACATTAATTGAAGTCGMTAATTTGGAATATCGATTCCTCGTAAGATTCCGTTTCCAMCACCAGGAAYTCTGGATTCCGAGTTAGTGGATTCTTGGCGGATTCCGGATTCTCTTCCAAAGGGCAATATTTATTACGTTAAAAATGAATTGATTGCAACGAAATTGCCCCTCAGCAAATTTGGGCTCACAGGGCAATTATAGTTAGTAAAAATCGTTAAAATAGCATCTGAAACCTTGGAAACGTGATAAAAATAGAAATGCCAATGATGCAGTCGAGAATGCGCTCGGTCACCACGTGTTTTTTGACACGTTTTTTTTTTTTGCAGTATGGAGAAATATTTCAAATAACTAATAACGATTTAGAAAAAGTATTAAGAATAAAGAATAACGCTAATATCCGACGTTTCGGAGCCATACTGCCGACCATACTGACCATACATAGGAAGGCAAAAAAGGAGTTTAAATTAGAATACCAAGGTATGATTCTTCTTCGTTGATTTATTATTTACCGAGCTTTCGGACAACTTGTCCATCATCATGGCAAAATGAAATTAATTGATTTTCTTTTCTTTTGAAATTTGTTCCTTCCCAAACAATTATATAGTTATATAGTCGAATATTATAGAGAAGCCAATCAGATTGCAGGATTCGTGTAGCCTTTGTTGCTATAGCRACAGACTGCGATTGATCACTGTTTTAAGAGTAGTCATTACCTGGTAGAATGTACCTGCACGATATCWTCTTTCCTTTGGTCCATTACTCCATAGGTTTTCCGTTATTTCATTATCAAATTATAATATATGTTGTCTTTCTCTCTTTTCTTTGACCAGTGTCTAACTATTTCATTGTAATTTCACTCATCAGTAATTCTATTCATCTGTTTTATTTCGCARTTCGTTGATCAATATTATCGACTTTCCTTTAATTATATTCCCGACATTTTACCTTTTCTTTCTCTGTCACTTTTACATAATCTTTAATAAACTTGTGAAATAAATTGTTTGCTGTTTTTGTGGTTATCTTTCTTGGTAGATTTAAATTCGTAGTCTTTTCTACTATCTGTAAAACGTACAGTCATTAATYATACTAGAATAAGCAAGCTTAGAACCACAGTCAACATCTGTAAATACTTCCTAAAGTCCWGCAAGCTGTAAAGGTAATTGTTGTAACATTAGTCATGTCGTCTTCTAGTTACTGGACTTGTATTGGCGGAACYAGCTTTTAAAGTTTTTATTGATGTCGTTAGTGCTAATGAATTCAATAATGATTATTATTATTGTCAATTATTATCGCTTTCAAGCTTAGTTTATGCCCGCCCTGTCCCGAGTCTGTTTCTCGACTTCTTTTTTCATTTTGATCTTTGCTTTTTATTTGAAAAGAAATTGTAGCTTTGWATAGACCGCACTGTTTACTTTTTTTAATATCTCAATGTTCCTCCGATGAAAACGTGATTTTGATAAATTTATGTAGCGTTTTAAGAAAATCCCTGTCATCCAGCCAATGAATAATGCATCGTTTGAGATTTCCATGATCGGTATTACATTCAATTTATTTATTAACTACATGTAAAACACTTAATTCATCAATTTTATCCATTTGAATATTGTTTTCTGTCAATAAAGTTAGCCATATCTTAAGATTTATCATCTCATATATGGTTAAAAACGCCATTACGTGAGCTTCTGCATTCACGGTTTGAGTTGTAAAAAAAACGTATATTGTACAAGATCAGTGTTAGCCAATCGGCAAGCGGCTGGTTTTGATGGTGTTGGGCTAAGCTGTCATTGATAGAAAACTTCTTAATATTGATGCGTTTGGTATTTCGACATTGCTACGAGCAACTAGAAGGGATCCGACATGAATTTTAGAACTATGACTTCTTAGAAAGTCACACTTTTCTTACCAGCCAGGAATAGAATGTCCCGTGTAAGGCCGTCAACCATAAAATTTTGTAAGGTAAGAGTGCGAAAACCAAACCTACCAAAATATTCCTCGATTTATTAAATTTTGCGGTCCTTGTTTACAAACGTACTAAAATATTTCTTTTTTCGTGGTGAGTTGCGTATTTTTAAGTTATTTTCTTTAAGATGTTTATTGAGGATTGATGCAGAATAATTTTACATTTTACAAACAGGAAGTATGTTTTTAGTGTGTTTAAGAAATGGGAAATGTAGTGGCAGCGATGGTTGACCATGTGCTATGCAATCTGCCACACGTATTACACGATCCTTTTGTTAACATCGAATTGCTCATAATGAATTGCTTCCCATATTCGTTACACACCATAACTCACAGCGTTAGGGATCAATCTAGTATTTTGGACTATGAGAGTCTCCATAGTCAGTGCATATCTTATAAATTATTAATAGGCGTATCTGTGAATCTTCCTATAAAACTCCTCTGTGAGTCTCTGCGAGGGGTTGGCAAATCCTGATGTTATTTTTTCGTCATTTTTGTGAAATTCTCCAACAGGCCACCTGTCTCGTTCGAAGCGCATATTAATCGTTTTCATGTGTTTTGACGAGCGCCCTCTTTGAGATTTTCCCGATAAAATTCTAATATTATTTCCATGATCTCGTTAACTAAAAAGCTTAAAGATGTTTTTATCATAGACCATTTAAGTCTGGCTTCTAAAAACCTTCTTCAGCTGTTTAGATATTGAGTGTTTTCCATTGGTAGAACATCTCTCACAGATGATATTGAGTTGTGTTACTAATTGGCTCGAGCTTGCTAAATCAGCTATTGGAAGTCAATAAAGGGAAATTTCGCCGGTGACAAATTAAAAAAAACTCCATGGAATAGTTCATAAATATTAATGTTGTTGTGGACAGTTGTTATCTTTCGTGACAATACTACATCAAAAGTCGGGATGGATGCTCAATCTGAAGGCCCAGTAAACACATCGTACTGATAAATTGCTAGCCAGGCCTGTAAGTTAATTTAAATTGTACATATTAGGTTTATTTGTTTTGCACGCGCACCAAGTTTGCGCTTTTTGTAGCTGACTTCGCAGGATATAGTTGCTGCCTCACGAAAAAAAATTATTCACAAAATAATGTTCGCACTTCCAAAATCAAAAGGCGTTATTAAACGCACGTATTAGGAAAAAACTGCTAGATAATCAGAAATACTTTTACATTTATTTTTACTCCATTACGTTTTTGTTAGTTTTTGATTAATTTGACATTGCGAAATGTCCCGCCTTAGAACAGTTCTCACTTACCTCGTTCAATTCGTTCAGTTCCTGTTATATTGGCATTTTTTGTTTTCGTTTTTTCAAACTGCGTTTGCGTTTTGTGTCAAGTAAGGCTGATAGGTTTTTGATTCATATTATACATTCAGAGCATCAGCGGGGCTCACTTCAACATATATGCAAATTCGCCAGAAGCTATTTTTATGTTGACAGAAATTGATCTCAATAGAATGGAAACGCAAATTTTGTTGGTCGCGCCTCAGCTAAAATGGCATCTTTGAAAAGGCCTCTCAGGTTAGTCAATTATCAATGGTTTCTAGCGTTTCTCCGCATCAAACCGGCGCTTTTTGGGGACATGGCAAATATTTTCATTGCCGTTATTTTTGACCAGAAACATTTCGAATATTTGCATTCCTTTTTGAAAACAAAACACACACTTGTCAATTCGATTTGAAGTCATTCTTTAATCTGATGATTCTTGATCGAATAGTATTCCAGTTTTACTGATTATGCATGCATTCTCAAACGATAATTATCTTTAAAGAGCATACGCATTATAAACGAATTGAAAAATGCTTTAAATCTGATCTGGAGGGTTGCAGACTATTGTCCGACCRTGTTCCTCTTTTTTCTTGTTCCTTTTTATATTTTGAACACAYTTTGTAATGACAGACACRCCGAAWCTGTGAGATCTCTTTTTCAAAAGCAAATAAGAACGCGGTCAAATACTTCAGAACTATTCTCTGCGGGGATGTTATGTTCTTGAGTATTTTTGCGACAACAAATGTTATAAAACAAAAGGAGAAATTGTATAGCTAAAAACAAGAATTTGAGTTTACACACAAAAAGACCGGCATTTCTTCATACTTTCGAAAATTTAAAACTACTATGTTTTACGACATTTATATGGAGTTTGGTGCAGTTAGCAAGTAAAAAAAAGGCTAGTTTTCTACAGTTATTAGTAAAACCTTTTTTTGCATTTTCGGTTATTGCYGAGTCTTTATTAATCAGAGTGATATCTAATTTAGTTGCTAAGTAACTGTTAGGCGTGCGTTATCCCTGTCCCAAGTGGAAAAACCAAAATTGTTATATTCATAAAAGCATAGCATGGAAAATATTTTATCTCAGAAGGTGCACGTATTTTTATGTGATTTTAAGGCAATAGTATTACTCCACAYCGCTACTTTTCACGACTGCTGGTTTKTAACCCWGCGTTTCTCGAGTTCGTTCAATGCTATTTGTTCAACGAAGTCTGTTATGAAAAACAAGACTTGTCAGGTGTTTATATACAATTACTAAGCCTTACATTGTCTTTTAGTGTTATTTTTTCTGCCCCCTGAAGTATCTTAAAGCYACTGCMGTGCTTCGCCGGAAGCAAGAGTGTTTGGCAGTTTTTTAAACTCCCGATTCTATGGTTAGGCGTCGGTTGAGGTTAACGCACTTAGTCACACGTTTYAKAAATCTTTATTACTGGCCATTGTTATCGTTATTTAGATTAGAATCTTCATCAAATTCAATCGGATATCTTGTTTGACGATTTAATTAACATAATCAGTTGTTTTGTAAGTTTTGAGGAGGGCTTGAGGTTGATCAAGTAGGGTTTTCGCTATGTGGTCTATCTTTTTTAGATTGCCACACTTCTGAACACATACCAATTTATCATCATGAATCTTGTATTAGAATGATAATGATGAGAATTATTGCATTCTATTACCCAATCGAAACGTTTGTAATGCTTATTATATTTTTCTTATTAATTTATTACTTTAGTAATAAATCTAAATAGCATTTTTTTTAACTAAAGGCAACCATATGTTACCAGATTTAATAAGATTTTAGTCAATATGTTTCCTGATGGTTTTCGTTTCATATTTGTTTTATCTTGTCTCTTTTAACCTTTCAAATCGTATTATTGGCTTGTTTCAATGCCACTTATTTTAAGATACATTAAATAGTGTAATTTCGCAATCTCCATGGTTTTCGAAACCCTTCTTGCAAAWAATAATGCGTCTTAAAGTGATATGTTCGTCATTTTGTCTAGTGTTATGCTGCCTGGTTGTCTCGTGTGCTCACTGTGCCTTTCAAGGATATCATCGTGTTAAATTGAGAATTAAGTGTACAGTTGTGCACTTTCTTTTAGCCTTTTGTTCTGCCAAAGCCTAAATGCAGATTAGGAGATTAAAGATTTAAAGTTTCAGCTACTAATCTTTCGTCTTGATATTTCATTAACATTTGTATTTTTGCATTTTGTAATCTTCTGGGTAGAATTGTCTGTCTGTCTGACTATTCGCTAGCTTTTCGTTTTGTTGACAACTGYATAATCTGCATTTTCGATCAGGGTAGCGACAGTCAATAAATGAGAGCTGGTTTTCCACCTATTACACCTGTTTTGAGAGTGAACTTCAAATGCAAACATGTCTGGCCATAGATTTCAAGGCAGTCCAATTGATCTCCTTGTCAACTAATTGTKTTATTCAAATGAAGTCTTACCCTCCAATATTTTCTAATAGTGTAACGACACTGCCGTCCTTTCTAGCTTGGTTAGTCGACTGCATTTAGATTGAGCGCTGTAGTAATGCCATTAAGATTGTGTGATGGATTGATAAGTGAGCAGATCAGAAAATGAGCCAAGTTGCAAGCTAACCTGTAAGTAGAAAGCGAAAYGCAAGGTTCTATTGTAATAGAGTGTGGGGAGAAATGATCGACTTTCTTCCGTTGAATCGTCGCGTAGTTCATTGGAAAGCTAAATGTTTACCGTAAGCCTTAGATTTTTTTCGTGAAATTYCCCGTCTGATTTGAAAACAAGGTATATAGAGAAATGGTAATGACCTTGAAGAAGGCACTGCGAGGCTGACATATTCATCAGGCAATAGTAATAATGATATACTATATGAATCCTTCAATCTGTCTGCCRAAAACAATCGCACACAAACCGAAACGATTTTTCTTTCATTTTGAAGTTTGGTTTTTATGCAAGCGGATTGAGACTATGCGGGGGAAGTGAAATTAGAGTATTTTGGATTGTTCCGACAGCGGCGTTTGGCTTGAACAATTATGAAGGATTTTCCATCGAATTCTTATCACTTAGGTTAGTACATAGGGGCGAAAAATGAACTTTTAATGTTTGGTTTCTAGTGTTTCTTGGTGGTCTGTAGGTGCCTTAAGCCATGTTTCTGATGACGTCCYTGATTACTTTCTTCATTTAGGTTGATATTGTTTTAGATTAGACAGTAATAGAACTCAGACAAATTACAATTTACATACGTGCAATCGAATATTTAACCGTCCATTTCGGTCTGCTCTAATTAGTCGTTTTTGTAAGGTGTTTATATCCCAAAAAGTGCTAAGCCACGAATTACKAAAGAAAAGGTGAATGATTTTCACGAAATGACGAGCGATAGCTCACTAATTTTACAGACCAAAACAKGAGTCATTTTGTAGTATGGAAATATCTTGGTAGACGCTAGGATCGAATAGCCTATCGGGTAATGGATGTTTCCGTTTTCACTGGAGTCGTGCTGAACTTCACATTTATTAACTTTGTACAATATAAGAAATCATYGAATAAGATTCATACTAGTTTAATATATGACACTATTGGTGCTAACTGGTCTTACAAATATGTAAAATTGTCGTTCTCCTAACGAAACTTTTGTTTACATGGAAAATTGTGTTTTCTAAAATACTAAGCATTAGTCGTGAATAAACATGGTTAAAAAATACTTACCATGCCAGAAATATTTGAACAATATTCCATCTCTGTCTGATGTATTCTAAACATGACTCGGTTTGTTTCTTGTTGCTATGAGTGCAGGTGAGTGTATGTAGGCTCACAGTAATACCTACAGTAGATAACACTGAAAATATTCTCCTGTACAGGAAATCAAAGCTACGTGTCTAGGAATCGAAACGACTCATTCAGCGGATGTGGCGTGTCATTTGTGACAATTCAAGATCAATGAATTTACAGTAGCTCTCGYTCTTTTTCGTTTCAGAATGTTTATGGTAATATTCATCGAGTGCTGGAGATAGCAGATAAGCTAAGTGAGGTCGGTCATTATGAAGCGGATCGAATCGAAGTTTTAGCAGCATCGGTGGATTCTGAGTGGAAGTCTTTTGACATGGATGTGAATCAGAGGAGCTCGTTGYTGTCATGTTCAGTTGCTTACCATCATCACAGCGAGGAGGTGAGAGTTATGTTGTACTGTGATAGTTTGGTTGTAGTAGCGATACAATCCATCGTAATTGCTTAATAATTTCAAGACAATTTGTTGTTTACCTTAAGGATTACGCACACACGAGATAAACAAATAAATAAAGGCTGAAATACTGTAACAATCGGTACTATTGATAATATACAGCATAGACAAGAAAACCTTATTTAATGTTCGTTTTTTTTATTTCAATGCTGACTTAGATCAGATAACGACTTTAGAAGTCATTGAAAATATTACAGATTTTGGCGCCAGTTTTGAAGGGCATGACTATTGTTATAGTCAATACTCTTGCCTGTTCAATTCCATGAGAAATGATTATTCTGAGTCAGTCGAGTGTCTGGCTACTTGATCACTTTACTATATACTTAGCCGTCGCAATTTTAGTTATGACTTCAAGCACTATTCTCCGTCAATTATTTGCGGTAGCACAAGATCACAAGATCTACGTTATCGTAAACATCTTTTCTTCATTCGATTTTGTTGTTAATTTTCAATCAAAAAGGTATTTCTTTGCCTAATTGCTCTGAGCTAAAGTCCTCGGTGATTTGATTTTGCATCATAATTTTTTTGGCTAACATGAAGGTTTAACGGAAAGGACTTAAGCCCATTTTGAGAAGATTATTCCAATTTGACGTAAAGAGATTATGAAATCGAAGCAGATGGGATTTTGACCGGGCTACTAAAGCAAAAGCTGTGGTTTTACGTATTAACTGCCTTAGCGTTGTSATGTCTTTGACAGGGAAGAGCGAAGAGACTGGGCATCCCATTCAATTAGTACTTCCTTTAACTAAAGACACCGCTGATAACTAACTCAAATTATTATGTTTAACGAGAGAAGGAATACAATTGCCGATAACACATTTTGGATCTATCTTCTCTTACGCTGTACTGATTGTTATACTGCAGGCAGTGCGAAGAGGAAATGATGAACTTGGGAGAGCGAATAGCCATAAGCGTGCAACCAATAGTTGTGTTCCATGTTCATAATTTTATTTATCGATATGTTTTCCAATTGGCTATTCTCAATAAGTGATGTTCACTACAGCTGTTAGAGCTCGGCATCGTTTACGTTCCGCGAACTGTAGGAAGCGGCTTTCTTCCTCAAGTGCTTTTCAAGATTGCTCTTTGCAAGTTATATTTGCTCAGCTTTCTTGTGTCTTAATAATACAGCTTTCGATTACCGAGAAATGTTGGCTCTACTATTGAAAAGATGCTCTCAAAACGTTGACAATAACACAGCCAGCGCAAATACTGTAAAGTGTCGTTTGAAAAGCACACATTGTTTTTTGCATTCATCATCTTTGACATTCTGAATCCATCGCGGTGTTTTGGCTTGATACTCAGCCGTAATTTATCATTTGATCCTCCGAATATGAATATTGCAATATATTTGAATGTCAACCCCTTATAGTATTTGCATGTGTTGTAGACATTTCATCTCATTTTTTCTTTTTTTTTCTTATAGTTCCTTCGAAATGTTAAAATATGGAAAAGTTATTTAGAAAACCCAAAGCTTGGTCACGACAAGAATGTAAATAAAGTGGAGCAAACTTTAGAAGAACTTGATAAAATGCGACAAGACATCGAAGATAGCTTTCATACGGTCAGCATGGACAGTAAAGCACTGTTAGGAGAACTTCAAAAACCTACAATGGCTTATGACGATCAATTTCTAAAATCTCCTGAATACTCAGAGGCATCTTCTCATGTTATGGATATTTATTTAGAAGTTCACGAACATCATCGACAATTAGGAATTTTATGGGAAAAACAAAGAACTCGTGTACGGGATCATTTACATTTGTGTATGTTTGACCAGGACAGCAGTCAGGTATGTGCAAATTTTCACAGTGGCTGGGGTAGGTGGTGATGGTGGGTAGGGGGGTTACGAAGTGGTGTAATCAGCCAGTCTTCCATAGTGATCGGTCGTGTAGTCAATTTGTACTACGTTTAAATACATCGGATGCCTAAACGTTAGTCAAGTTAAAATTTCAAAAACATGCAGTCAGCAATCAAGTAATTTGCATGCATCATATTTTTAGAATGATTTTACGATTTATGATGTGTCAATCGGCATATTCTCGAATTCTGGGCTAAAACTCCAGTTGTAGATGTTTGGGCAAAGGTTTTATGCAAGTTACTTGTTGTTGACAAAATAGCAGATATAGTTTATAACATAAGTTCTGTTTTCTGGATATAGTCGATCATGGTGATTTTCATTCTGTGTCATTTTGGTAGCTCATTGTTACAATTATGTGAAAATGTTGACAAATGTTTCAAAATCTTGATTCCAATGACTTATTGGAATGTTTCAAAATCTTGATTCCAATGACTTATTGGATGTGACAAAGCTTCTTCGACATTTTCTATTTGATTCACTTTCAAATGATTGCGTTTTCAAACATAAAAGGCATCATAGAAGATCCAGAAAGTGTTTGAAATCACGTGACAAGCTATKTCGCCATTTTATCCATCAACGAATTTTCGCCTTTGTAAACTGAGTATCATTTCTGATTCTTTTAACATAAGRTCTTAGTTCCATCTGGTTGAACAGTTRTGGTTTMTAAGGTGCTGGTGTCGGTGACCTATTTTTTCCGTGTTTTATCTATTGTACAAGGAATATTTTCATCAAAGGTTATTGTTTTGTGTTGAGTCGTCTTACCATTCGTTACTAAAAGCCGGAAAGTTTGGACCTTTTGTTGATACGACCTCAGTTACACAGGGGTCATGGGAACGCTTAAATTAGTTCYTTGGGGCTATAAAAACCGCGAAATCTTGAATTTATATAAATCTAKTATGTTTGAAGTAGTAAARAMGTTTCATAAATCGTTGGATAAARCTACCAGAACACCWGAGTTTRAAACATTYTCGTTTTTAATTCTYKTGCAATTTCTTCGTGTTGCCATTCTGATTTTTTGAATTTGCAATTTTCACTCAAAAAGTTTTAATTGGATATCATTGTGAAGCTGAACCTACGTGTGTCGTCCGAGAAACCAATAATCTTCTAATAAATGCAATTCAAATCATGTCCTAATTGGCTCGTTGTATGGGCCTTGTTTCCAGGCATTGTTTTTCAACCAAGGTCGTATTAAAATACCACAAACACATCACAGATAAATCCGGCTGTGGGGCTATGTGCCTCATGTAACAYCAAACCCCACATGACTCACCCCACATTCATTCCTGTCATAAATCGAACCAAGAATAGCTGTAGCGAYTTCGAACAAAATCATAATTGGAGAATACATTAAACCATTTGAGGCGATGCAGATGGTCTTCATGGTAATAATCCAGAACTCGGTTTTATTGGCAACTGCCTTTAGGAGTTTGTTTGTGGTAAATCCATCGCCATCTTGAATTTTGTCGAAATATAATCCTTATAATTACTTGCCGAGAATTTCAAAAAGACTTGTTTGTAAGGATGTAAGTGACTAAATTATTTTATAAATATCTTTTTGAAGTGACTCGACAACCTTTTGGGGATACTTTCGCTGATTTATATATGTATTTTTTTTTGCATTAAAATCAGTCCGATTGAATTATGCATAAACATTCTCCAAGGTATTCATTCCTTGCCTTATAAAAAWAACAGTGGACAGCAAATGGCTGGCACATTATTAAAACAGAATGATTGTTACATTTCTATGACCAAYTGCAATTCGACTGAGTTAAGTATTTTCTGATATTACAATATTCGACATAATGAAGAACGGTACTTACTGTAGCTTTTCAACCAAAACTAACATTGTACCATAATTGATTCCATATATAAAACATTAGCGTAGCCCACCATAATAGTCTGATAGTCTCCTGCATGTGATAAATCCATTGACTCTCTTATTCCATRTACAGTAATATTAATCGCACATTGTTGTGTCTTAACGTACCGATTGTGAGTGTTGAACTTGATCGTTTGATCAAGCCAAGACACGATAAAAACACGTGCTAGTGTTGAATCCCACCTTCTGTTTGTTTCTCTTGATGCTCAATAAACATCAATATTATGTGTTAGGATATTATATCAGGAAACAACTTCGCCTGGGTCATGTTAAATAGTCTTTAATATCCTCGAGATAAGATTTGTGATGACACTGATAAATGGTTGAATCTTTTCGTTGTTCACTATTGGTCATATCTAGGTATCTTTGACCCTTAGACTTACATAGGTCTTGTAAGGCAGTAACTATCTTTCGGATATCTAGGCCCATGAGGCTCACTTATTGAGACAACGACGGCTTAAAAAAGAGAGAGACTAAAACAAGTACGCGGATTATTTGATTTCAGCGAGATTCTGTTAAGGGCTAGACCGCTGACACAAATAACCGCTGTGGCGGAAGCACATTGTATTTGTTCGCTTTTCATAAGCAACAAGTACCTAATTATTTTATATTAAAGACTTGCGAATCCTTATATTTAAAGAAAGCCGAAATAAACGACCTGTTTTTTTCATAAAAAAGAATCGGAAACTTAACAAAGAAACAGGAGATAATCCTCCAAGCTGAGAACATCAGTCCTATTACTAGACAATAAGAAYGCAAATATATCGTTAAACATGTCGCCAGTATTCTACCTTATGATTTTAGACATCGAGATTATTATAGTAAAGTGTCATTTGATGGATTAAAATGTATGAGAAGCAAGCACTTATCAAATCTCAACAGAAGATTCATAGGATTATTGAAAAGTGATATGATTCTACATCAAAATTACAGCCATATTATCCACTTTTTAACATTCTATTCACATTTATCTACTTTAAGTTGATTTTTTTTGTTATTGAGTGGTTACTACTGGCAACAGGAGCTAATGAAGTTAATACGTGATATTTTCGGTCATTGTAAAGTATAATTGCCGATAATGGAATATCTATACTGTACGCTAACAATCCTAAGGCACTTTGATTGATGACTCACTGTTGTATGACGATATGTGCGTTGTTAAAAACTAGTGTGAACTTGTTGATGACCAAGTGTGGGATAAAAATTACATTGCAATTTGCCGGGCCCAACGAAATTTTAAATTGAATAATACAGATAAACAATTTGATTGCAACTGTGAGTCRTAATCAATTAAATCAACGATTATAAACGCATGAAGTTTATTTCATTTCAAACTCGAAGAAAATTACATCAGTTCTCGTGCAGACCTTGTGATAGAAATGTTTTTTTTATCTTTGGTCTTGTGCTATGAAAACTGTGTACTTARTTCGTTCACCTTTCGCTTCGTAACATCTATAAATTATAGATTTTTCACGACGCTGAAATCGTTGMTGCCCGCCGAGTTTTTCGGCTTTATTTCAGGGCTAACAGTCATATCAAAAACTTACCGTTTTGACGTTTTATATACATTTTGTTTGTTGTTCAGTGAGATTTTTTTTCGAATTTCCGTGACATCTCAATGGGTTTTCGCGGTATTGATCATATCTAGGGAACTCTAGCTTTAGCCAATCACAGATGAGCTCTTAATTATCATTCACTGGTTGGAGCGCGTTTGTGGCCGAGACTGAACTCCAAGCCAGGGTTTGACTATCAACACCTGTTTGAAGGGACTCATCCTTCAGTCATGGACGCCGTATTTTTCGTCGATCGTCTCATTGCTACTCATGTGTGAAGCTATCCTTCGTCTGGTGATAGGACCAGACCATTTCTGTAGTATTTTACACCAGTACTGGACTTCACGGTTGGTGAGTAACTATTGTATGATTGTATATCATACGACGAGTCAGCTGGGAATCTCCATGATCGTTTGGAATTATAACCGCCATTTGTTTGTCTTTCGCTCGTAAAATCCACTTCCTGAAGTCAAACTGGCTCATATTATCAAACTTTTTGAGAGATCAAGTCATACGATGTTRTTCAAGTTGATAATTCGCGGAGTATAAGATAGATTGTGAATCATCTAAGCGGTTTTGACTGGGATTTTACATGTCATTACAAACCGGCTTTGTATGAGGAAGTTTCATGAGGGACATCAAGGAAATCCAGAGAGACTTGCTATCCATGTTGACTCGGATCATTGTAAGCTAAGCCACTGTCTATGGCATTTAGTTATACTTTAGTCTGTCTTGTACATCCAGATAACTTATGCACAGACTTTATTCGACTTAAACAATTATAGAAATCATTAATGCGAGATAGAAGATTGCTGGGTATTTGCTATTAATCGAAAACTCCTTCATGTGAAATTTGCTTGAGTGTTGCAGACTTCTAYTAGTAATTTCTTGTTCAATCGAGTGCACTGTAGCTTGTATTCCCTATCAAACATGATTTATGATGCTCGGTGCTAACAGGTTGTTTATTAGACTGGTTTATAGTGATTTTTTTAAGTTTCTGCTTCGTTTTGAGARGTTCTACTTCCAATAAACCGTATTTGATCTTAAAATTATTTACATAAACAAAAACGCTTTCTTAGACGAGATTATTGCTCTCCCTAGACTTTGTTTATGTTATTTCATCCATGATGTATGTAGGAGCACGTGGYAACATGCACTTAAAGATATCAATGTATCAACCTCACTTGATGATGTGTTCCAGAACGAATAATYGTTCCAAACTGTACAAGTCTCATTGTTCGATTACAGAGCATTTTTCACTTCTCTGCAGTTTTTTGATTTTTCTTCTCTACTGTTCTAAAATCAACAGGTGGCAACTAATAACAGGGTTKCTTCGGTGGAAATTATTCCAATATGTAAATGGMATTACAAGAAGCATATTGTTTCTGCGGTTGTGGTTGAATCCAAAAAGCAAAAATAAAAAATGATAAACTATTATAAAAATTCAGCSAATTTATATAGAGAGGYTTTACTTGTCTGCCAGAGTTTAGTATCCGTTCAAATTCAATGACTATGTCGTTGGTTTCGTTAGTGGTAGYAATGGCGAGTTTTGTGTGTATAGTAGTCGGTCATAGGGGGCTACGAATTTGAATTCGCYCAAGCCAGGTGTCTGTGGACTTCAAGAGCTTGTTAAAATTTAATACCTTTTTGTTGTGTTTGCCAAATTCTGTAGCCAGGCCAAGTAATTCGCATTACAGCGTCAAACACTACTTTGCTTTTCCAATATTCTAACTTATCTTGAATTTTTCTCTAAAATGAAGCGAACTCTTCACTTCTGTTCGTTTAAATGGCGATATTGTTCGACGCAGCAATCCGACTGTCTGGTACAGTTGCTATGTTGATTTCCTATTCTGTGGATATATATACATATATTTCTGGTATAGCGTCACTCAAAAATGTTGACATTTGTAATGATCTGAAACAACGATTGAATACAGAAAAAAGGGAGAAATGGCCCTGACACGGGTAAGGTGTTAGTCATGTTCAATGTCATAAATTGATTTTTATACAATTTGGCCGCTCAGTTTAGTTTTAGTGTGATGCACATCTAAGATATCTCATTACGTTACAGCGCGTTAAGACAGATGCGAAATTTCTCGTTAATTCCAATCGATATGTTATTTTTTGGCATCTGTATAGCGGACACGGAAACTGWCTGTAAAATACATCGATWTGAAACCCACTCGCAACAGAGCGGCAAAAACGCTGCGTTTGGTAGGGACTTGTAGAGATTAGCAGCTTATACTAATCCTTTTTTTTTTCTTCGTATTTTATTATTTCGTTATCATGCTCTATGCTGTCTTTATATTAAATAGCCCTTGGCAATCTACATATTTGATTTGAAAAGCGATGACTTCTTCTATCGTTTGATTTAATTGCGGTACGAAAGAACGTCATTTTTCGGTATGTGTTTTTTTGTTTTATCTCACAAATTTCGTTCACATTTCTTGGTGAATTTACATATTCCACGGGAATGGGAATAGAATGTTAAGATAATAGGATATCATTACAGCTTTCCCTCTTGTACTGAGTTGGTTATTGTTTATAAGTAAATGAGAGTTATTTAGATGTTTTCTTATTATGCATATTTCATCAAAGCTCACCGAGTGGCTAGAAAATGTCACATTTTATTTATTGCTGTAGCAATATCAGAATTCCTTATGYCCATCACTTGCCCATATATGTACGATTGTGAGCTCAAGCTAGAGARAGACACGGAGTCTATTCTAGCACATCGCATGAGTTTTTTGCACTGTTATCATAATCACATCAAAGCATCCTTGAAATGAACGAACGAGTTCCTTTGTTTTGTGATGAATCGTGGCTTGGTGATATTAGAGGGTTTCTTGATAGCATTTTAACGCTTCAAGTCCAAACTAACGAGGACGTTATACGTAAAGGGACACAGCTACTCATCGATTGTAATCAATATTTCCACCTAAAAGATGGTTGTTACTCCAAAGAGAGGGATGATGTTATGCTGGAAAGTGGATGCATGGAGTTTTATTACCAGTCGTTTTTCATTATCACTGAACAGATTTTTAYTCTTTTCAAGGCAGGTCTTGCTGTATGCTCGCTACACGTACTGCATTGTATTCTATTCAATAGACTACCATCGCCCAATCTTTTCAATTCTGTTTATATTTCTGATTTCTCCAAAAAGCACTTATCTGATCAAACTCTAGATTTAAAATCCTAAGATAACACAAGTACATTTTCCCATCATTGTTTCTCGGTACAGTCCCGTGTTTTTGCTTGGCTATATATTACATTTTCTGTAGTACTTCCGTTAATCATCAGATGCTCTTTTACAAGCCTTGGGCTCTCCGTGTCGGTATTTGCATATTCCTTATATCACTTTCATCAATTCTACCACACCATTAAGTATAGCTCGACAATATGGCTTATTGCGCAGTCGATTAGTATTAGAATAAAGCTATCCTAGCGCTATTTAAACCTTGTTAAAAACGTGACATGGATTGTTTGGTTCTGAAAAAAATATTTAGTGACTGACTAACGTTAAATTGCTTTGAATTTTGATTTCATTATATTATTGTTGAGCCTGCGGTTAAACCGTTCTATTTCTTACACCATTTAATGATATCTTCAGCTTCGTTTTTTAATCAGTTTAAACAATGCGTTGGTACCAGTTTCTTCATTGAATTTTGGGCTTTAAGTTGTCAATTAATAATAGTCGGTGCACGTGGACTTTACTAAACGATGGTGAATGAAATATTTTCTCTTTAAGATACTCTATGTCAGAAAGTTTAGATGTTCTCCCTTCTTTCTATATGTAGTTATATGAGAGTTATGGAAACACATCGCAACTGAATGAGAACGATTATAATAACTTTATTTCAATGAAATTTCGATTAACCCTTAACCAACGTACCATGCCGTGATGTACTACATTTCGTTGCTCTAAAACATTTTCAATTTTACCTTAAAAGAAAAAGGACTATCTAGTCTGTAATAGATAGTCAATAAACAACAAAGCAACACAATGCTGSCACTAGCTTTACTGATTCTCACAGACAATGGCCAGGTTTTCTCGGTAGCTTATCTATTGCTGGTCTTCTATATTTATCGCGTGACTTCTTTGTTTTTTGTTCGATTGCTTCCTGTAATTATAACTCGAACTAGTACTGGTRGTTGCATCTAATGTTTCTACATAGAAACGARTTGTGTAATAATAACTGGGAACTGATGTAACTTCTCATTGCATGTTCGCCATGATGGTCAATATGACACCCTACTAAATCGGGCACCTCGCTAATACGGACAGGTCAAATTGGRAAATTKGAAAAGGCATTTATTGATTGTACTATGTAACGACATTATCACAGAAACTCCCTCTCTTTATATTCCTCAATTCCCGCATTCGTGTTTCCCAATAWYAAGGGAGGGGGTCCTAATCCCGCGTCATTGGCACGATGTGCAAACATTCACACRTCACGAACCAAAATATAGTGAAAATTTYTCAACCATGAATGAAAATCCAGGATCCAAAACGGTTTTGTTCTACGGAAATTATTGATATGTTGGAATCACGCGTCACGCAAAGTTTCTTACCTAGTAGTTTAACGATTGCGTGATAATACAGTGCTAGCTCTAYCCACCATATCGTGAGCTCTTTATATCGATTAACACATGATTAATATGCCAGTGGGTACCATACTGTGTAGTAATGCAATTTAATCTTTAAAGGTAATACGATGGATTGAAGAACATGGTGAAACGTTCTTGAAGAAGCACACTGGTGTAGGAAAGTCCTTAGTGAAAGCAGAAGCTTTGTTAAGAAGACATGAAGAATTTGAGAACATTGCACAGGTAAGAACGGTCCTATGAATACTTATTTCCCCTTGATACACCGTGCGTTATACTGATGAGGTGAACTATCAGATTGGCGAAAGTAACAGATGAAGTCCGGAAGGTTTTCCAAACAAAAAACGTCACGTATCGCTCAGACTGGTCKTAGATTATGTCAATAATAATAATATAATAATAATAATATTTCGAATAGAAATTGCAGTTCTCCCTTCGTAGTTTTTAACTGGCCATTTTGCTACTTTTATCAATACCGTGATGCACCTCGTCCAAATATGACGTCATAGGGATAGAAGACCATTGTAAACTTATCTTCAGCCTTCCATTTTTGTATTATAATGGTATAATGATATGCTGCCCAGTCTCCTTCGGAGCCGTTGATTCTTGTTATCAACAGTAAAAGCGGTTCTGAAAGAAACTAAGTTATCTTYCAGTGCAGTTTKTCAGGTTCAGCAAAGACTTATAATCATTAATGCTGATCTTTACATGGCTTTCAGTTTGCTAAATAATATGTTTTTARTTATTTTTTTAATTGTAGTATTTGCTGTAAGCCTTCATCTAAAATGCGTTTAGCACGTTTTTACGTGKTCGTTCAATTGTACATTTTATGCAGATCTTTACTTATCATGSAAAAGTACGTAACCATACATTGATTTGTCGCTGTGAATGCGTAATTAGGTGATATTCAGATATAGAACTTTTAAAAATAGTAAGAAAAATTCATATTTTGAGCTGATTACCTGACCTCTTGGTCCTTCTACTTACATCAAGAAAGTTAACTATGATGTTTCTTCTTTTCATAGTTCGGCATTACCTATGACAGTTTCCGGCTTGAGTTTGTTCGTTATCATCGGTGATTTCCTGATTAATTGCGATAATTCATATTTTATTGTAAACTAACGGAACGTAGGACACGAAAACGGAGGGGAGGGACACTTACTGTTATAAGCTGCTTCATCATTGTTTCCGCTGTAACAATGTCTTAGTCATATCCGTTACTCTGTCCCATWTCATAATTTTGCTGTTGGAAAAAARGAAGTTAGAACGTGTGATACCAGGCATTGTTCATAGGTTTCCTTAAATAAATCGTTGGCAATCTTGAATCCGGTCGCCATTTATCATTCTTYCCTATATAGATTGTGACGTTTTTAGATAACGACAGGGTATCGAGCCTCTGTTGGGACATCCTCATCTAATCAATGCCAAATAACAATTCCATCACAACCCAGGGAAAGAAATTGAAAAAGAAGATGTACACTATAGCTAATATTGTTCCTTTTATACGATTGAACAACTACCAGAGCCATTTAGACTTGTTCCGAGAACAGAGATATTTTATAGTCTCCGCCCACGCTAAGCGATCTAAAGGTTGTTTTGCAATAGTTTGAAGTTGAGTCTATTTTTATCGAAAACAGTTTTGGAGATCAATAATAAACGCCCTTGTGAACAATAAACACTGCTTCTTTCTTTCTCGTTCGTTATGTTATCTTCTTTTTGTCGTGCCGCGTCCCGCCATCAGTCTTACCTCATTTTATCTTTGCACTCATACGATTATCTCCCAATCAGAAACCTGGACACTTTTTGTGATTATCGTAAGATATGAACAGTGGTTTCTATTTTCAGGCTGTTTCCAATGAAACTGTTATTGTGCGAAGGTCATCTTTTAACAGTTTTTTTATTGTGTAAAGTTTGTGTGTGTTAATAATAACAATCATGCCTCACATAGTTTGATAACCGTACTGTGGAAACTGATAAGACCTTCAGCACATTGACCAAAACAAAGACTAAGTTATCTATTATTTATTAGGAATAATTTATTGATTGTGTTATGTGGGCGAGGAATTCTGAGTATTCTTGTTAACTTGTTAAAATTTTACCTTTATTCATCAAGTTTCAATTGTTTTGTGTCCTTACTCTTGATGGAGAATAGAAATAACTTTATCGTTTTTTCTTCTATGCCCAGTATTATTAACCCCTCTTCTTTAGACTCGTATTTCTTTTTACCCAGAGGGCCCCAGAGGGTAGTTCCTTTGACGTCTTTCCCCCATTTAACCTTTGTTATTGAGTATGTCAAGCACCTGATTTTCCCGGGTCATCTGACAGAATTTGACGATTATTGTTTCAGAACACGTACACAAATGCAGCCAAGCTTCTTGAAGCAGCAAGACAATTAGCACAATCCGGGGAATGCAACCCTGATGAAATTCAAAAACGTGTGGATTACTTTGAAAAAAGGGTCCAAGAGTTCATTGCGCGTGTCAATCGGAGGAAAGGACTGYTAAAATTGGCTGTCAACTTTTATTCTCGCACTCAAAAGGTAAACCCAATCACAGGTCGTCTGGGATATGCTAATCGACCCGGCTCGCAATCAATAATTAATCACTTCGGCCTGGCGCTCGGTCGCWAGCYTGTTACGTCGGAAGCAGCAGCTATCTATGCGTAAAAATATGACTGTTTGAAGAGACGATGTCGTTATGTTCCCCGAAGCTTTATTGGGACCTCTTAATGTGTGTAATTCATGTATAGTGAAGGCAAGTAGTGTGTACTGTACTCAGACTGTACCTCCGTTTAATACGACGACAGCGCTCGTCCTGCTGGAGATAGATTGTGATTGATAGTTGGCAAAACGAAGGCATACTAGTTGACTATGGGTGATCATATTGGTCTTGCTGTACTTAACTACGTGGTCATAGGTTATCTAGGAAAATAACCACGATCAATTTATCAGTGGCGCATAAAATTATACGCAATACTATACTCGCGCCATTATTCGACCATACTACATGTAATGGCTTCCTGAGGGGCTGTAGTGGTGTGTAATGCGGTTATTTAGAATGAACCTTTCACGATGGAGCGACTTTGTACGTATAGTAAGACCCTTATGACATGCCTCTGTATTGTCATAACCATGTATTCTTCTTTCTTGACAGCTAACCGAGCTTGTAGAACAACTAAAATCGCAACTGGAACTTGAAGAAGTTTCCGATAACCCTGATAATATAGCAACTGTTCTAACAAACCTTAAGCATCAAGGAGAAGCAACGTTAGATTCGATTCATACAGCTATCGATGAGGGAGAAACAATCGTCGAGGAACTAAAACTTGCTAGCTCTGATGGGGTCGATTCAAGCTCACTCCATCATGTCGAAAAAGTCATCAAAGAATTGGATCGTGTCCGTCGCGCTATTGAACACTCGTGGTCACGGAGAAGACATCAGTTAGAATTATGGCTGCAACTCCGAGAATTCGAGCGAGCAGCTAAGCAGGTATGTTGAGAATAGAAATTCCATATGTGTTTAATGTGTGCTATTGATAATCCTCGTCGTCTTTATTGACATTGTATTTGTTGCGGTAGATAAAACATATGTACCATCATTTGTCATGATCTTCAGTTCAACACTTTGATCCTATGTACCGTGTATTGCAACATCAATTATTATAGACGCAAAAATCATCATATGTTATAACTCTATCACAGCATGAAAGACATTGATTCATTTAATAGTTGAAGAAGACCTCACACATGAATCCAGAAAAGGGTCGTGTATTTCTAAGCTAAGGAATGCCTAGGAAAACAACAACTTGTTGTTCGATTCTCTTGACCGCTTTTGGCCTTTTTGAACGAATAACTTSATAATAGAACGTTGAAACAACTCATCCAACGAGTGTCTAATTGATAACTTTACTGGGTATTGTATCTTAATGAATCAATGGAATATTCATACATTTCTATTGTTCTGAAGACCGTTTAAGATTCCCACTATGCACAATAATCGCATTCCAGTATCTAATATGTCCGTTTATCACGAAATTCAATCTACTTTGATATCTGCAAGGACATGGACAAAGTCTGAATAAACACGAGTRTTAGGTTGTACTTCTTTACATTCAGTACACTTTGGTTTGACCTAAAGGTTTGCAAGACTTTACAATCCTTGAATGTGAATGATTTGCGGTTAGTTKTATTATTGTATGACAACTTTTGCCACGAGCACAATCACACTTTTTCTAACTGCAAAATCAAGAAATTTTGATATCTTTTGACTTACGAGTTCGTGGTTAATTAAACAAGTAATTTAGTTTTTTAATAAGCAAAATGTCGTGTACTTTAGAACGTGCTATAATCTTTCGGGTCAACAGCATTTTGCAATGACTTCGACCAGTGTCTCGTTGTTGAAAGACAAACTGTGTGAACCATCGCAAGTCGTTTTAGCGCTTCCGCTGTGGCTGGGGTAATGACTGCCTTATGATCGCCTGTTCACATGAAAACAAATTTATCACAGCTGTAAAACTTTCATTATATTTTCCTTGTATTGGGTATTAAAATTCAATCTTTCTATTATTTTTCTGTCAAGTTCTATCAACTTATCTTGTAGTCAATTAAATATTTTACCCGTTTTGCATGACTGTGCCATGTCGCTTGTTAGCTGGATGACGCAGGATAATTCTTGATCTTTCCGWTTTGTGTTTACTTGGTCACTGCTACATGACTTATTTATCATAACTATCAACAACCTCAAGCTGATTTTGATTTCTTTTGGAGCCGTGATTTCATACACGTCATTGAAAAGGGCTTTTGGTTGGTTAATTGGTTCTGAATGGATGGCCATTGTTGGGTCAATCACATTTCTATATAAAACCCGATCAATAAAATTACAGTGATAAAATTATCATTGAAAGGAAGTGACTTAACTTCAAGAGTTGAAAGCAGTGATGATGAATTATATATATTTTACAACTTTTTTATATAAAAAGATATGTAAACAGATTTTGCAGTACAAAATACTCTAGCCTGAAATTTCCGGGATGTAACGCAGGCTAAAAATACTCGTAAAGACGACATTTCGTTGATTCGACATTCGCAGTTGCTCGTGATTTTTTTGTTGTTTTATGAATTTATAGACAACTAAAACATTTTTTATAAAAGATTTACCGAGAATTTATATGATGGAAGATCTTGCATTTTTTATTTTTTGTTTCTGTTATTGTTTTTTTTCTTATTGTTTTATGGAAGCAAAACTGGAGGTAATTGTCTTAACATATTAACATTTTTTGAAACCATAAGATTGATTATTTTAACCTGTAGCAACTTGAGATTCTCCACACATGGTTGGGATTACAAAAAAGCCTCGCAAGTAATCCACTTTTAATGCTTTCTCATCCGGTTTCTTTTTAATTGTAATCCATTGAATCGAACCTGATAGTCGTAAAATCTTGCATATCAAAGGTTGATCACAATTTTAGCTTTTTTGGAAAAAAGATTTGGTTTTCCTTTATGAATAAACCTAGCGATATTTTCCTTGTATGGGCTTGCGTTGTGTGACTGTTATCSTCCAATGTTAAGTGCCACTATAGATCTTTTCCGGTCAAAAACTGTTCTTGCGTCTAGTGAGCCTTTTAGTTTGGGCTGAAACGATCATTAAACGCCATGTCGATCAGTGCATTGAAGTACACGACCCCAGCACAAATCCATTTGGTTGTCATTCTTAATCTTTTTAAGTGATAAAAATAAACAACTCCAAATCCTTGGATAGATCTCGATGGACCTTTTGACCTAGCGTTACTGTTCTGCTTTCTTCTTCCTGTCCGTGATTAATCACCATGTATGGACCTTTCATTTACTTATTGTATTGTTTTTACTCGTCAGTAAAAATACAAACAAAACGTCACTATCACTAAGGTGTGCATGTTGTCTTTCAGCTTAAAGATCGCCTGGAGTCATGTGAAGGATTACTTGATAAAAATCTTGTCGCGAAYGACCTTCCTCGCGCTAAACAAGCCCTAGCACACCATGAAGACAGTGTAAAGGACATTGAACATGCGGCACTGACGACGTTTTGTCGAGGCGAAGAACTTATTGATTATTTAAAACAATCTGAAATCGAGTTAAGGGTTCGGGATCCCTTATCTGGTGATAATATAGACGCTCAAACCCATGTGTATAATTTATTGGAAGTATTACATAGAAAGAGAAGAGACCTTCGGGACTCGGCAGAAGAAAGAAAAATCAAATTGGAGCAAAATTTATTATTAAGACAGTTGGAAAGCGATGCTAAACAGGTTAGTACGGCACAGTTTTACGTTGTATTAATCTTTGATGTGTTTTTCCATTGAAATTGTCTTGCTTCCGGGTTATACGTTATACGGACTTTTGGCGGAAGTAACGCTCAGAATSTTCAATGCGTGACACCAAGGTTATGATAGCCTACGATGAAATAGTCGCTGAAACGGATGCAATTTAGAAAAATAGATTAAGATGTGCTATGTATCTTATGTATCTATGTATCTACTTGCCTTAGCCACCTTCAAGGGCCACGTTCATCGAGAACCTTTGCGAACCTTTGTACATACGAAAATTCGCCATCTTTGATTTTGAACCAACGAGAAAGCAATTTTCAACAACAAATCTCGCAAAGGTTCTCTGATGGAATTGAACCTTCGGCATGGGTCTTTAAAGAAATACCTACGAATTAGTTCCAGCCCATTCAACAATGCATAAGTGCTATTATTCAATCATAGCTTCATATAACAACTGATCCTTTTARCTCATCTTACCCATGGTATAGACGGTAATTATCTTTAGTAGTTTTATGAGCGTACATTTGTTAGTAGTAATCAAGTGAATATTTGACTGATGGTTCAGACAGTAAACCATTAATAATAAATGAAAGCTGCCACAGATAGTTCTGAATACTCGTCTTTGACTTTCATTATGTTTGGTTAAAGATTCCACCTGTTTTCTCCTGCCGAATAGCATTTTCCTGTACCACTGTAWTATCGGTGTAATATCAACTGTCTCAAGATATAAGAATAATTTCCACTCACTAGAATTAGAAACTGGATAAAATAATATATTCATTTCGTTAGCAAAGATTTTCTTAACTTAACCATGATAACAGTGTTATGTGATCTACATTTTGTTGTTTTAGGTGTTTTTATGTTATTTTATATCATAATGACTTGTTGASTTGTATATGTTGGTAATTGTTCAGCTTCCATCGTATGTTTACTAAAGTTTAGAAAACTATTGTTTAAAACAAGCAGCTGTTTATATTGCCGATTCCTTAGATCTTTCCCTTGTTATCATGTAGAGCACTTCATCATCAGTGTATAARAAGCATGGAATGTCTGTTGGGAAACATTGCATTAGTTTGCCCTGTTTGCTTGAGCATAAGTCAAGTTTGGCCAAACTGTACTTGGCTCGTAGGTTACTTTGTAGATCAGGYTCGTATCTTTTACTCTACATTGATTGTTTCTTCATTTCTTGTAGGTGATTGGTTGGGTACGCAATGGAGAAGCCATGTTGTATGCATCTACAGACCTGGGAAGCTCACTAGTTGAGGTGGAAGCTTTGCTTCGTGAACATGAAGAATTTCAAAGGGCGATTGAGGTACGRTATCTTAAAATCCTTTGTTCGTATTCATTCTATTTTCTGCCATAAAGTTTAAACATTCAAAAACTAGAAATAGTCAGTGCGTTGGCGTGGGTTTTATTTCCAGGGATGGCTAGGAATCCGATACGGAGCTTGTTGTTAGGAGGTCTTTCTGACTCCACTATCCGATTTGTTTTCCAGAAAACCTGTCAGAGTGCTAACGAGGTTCGCCAACGAGCAGATAAACTAATCAAGGATGGTCATTACGATCCAGAGGCCATCTGGAATTGCGCCGAGCTGATGACAAGGAGATGGCAGCAGTTGATGGAGAGAGCAGAAACCAGGAAGGCTACCATTACATCATCTTTCAATTTCTTCACTGCTGCCGAACAGGTTGGTGAACATTTGTGTAGTTTCGTTGTTTTAATTGTTTTCTTCTTGAAGTAACTCCTAGTCACTACACATCGTTAGTTTGGTGAAGGTTTTAGAATAGACATAGTTAAATTGGCTTCGCATAGCATTGAGGCTGCTTGACATTTAGACTCGTACRGATATAGACCAACGTATTTTATCGAGTGCATTAACCAAAGCCATACAAATAACGTCCGTTTTACGATAAGTGTGTATTTCCCATTYCTTTATTCTCGGTTTCATTTCCACATGTTTATTTTATTTGCATTCATTCTCTGTCTAGGTTGGTACTTTGATGGAAAGACTTCAACGTGAATAYAAACTAGAAGAAGGCGATCCATGCAGCAAGTTAATCGAAACAGAAACCATCAAACGTTTAGAAGCCATGAAAATCATCATTCAAACCTACGATGAAGATCGGGAATCTATTGTCCATGGGTTTGGCGAAGTGAAGTACACTGCGGATACTTATATCAATAGAGTTACTCCATCTAACGTACAGGTGATTCACACGACTTTGATAGTAACGATGTAACTGTCAGAGTGGATTTCATAAGACCATGAAATACACTTTAGTGTAATAGATATTATTCAATCACACTTTGATATAACATTATGGTTTTACTTCGCCTGAGAAAGAATGGAGTGAAGTCACTAAACCCGTCAGACAAAACTTGACTTTTAACCATACCAAGGTGTGTTAGTGTAATAATATCTATTTCAGGGATTTTTTGACTTTTGTTTCACCGGTTTATCCAAACCAGCCAAAGATGATGGCGCTGATTGTTGTGTCAAACGTGTTAAAAATGATGGTGATTATGACAACTTTAACAAATTGCGCACGGTTTTGAGTTGTGTGTCCTCTTATTGACACACTCTAATCAGCCAATCAGGTCGCGAGAATTTAGACAAGTGTAGTAAAATTGGTAATATACATGATAGTAATTTCAATCATGACAATGATTAAATATATATATATATATGGATATACTATATGCTAACAGTATTGTTCTCTTCTAATTAGGGCGGTCTTGTGGATAGCTGCTTGGATAGGGTTGAGAATCAAGTTAAAGACGTGATGGATAATCTCAAACTGCAAGAACAACTCGTCATGGAGCAGTGGGGAGTTCGTAAAACAATGGCTGAACATTGTGTACAATACTTAGAACTAGAGCAAAGTGCTAACGAGGTATGGATCGACGGTTGTGTTTACAATCTGCTACGGCTGTTATCTTTGATGAATCAGTTGAAATAGTTAATAAACCTATCAAAATAACCTTGTTTTCCAGGCACTTGAATGGATTCACGAAAATGGCGAGTTTTACTTGTCTTCGCATACCACAGAAGGTGATAGCGAAGCTGAGACTCGTCGACTCCTTAAAGAACATCACGAGTTCAAGGAAGCTGCAGAGGTACAAAAGTTGGTGTGTGCAAAAACCTCATTTTTACGTTCATTCATAATATTTATCATTTATTCATTTAAAGTTTCTTTCAGTTTGAGCAGTTTTAAAGCACTGTGTTAAAAACAGTCATGTAATAATGTAATATTAATCTAAATGCTCGCTCATCATCAACTGCCTGATCGAGTAAATAATATTAACGCCTTTGTTGGTTCGGTGTGGACTGAAGAAATGCCTGCCACATAATGAAAAGCACAAAACAATCTAAAAAAAAATGAAAGCATAAAATCGTATTCTTGCGCTTTCGTTGGTCTTGCGTGAACCATGGATATTAACATGCGAAAGGACGTGACCACAAGAGCGCGCGCGAATTCTCCGCTCAGAGAATATATCTTTGTTAGCTGTTTTTTTGTTCGAATATCAATGTCATGAAAGTCGTGTTGGTTGAGATGAACGTATGCGTTAACATGCGTCACAACTGCAAACCAGGTTGTATATCAGTGTGTGCCTTTCTGCGCATGACAACATAAGGTTTCTCAAAAAGAGATATTTTTTGTGAGCTACATGACATTTGTGTACATTCTAGTTGTTTATTTTTCTAATATATTTATCATATGAGAGCAAATTCTTAATTACTTATTTATTTGGATTCAACAGGAGATTCGTGAAAAAGTGCGCCAAATGCTGCAGCAGGCTGAGTGCCTGGTTACCAAAACCTGTTTCCATGGCGATGGTATCAGACAGTGGGCAACCGCTGTAGAAAAGCGATATAAAGACTTTTCAAGTCGTATGAACAAATACCGTGTAAGACTGGAGACTAAGCTTGGTTACCCAACTATAGACCAAGATGTAAGTTAAAATCAATTTATACCGATATTCAAGCTCCCAGAACTAGTGGATTTTATATTTCCTTAACTTTTTTAAGCACAGGTGTTTGTTGGTTAATTTACAAAATCGAATATTTTACTTAATAGTAATTTGGTTAAACCAGATAAGATAGCAAAGTCACGATATCGAATATTGCACGAATCTACTATATTTGTGTTTGTTGCTTTGGAGTATGTACTACGTCATGATTTATACACCTTCCTAACCCCTCCCCTCCCCATATCTAAATTCAATAGATACATTCAAATTGTCTTATCTTAATTAAAAATCTGGACACATTTGAATTGACACAAAGCATTCATTTCGCTTGCTTTGGTTTGTTTTGACATTTTGGTAGTTGTATGTGATCGGTGGTTGGCGCGAAATGCTCTCAATAAAACCACCTCACCACAGGTGTAAGATCATGATTTATTCATGAAATATGTGTGTTACTCTGTGGTGATTACTATTACTACTTATTTATTCATCCAAGCAACGGGCTGGCACCGTACTCTTGAACTCGCTCTGAAGTTACGACTTCCTAGTGCAGTCATAAGAGACTGAACTGGGCCCAGACTCTTGTTTGGGTCCCGTGAAATATCAGACAAAATGGCTGTTCAAATTGTAGAAGATCCACCGTCCGAGTCATGGTATTCGTCTGATTCAGACGAGGATGATGACGCTGGATATGGTTCACGATTGTCTCAATTTAGTTCTTACAGTACTCTTTCGTTGTTTTCTTCCTTACTGATCAACCAGGATGACAATGAATGGCCGAGTTTACAATCGTTACAAACACAACCTCACGAACAACAAGCGTTTGCMCTCAGGGAGACGTCCAAGGATAGTGGAATYCATGAAATGACAGAGGAGAAACGTCGATCAGCCAAGAGAAAAGAGTAAGTTTTGGATATTATAATTTTACTAATTATTGTTGTGAGAGACTTTGTGGTGGTTGAGCAATAGTCCCTGTAAAACTACCTGCAATGTTTCCAAGTACGATTGGATTGAACTTTGAACCTAATMTTTTTTCCTTATACAAAAACAAAACAAAAAGATATTGATCCGATTATGGGAAAAGTTTTCCAATTGATTCATAAGGATTGTACTCATCTAATTTTCCTACTAAGAAATCACTAGAATTTCTGTTACTAAGCGATTCATCGGACTCTTTATTATTCTACACCGGTGAAAATGTAAACAGATTACCAAAATGTTGGGTGAAATGAAAGGAATTATTGAAAAGCGATCAGTTTTTACCCGAGATCTCATCGCTCTATATATAAATAAACGAAAGAGGTTCCCTTTGACTCTTTGAGTCGTTTGTATTATCAATCAGTTTGGCTCCAAATTTGAATAGCCGGTTTAATGTTTTGGCTGGTATCAAAGAAACAGTCTCACGGTCTAATGTTTTCTTATGCAATCCCTCATAAGAATTGCAAACCGGTCCTATGGAATCATGTCTTGGATGAAAATTGAATTGAAAATTGACGCGAAAACTTTCATAATCATTTTGTTGAGGAAACCGCAGTTCGCAAATGACGTGGCCGTTAAAATGAATGGTTAAAAGGAAAGTCTAGAATTTTATCTTAAATCGACGGCATTATGAATGGAAGTCTGCGCCATGTAGTTAATCGCGCTTAATGCTGTCAACAAGACTTTTCAAAGACCAAAATCGTTTGATCCAAAGATTTTAATTCTTTCATTTCATTTAGATGTGGTTATTGTATTTCGTGAATTATGTACGAAATTTGACCACGATTGTACACAAATTACAATTTAACATTACATGGTTTAGTTTTGGGTGAATAGAAATCTTTTGTGCATAGTTGATAGTATCAGTACAGTTTCTTTTGTTGAAAACGATGACTCACTTTAAACATTCAACRAATTAGTCTTGTGTGCCATGTTTATGTTTATACAAACCGCCGGTCGACGTTTGTGCAAAGTTTGTCAAGTCAATGAAATACCCAATTATTAAATATCTCACAAATCAATTTTCATATGAAATTATCCTTACCATTTTGTTTCATTTTCAGATTTATAATGAATGAATTATTGCAGACAGAGAGAACTTACGTTGCAGATCTAAAATGCGTGATAGATGTAAGTTTATTGTGAACAAGAAATCACAGTTTGATGTTAGTGGGGGTTGGGGGGCTCCCGATGAGTGTAAAAACACCCAACTGACTAAAACTGAAAGTGTTAAATGAAGAACGTGATGTATTGTAATGGTAATGATAGCTGGTTTTATACACTTCGCATCTCAAGTACATTAGTAAAAAATATCGAAAGTCCGAAACGTTTCCTTTAAATAATGACAATTTAGTCAGAATATGCAGAAAACAATCATTCATATTTTGGCACTCGCGTGTAGAAAGCACACCATCTATCGGTAACCAAGCGAAATCCGAAATGATATATGCTTCAAAAGAATAATTACAATAGTAATTTATTATGTTAACAGGAAACTAGATATGTAATTTTTAAAACCGAATGGATTTKGAGACAATTTATTTATATGTTGTATTTTCCTTTTTTTTCTAGAACTATCTAAGTGCGATGAAAAATAATCCCGATGTACCGGGTGGACTCCTTGGCAAAGATCATGTCATATTTGGTAACATAAAGGACATTTATCAATTCCACAATGAGTAAGTATGGTTTTCTAAATGTGCAAAGGCCTTGAGTATGTTGCTAATTATCAGTTGCAAATTTCTCCCTTCGAAAGCTGCAAACGTACTTATCTATACCTAACAAGATTATCCTTTGACCACCGTTGAAATTCAAATCAAATTAATATTTAGGATGTAAGACGTACAATTCTCTTTGTTTACACTTGTTCATTTGCAAGTGTCGTTTGTTGAAAAAGTATCGTGTTGAAAAGCTGTGAAACTGTCTTCAAATGMGTCAAAACCACAAAAAAGCTTTCAAAAAGAATTAAAAAATCAGGTGGTTTGTTTGATGCRTTCATGTCGTTACCTTAATGGGCAGCCGCGTTGCTGTCAGTGTACAAATATGCACAYCTAATGAGASCTAAATGAACTGTTATTATGGAACTAAAACTCAATTAAGGSCGTGTAAAAATCTCATTATTTCCTTATGTTTTTGCTCTGAATACTTTATTTTATTCATTTTTGAATAATTCTATAAACGTCGTCAATTTTTAACGCCTTTGACTTGCAACTAATCTTTATGTGAATGGAGCCAGAGGGAAATCATCCCCAACTATGGACACATATTGCTGTGTTTATTCACTCTCGCCGCTTCTTTTGCAGCACATTTCTACAAGAAATGGAGAAATACGAGACTCATCCTGAGGATGTTGGTGAAGCATTCATTGAATGGGTAAGATTCTGGCTTTTCATTGGCTACAACCACTTTCCCGCCATTGTTGACGCGCGCGCTTTGATAAGAAGCACTCTTGTGGTGCTTTTGTGATGTTGGAAAATAATGTCATTTGTCTTGGCCGACTTGGTTATTTTTGGTGTAAAATGGTATCAATATATCACTGTTTATCAGTAAGTGGTCTTCTCRACGCCTTATAAAAAAGAATCWCTGTTTGTAGGATTGGTTTAATTAATTAAAAGTACTGTTTTTCCCTCTGTCAACTACGGCTTTTACACGCGACATTTTGAATTGAAAAGATAACACTTTCTATATATCGARTGTATAATTTCTGTTTGAATGTCGTTTGACAGCTTGGCAGGTTTTGACTTTGACTCTTAAATTTGATGGTTGATAGCTTGTTGAATTGAATTGATATTTGTCTTTGTTTTAGTCATTAGTCGTTTTTACYTCAACTAAATCTGCAAAAAATCTTTTGTTTTCTGTATTTTGCTATCAATAAATGTGTGAAATACCTGTCGCAATTTAGAACCTCTTAGTTACAATAAAACAATAGCAAAAAAGRGAAAAATAAATTAAACGGGTTCATTGTACAGATTTAACTCAAATGAAAGGTTTTCATCGYTGAGGTTTATTTTTTTAACCAAAACCTTTTGTTTTYGTACAGGGGGATACTTTTGTAACAATGTACGTAGCCTACTGTAAAAACAAACCATTTTCTAACTCACTTCTTATTGAACATGGCGGCAACTTTTTCTCGGTAAGTAAACTTTTCTTCTTTTCTCTTCTTTACAGTGTTTGCGTAAAATTAATTGTTATTGTTTGCTGCTTTGAATAAATAACGTCTTTCTGTATTGTAATTAGATTTTCTGTATTTTGTTTTATAGGATTTACAAGCTTCATACGGTCATGGGTTATCAATATCAGCATATCTTATTAAACCAGTCCAACGGATTACAAAATATCAGCTGCTACTAAAGGTATTGTAAATTTTATTGGACTTTTATTTTGGTATTTCAAAATGAAGCTAGAAATCCCAAATGGTCAGCAGAATTTGATTCTCTTGATTCCTTTTATTTATTTATTTTTCCTTGAGGKTCCGTTTTGGTATCACTTCTGTATTGTTTTCAGCTTTGAAGTGAGAATTATTGCCAAAAGACGAAAATAATATGAAAACGCATTTTMGAACAATAAATAATTGATATATCACGACTAAGAACGATGTATGTTTGGTTTAATTCTGGCTCTGCAATGAAGTGAATACGTTTTGTTTGTGTTTTATAGGACCTAATGACATGTTGCGATGTATCGGAGACAAGTTTACAGGTGATTTTACAGTTTTTATTTGTCTAGTGTGTTTGTTGCCTTTGCTATGTATGTACAGGTGAATTTTGTTGGACCTTTGTTCGCTAACTTAAAGCCAATCCCATATCTGTCCTTCCTGCTGTCTGATGCATGGTTTAGCTCAACATTTATGACTTTTGTATAGCTGTTGACAGGCATAAGATATTGTTATTGGCTAGACAACATCAAGCAGTCGAATTCACTTTGTTGATGCTTCTATTTTAGTCTGGTTTGGACGTTATGTTGAGTGTGCCAAGACGAGCGAAYGATGCTATGTACGTTAATATGCTTCATGGAATCGATGTAAGTATAATTTATCAGAAATAATAACACTATCAATATCTAAAGTAGTGACTTAATACATTCAACAATTTCATCTTATTCAGGAAAATTTGGACAACTTTGGCAGGATAATTCTACAGGTACGTTTCKATGCTAAACTCGAATTATCTTCKACGTTGTTTGGGTTCACATCAATTGGGTAGTTGATGGATAATGYTATTTTCGTTTTAGGATGCATTCTTAGTGTTTGACCCAAAGCTTTTACGGCGGAAAGGCAAAGATCGCCACATGTTTCTGTTCGAACAAGCTTTAATCTTTAGCAAAGAAACCAAGGATAATGAAGGCAAAGTGAAATATCTCTACAAGTACAAATTAAAAGTATGTCCTTCTTGTATGCTTCTATTACAAACTAAATGTGGTTATATAACTGTGTAATAATAACATCGAAATTGTGTTGTTTTTATCAACACGATACTTCATAAACTTAAATTTTATAAATTTTATAACCGCTTACTTTTCTTTCCTGTTAGACGGCTGAGTTGGGAATTACTGAGCACATCGCTGAAGACCCTTGTAAGTTTGCAGTATGGACAGGGAAGCCTCCTCAGTCTGAGGATAAACGAATTATCAAGGTAATTCAAAGTTATTACATTGCACTTTTCGTTGATCATAGTGCTCAGTATTTTATTAATCTTCTAAAGGCTGGTAACATCGAGGTAAAACAACTATGGGTGAAAGAACTACGAGAACTAATTCAACAATTCCAGTTTGGAATACTCAAGGAAAGAAGTGAGTGTTGCCGACATATTGCAATTGACCACCTTTAGACCACACCCAGTGACTTCCCATCTCTAATACACCAATACTATTTTAAGACTTGTCATGTTTTATTTATGTTTAGGTAATTCTATGATGAGTTCTACAAGTTCAGTTGGATCCATGAACAGCTCGTCTATGTCAACATCAGGAAAAACCAGGGAAGAGAAAGCCGCTGACCGGTAAGTAYCAAATATGATTTTGACGAGAAATGCAAACTTTTTGTATAAGTGTTGCAGGGTAAAGAATTTCAATCAAATAGAAAATGTTTTTTTCTAAGACCTTCATCTTATATCCCCCCCCCTTTTTTTTTCGCTATTTTATCTTTATTTTAGTGCTTGCCTTTATTTGCTTCCTGATTTATTTGTGATTAGAGCTTTTTCTAATCAATTGTTGTATAGAATTGTTTGCTATTTGCTTTTTTTAATGCGTATGATCTATTGAGTGTTTGCAAAGCAAGACTGATTAGACTAATACACCTTAGACTTTAATCCCATCAAGTCTTATCATAATTTGCTCTTCTCTGTAGGGAAAGCGGAGTCATTGAAGATGATAACATCTCAGGAGAGTATGACATTCCAGAAGGAGGAAAGGTAACATTTGGAATGTTAGTCGATGATTTATCGTTTACCGCTGCTAATGTAGGTGTGAGAGCTAACAATCGACGTCATCAGCTACGTCATTTAACGCCCACCTAATTACACATACAAATGAAAACATTTCCTTATTTTGGAATATGTCACTTGTCGTACCCTGCGAGCAGAGGAATTTTCCACCCCCTTCTACGAAGAAAAGGAAAGGAAAGTTTTTCCTTTCGTAGATAGGGGAAAAATTCCTCTGCTCGCAGGGTACACTTGTCGGTGCATCACTACAAAATGCGGTGAATTCTTTTTTTTAAGAATTGTGATCGAGTACTACAAGATAAAGTAAACTTCTTTAGAGTTCCGGATGAGACTCATATATCTAATTTCACAGGCTGAGYTTTCATATTATTGTAACACATAGAAACATTTTGAGTCCTCATATGTACTTATGCAATGCGTGGGACTTCTACCAACAAAATTTGCTCGGCATTCCAAGCTCATGACGTCACTGATCCAAACATCACTAGGTATAAACCCTGTAGGATGGTATGAAGGCCATTCTGTATGACATAATGATTGTAATCCAAATCAGATGTTCATATCAACCAAAAATATTGTTACTCATCGGAATACGTTTGTTGTGTTGACTGTAATTGAGTGTTTTTCATTTCCGACGACATTGAAATAAAATCCGTTCTGAGAAGTATTACCACGCCTATGTAACGCAATGTTGTAACGCAATACAAGTTTTTCTGACAYTTTTCGGTGGTTTATCCTATTTTCRATCATTTTAMCATACGATTTTTAATACAAAGTCCACATAGCATGTTCAATGTTACATTTATCGTAACTGTGTTCGAAGCAAACAGCGTTATTAGTAACCACGTCGTGACGGCATGAGGTCTGTTAACCATTATGATCCATTAGTTCCGGTAGTCAAACGCGTGTGGTATGTATCCCGTATCACTTCAGTCTACTATTATATGAACAGTCATGGTAGAAACTCCACTGAACGGTGTTCGAGAGAAGCTAYTCAATTCATTCCTTAAACAACGAACATACTCTTTAAACCATGTCGAGGTGAGTGGTTAATCTTGAAACACTCGGCGGCTTTATWTCATTGCGTGTCGCTACCAACTATGAAAACGGTAAAATGCTAGATCCGGGGTCAATATGTGGACTTCATTCTCTGGTTTTTGGCCTATTGATTGTTTCACGTTTTGCTAGATGTGTTATAGAATAAGTAATATAGTTAATTCAAAGAAGAGCGCTTCTCATCAACGTGTTTCCATCTTGTAGTATCGATGTGGTAGATGTAGTACTAGTCCGATGTCATGTAGTATATTACATTGATTGTTTGTCTGTCAAATCCCGATGTTTAATGTTTTTTGGGGTTATTTCATTTGCCTTCTGTTAAGATTAGCCAGTAGTGTCYGCGTCCATAGATTTTGAGTATTTCATAAGAAACATGAGATGTCTGTTCGTCTTTCGCTAACGTCACGTTCCGTCAATTATTCCAAACCTTACAGGACTTTTAGTTCCGTTAATTACAAAGTGGATAAATTACAAAACGAGACCATGTTTATGCATGGAGGTGAACATTTCGTCCATATGAAAACRAACAAAGAATAGTTTTGTCTATAATTGGAACGGGAAAAGCCTGCTGACTAGGCAGGGTCCATCGCAGTCACCAATTTCATCAGTTCACAAATATAATATTCTATTCTTAGCTGACATTGTGCAAGGTCACACAGGAGAAAGCGATTTATTATTGATCAGCAGCCAATATATTATCATCACCTGGGTACCAAAGGTGCCTYAGTATACCCRGGTTATTATCATTATAGTTGATGGAAATCATTCGTTTGGCTTTTCTTATTTTTATGCAAGTCATAGTATAGCACGGACAAAACATTTCGTTTTGCGAGTTGAGCGGGAAAGTTCATCGTGTGAACAATTGTGTAACACTATATATGTCTACTTGGATATCTGTTGTAATGAAATCCAGTCTTCCTTCTGACTGTCAAGGCTTTTATGAGCTCTGCATGAATGCTTAATGTTATAATTGTAAGGTCATGACAAGTGATAAATTCAGTCTGTATCGTTCCCCACAGCTCATTGMCAATGTTTTTCTAATCATTGTTCAACCTCTAAAAAATTATTTGACTCTGTTAAACCTATTTACGGAGTGTGACATTGCAATATGATATGTGTTGCTTGTGTAAATAAGATAGTTCCCATTCCTAACCGCTGGTCATCATCGACTGTCGTTGAACCGCGAACAGCGGAGGCAACAAAAGCTATGTTTTCTCCCGTTATTTACGTATGTTCTCCGATTAAGCTAACTTCTTTTTCTGATAAGGTATTGGACTATGCTCAGAACGACGTGTGGTTAGTCACTGAGAACTACAAAGCATGCAATGACGAAGAGATCTCGCTCAAGAAAGGACAGCACGTAGAGGTACTCGTTAAAACGCACGGTAGCTCAAGATGGCGAGTTCGAGTTGTCAACAACGATGGAACCGTCCCTGCAGAAGGCTGGGTACCGTTCACTGCAATCCGTAAAACCGACGACAGAGACAACAGAAAGAAACGCAACTCAGACATCTCGCATTCCAGTAGTGAAGGTTAGTTCACTGTTAATCATCAATAAATGATTTGGTTGCTTCCACAGAACTCGTGACATTATATTTAACTGATCATACACGCGGTGCATGTGGGGATATCTGGACTGTAGTACTGGATAAACTAGAGTTCCTTGTTAATATTTTGATATTTAGGATACTTAATGTACCAAAAGGTTTTGATTGATAAACCACTAATTTATGTATACTGTGTTAAAAGGGTCCTCTTGAAAGTAATTGTTTTTATCCCAACGCGATAAGAAATGTAAGGTAAATGGGTCAGCAAGTCAAGATTGCTATATTCTGTTAGAGCCTCCTTACCATTAYACTAGGTAAACATAGTTTTCTCGGTCTAAAGGTATTCTWGCCGCTGTTGATGCTAGAATGGCCTATTCTTGTTGGCAATMGTTTRTTTTCTACTAATGTGGATTTGGTCGCATTCTGTGGTTGTTTTTTACTTTACGGTTTCAATGAACAGTTCGACTCCTGCTGAGCATATTACATGCAGTGGTCATTTTACCAGGTCTTGACGCGTAACTCGAGTACAGCACTAATATGTTGATCACTGGTACAAATTAAAACGTTGTATTCACTGTGGTTTACTTCATATRTATATCGTCCAAGACCCACATCTAGTTTTCTAGCTAGTGTTTGTCCAGAAGTTAAATGTCAATTAAAACAAAACAATTCACGATTAAACAGTCTTTTAGTGAAAKGGATGCTGATTATTCTTTAAGTGTTTTTGATTTAGCAGATCCTTTGTCAAAGCATTAGATCAGCAGATCTTGAAATCAAATATTAACTGATTTAAGTAACACATTTACGACAGACTGTACATAAATGAATAAACGAACTGAGCTAGGCATAAATTCTATCTGGAAAAATGGGTTTGCGCGAGCAAKAATTTTAAACACGGTTTTGAATTTAATATTCAGACAAATCACTTGATTAGAAGACCGAATTCTCTGCATAATTATACTCTAGATACAGTTAAAAGTATCTTTTGTGCCAATGTTTAAAAATATCCGTAGGTCATGTCAATAATGAAGCCGTGTACCTTGGTTTATAATTGTGGTTAACAGTTTATTGTCGTCATTGGATTAATGCAATGTTATTATTCCAGATTCCGTATCGTTGTCATCATCAGAAAGTCCCACTGCATCATGGTACTCAGGAGCTCCACCTCAGTCTGCCAATGGTGGTTCACCTCCCGTKAGACGACGCTCAAAACCATCGACACAGTTCGGCTCACTTCGGTAAGTAAGTTCGTCATTYGTTCGTGTGATCGGGTCAATTTCGGATTGTTCACTTTATAACTTCCGGGAAAATGAAGCGGAAATTAGCAAATGGGTGCTAAATATTGTGACGTGTGCACTAAGGGAAGCTGGAAAACATTGTGAAATGTTTTGTTTTCGTCCCTGCTAACTCGATAACGTTATTTTAAAGTTATTTGTATTTGTTTCTWCTTCGATATTTTCTTATTAAGTCTTGCGTGTCAGCAAACCATTCTTCAGTCACTTCCTGTCTGTTGAATCGTTCTATAAATTGTCACTTCAGCATGAGATCGTGGAGTAGGAACTCGATGAAGAAGATGATCAACAAACCAGGCCAACCACCGTCACCAGGACCAAATCCAGCAAGATCCAAGAAGATATCTGGTGGAGGATCAAAAAAACTACAGCAGATGCTTGGAGCAAGCGAGAGTGACATCGATTTGCTACTCCGTCCTGCCGAAATCGTCCATACAGCGGCTTCTCAAAGAGTAAGTATTGTACATTGTAAAACTGCTTTATTTCTTTGAAATAAAATAGTTTTCATTGCACTTTTTGAATTACAATAGGGCTTTGCTATGATAAATATTATTTCACGCCAATTTGTGGCTAAGCCTGCGTGAATAAGATCTCGAAACTGGAGTATTTTTTATCAATTAATCAATATTGTTATATTTGAATATAGTATGACCATCTGCTTTCATAAGGGAGGGTACCGATAGGTAGTARAGTAACACACTTAATCCGTGAAATTGTACCAATCGCTTTTGTCCGATTTTGTTCAATTTAGTAAATGGCGCTTATAAAACATTAATTTTGTTCGAAAGAATGTTCCGCTTGAGTTGCAGATTTAGTGCAATTTTTTTTGTTTTGATATTGAGCAATTACGGATTAAATGCTTTCACTGTTGGAGTTTTATAGTGTTTTGTTTTTGAGCCCCCAGTGAAAGCAAAGCATAATAATAATGCCCACCCTCAATAAAGAGTTTTCGTGCATATTAGTCTAACATACTACAACAAAAAAATTGAACAAAAGTAAATGTAATGACAGCGTGCTGAAGTGTTTGATTCGGTATTTGACTTTGCGTTCTCACTACCGAAACCTGTATCAGWACCATTACGGTTTCGAATGCCAATAACACGAGGCAATGTGTACGATATTCTTGTATTCTGTGACGCAAAGCTGCATAAAATCACAATATTTGACATCAAGGCCTGTCGAATGTAACGGGTGCGATGTGTCAGTTACGTGACGTATGTCTCGTGACTGATATCCATACCATTGTCAATATTGATGGGATGTTAAACGTTAAAAGATGTCTTCTCGCTGAACAACTTTCACAGTTCGATGTCGGGGACTTGTTCGATATTTCGGTTCCGAGGCCGCGCAGACACTCTACCTTACTTGGACCTCCGTGGCTGTACAATTCCCGATGTAAGCTTATTTTAATCTGTATATGCTCTATATGAAAATCTGTATCATTGTTGCTTCAAGTAGCCATATTGAATRCAACTTTGTTTAGAAAGAAATATATTTGTTCGCGTTGCATAATCCGCTTCGCAATGGTAACAATTGACCGTCTCTTAAGAATGATTGTACAATTCCAAGTGATCGTATGGTATATTTGTACTAATTGTGAAACTTCATGTAGGTTGTGTTTAGATTGTAAACGCGAAACTATTTGGCTGGATATGTCACATTTAGTGYCATACTATGCATACCTCATCAGTTATAGATAACGTAACATATATACGGTTAAGCAATTTCTTAAGAGTTTCAAGTTCTATTTGTATTTAATAATGTTCTGTGACATATCGTGTGTGGGTTTCATGCGGTGGCCGCTGATTTGCATGAGTTTTATTTGATTTTCTAAGACCACTGACATAGTGTCAGAATTATCGAATACTGATATAGTCTGCTAACGTAGAAAAGCATTGTTAATATATATCCATAGGATCTTACATGGTATTCATCAACGAATGTGTATCCTATCCAACGTCTGACTGTAACCTTATCATATTATTATATGCTTAGAAAGATGGTATTGATTATTTGTCTGGGGGAGATATTTGGCAGACTCTTAACCATYAACGTTATTTCTGTTATATAGAGTATACCAGAAGAGTGCTCAGAGGATCTTAACGAACAAGAACCAGGTGATACTACCCAAGAGGTTGGTGAAATTAAAATCTTTCCTATAAGCGACGATGAAGACSATGATGACCTAGACGATGAACCCTTCCATGGCGAACGCGGACAAGGAGAAGGACAAGAAGACAAAGAATCGTGTGAAGACGAAGATAACGAACAGGATACTGATACTCTTGGGAAAAAGAAGGAAGATCCTGAAGCTATTGCCTTAAAAAAGAGAACGTAAGTACTTGGGGTGAAATCGTGTGACCAATTTGCGTGACATGAAGTGTGAATATGTGACTGATAAAAAACAATCTTTTCTTCTTAGATTTGTTCTAAAAGAACTAATTCAAACAGAGCAAGATTACGTGGTTAGCTTGGGCGAAGCTGTCGATGTAAGTATCCTACATTACCCTTATCACTGTATATCCCAGTTTAGTTTGGACACCTGGTAGGGTACCTGATATGTAAAAATAAAGGGACTCTTTTTTTTTCTTGCACAAAAGGGCTATCTGACTGCATTCAGCAAACCAGAACTCCCAGATGAATTGAAGGGCAAAGAAAGAACAGTGTTTGGTAACATCAAACAGATTTACGAATGGCATAAAACGTAAGATGATGCATTTTAAGTCTGTTTTTTAATAGACTGTACTATGTTACATTCTTGACTATCGATTGGAGTGTTATATTTGTCAAACAGTCGTTTGGTCTTTAGTGATGTTTGCATTGTATCTTTGTGAGGTATATTTGTATAAATTTCTTAATTTGTTTGTTTTTGAAGGGTGTTTTGTAAGGAACTAGAAAAATGTGAAGATGCCCCAGAAAAAGTAGCGTCCGTGTTCTTGAAAGCCGTAAGTAGTAGTTATTTCAACTGTTACATCCATTTCAGCTGTTCTTATTTTAAAACACATTCTTGTACAACAGGAGCGACGCCTACAGATGTACGTCATCTATTGCCAAAACAAACCCAAGTCCACCGCCCTTGTTCATGAATTCAAGGACACTCATTTCCTTGTAAGTGTTGATCATTTTGTCGACGTAAACTACCTTAGAAATTTTACCACTTGTTGTCACAATTATTAGAGGTAGACCACGAAAAAARTCCGGGGGAGACAGAAAATTATCCCGAAAAAGAAATCCTGCACGTAATCAGGTTCAAACATAAATATTGCAGATCTTTGAAAAAATCCAGTTAGCTTCAGAAATAAGTTCAGTACAAAATTTCCCCCCCCCCCCCCCCCCCCCCTCCTTCCACAAGTATAATTTGTTGGTTCCTTGAAATTCGTCAAGTTATCAGTCATAAATACTGTATAAACACTGATAACGTGTTTGTTTGTAGGATATGAAGGAACAACTGGGTTATCGGTTCGCTATCGAGGACTATTTGATCAAACCTGTACAACGAATCATGAAATACCAACTACTGCTCAAGGACTTTGTCAAATATACTGAGAAAGCAGGACTGGATATCGGGGAACTAAAGGTACTTACTAAGCACTCAAAAAACAAGACATTCACATTACATTTGCAGTAGGTTTTGAAAAAAAGGAAAGCTTTAGGAAAGCCGTCGAAACAAGGGAGAGAGTTTAGTTCACTCCAGTCACTTACAATCAAATCATGAGTAAAACAATGTTCTCTATGCTCCATTTTTAACACCGTCTGTTATTTTGTTATTATAGAAAGCGTTACAGTTAATGTACGTAGTTCCCAAGAAAGCTAATGACATGATGAACGTCGGTATGCTGGAGGGATATACAGTAAGTGTACACTGAGCATGCGTCATGTGTATATTGATTGGCCGACACATTTGAATAGAAAGGCCTACATGTTCTAGACAATACTATAAGAGTTTACCGATTCTGTATTACTTATGCGCTCTGAAGATGCATCTACATAAGTAGCAGTGTTGAAGGTCATTAACACTTATCGTAACTTTTTAGGGGAAGATTACAGCTCAAGGCAATCTCATAATGCAGGTATGCTTATATTTAACAAGTAATTGTTTGATTTTTCGTTCCCTTGTTTCATTCAGTTTCTAACTTTTTTTGCTGCTCTTTTCTTTTTCTTTTTCTTTACGATTTAATTTGTTTAACTTCGTTTAGTGTCATTTTTCTATTACTGAGAAGATATGCATATTTGTTTTTAGGACACCGTTTTTGTAGCAGACGTCAARTGCAAGACGAAACTCGTTAAACGAAGAGTATTCTTGTTTGAACAACTCGTAATCTTTAGTGAACCATTTGAAAGGAAGAAGGACTGGACAGTTTACATCTATAGACATAGTATTAAGGTATGACGAACAAAATGRCAACAAATGAGCTTCCTAAAAGAATATCAAATGAGTATCCCTTTGTAATGTGAGAGTTCTTAAGATGTCTTCATTTCTGTGCACATTATGGGCTATAGACGAGCTGTGTATTAGACAATTAACTACRCACGTCCAGTMAAAATGAAGTCACTTCTCTAACAATACTATTTCTAATTTTGCATGGCCATACGTAGCGCCACCTATAATGTGTGACCCCATTCTGTTGTACACCTTTGATCAMGCCCTTGTAATCGACTTTTCAGACGAACCATATGGGCCACACTGATGGCGTTGACGATGACCCTACCAAGTTTGCTATTTGGACAAGCGAGGGCAATGAGTCCGAGATCTTTCTAATCAGCGCCAGCTCTGAGGAGGCTAAGAACGAATGGGTCAACGCATTGAAGACCGTCCTAGCATCCCAGAATGCTTTTGCAATGGGTACGTTTATATTTGCACTTTTGATATCCATTACTGAACTTATTTTTATTTTTAATTTTAAACATCTCAGTTTTATGCTTCTTTCTCACATTTTCCTTTCTTCAGTTTCACTTCCATTTGTTTTCTTTCTTGTTTTCATCTTCAACTCTACTTCTTACTGCTTTGTTTTTGATTCACAATAAACTAGACTTGCACTCAGTGTAATTAATAACTCTAATCCTCGTTTTATGAATGAATACAGCACCTTCGGAAGAAATTGACCAGGCAATAATGGAATGCAATCAAGGTTTGAACTTAAAATGTAAACACGTTATAAACATTGAAACTAAACATTAAGCRCTGTGAAATATAATTTAATTTTGCAGCGTGATAACGACTCGTTTAAAACTTTATTAATTTAACAATTTGAGTTCACGAGCTAATATTATAGCAGAGAATTATTTAATTAAAAGTTCACTAATTCATTTGCCTTGTTATTTGGGCTTAGTAATGTAAAACAATGGACGGAGGAAAATTTTATTTTTTATAAAATATTTGTGTTGATAAATTATTTCTAAAAGATGTAAGCTTTTAAACTACAGTAACAGCCACAGGCGCACAGTAAACCGATAACAACGATAGACCAATCATTAAGTAGCATAATTGCTAATTGCATCACCATATATTTGCAGCTCTCGARCGACCWATAGAATAYCAGAATCAGATGGAACGAAAGAAAACTGTTACGTTCCCCATTGGACCTGTCACAACAGTAGGTCAAGTAACACCAGGATCGACAACATCTACCACATCTAATCGGTCCATGGCTCATCGTGCTAAAAGTCTGCCAGATACAGGCACCTTAACAAGACTTCCTGGCGTAAGTTGTGTATCTAATCACTCAGTTTGATTGTATGTGTACATCTGTATCATTTGATTGTATGTGTACATCTGTATCATTTGATTTATAGCTTATTTGAATTGTTCATGATTTTGAGTTTGGTGTTGTGTTGTGTTTTGTGTGTTCCGTATTTTATGTTATGTTATTTTTTGATTTTTGTAAGTAATCTATATTTGTCAATTGGTGGATATGTTGTATGTGAGTTTGTTCGATCGGTTAGTCTTCATGCATGTGTCTGTTTCTTGTTATTAACGATAATATGTTGTTTAGTCTGCCAGTGCTCCAGCCGTTCCTCAAGTTTCCGGTGCAATATCAAGCTTGGTCAAACACATGCATCTCATCGAYCTTGAAACCGCCAAGTCATTRGACGAATTGACCTCACCCTTCCCCTCACAATCGGTAAGTCAAGTAGTAAAACTTCCCCACTCTCCCATAGTCATCMTCTTGTTATAGTTAKGAAGTTTCATGTCCCACTCTCTGACAGCTATTGTTTTTTCTTACAGAGAGACCGCGATAGGTACATTGTGACAGAGGATTTCAAGGGAAAAGACAAAGATCATCTTAGCGTGAAAAGAGGAGAGATCGTTTATCTTGTGTCGACCAAGAAAGACGATAAAAACTGGATGTATGTGTGTAATGGGACAGCTGACAAACTTGGTCTTGTACCGTCCAAGATCCTGATAAGGAAGCCAGAATCTAATAACAACATCAATGACAGTAAGAACATKGAATCATACTAAAGTTGTTCTATAATGGCACTGACAATCGTTGTTTTTGTAGATTTGGAGGCGTCAAGTCCAGTCAAGAGTTCATCGTAAGTAACAGCATTGAGTTGCTATGAAAAAAAATGACATTACCATCCTTGACAACACGGAGAAAATCAGAATGGTCAGCGCAAAAAAACCTTGAGYTTGATTTTCTCCTCTCCTGCATTCTTATTTATTATGTTTTTATTATCCTTTTTTGCGTATCAAACGGTTTGTTTGTRCAATTTTTGTTTGCTGTGGGTTTTCTATTGTACCTCAAAATTGCAACCAAACAATGAATCAACGTTTGATACGGTTATATCACTTTTTATTTACGTTCATTTTATTTGTTATGTTCAGATTTCCTCGCAAGAAAACTAGTCGCAATGCGAGTTTCTCGTAAGTTCCGTTCTTGTATCAATATAAAGCATTTCTCCTGTCGATTCTTTGTTCGATTTCTTAGTGGTTACCGACTTGCATGATTGTTCTCGTCTCTTGGTTCTTCCTCTGCTTTTCAGTCTTCAAATKTTCTAGTTGTAGCCASGGTCTCTACTCTTTACTGACTAACCTCAACTCTCTAAACTAATCTAACCTTATCTATGGCTAACACGAGATCAATTAAACAGCTTATGAATGTGAACTTTATTTTGAAGTACACTGACTTTTTCGATAAACGAAGCAAGTGACTTTGATATCATTAACTTGACAATCAAATTCGTTTGGGTCTCTTGCCTTCAACGTTTATGAAAACAGTTGTACTCAWCCTTTAGGAGGCTGGTATTGAGTCAATTCTAGAATGGAATCATTAAAATTAAATGACCTGTTTAGTCTTTCCCAGAATAGGAACCGATGCTTTTGAGCTGTGTACGTATGATTCCTTTCCATCCTAGATATTGATTTATATCTACCTTACTAAAACTTTTTTAACATTTTTTTTAACGTCAAGAATAACCATAAACATTTAGTATGATTTAAACACTTACGTTAAATAAAGTTATTTTACAAGTTTATGCGAAAAACTAGTTAAACTATTTGCCTCTAAAGTAGCTGATAATAATAAAATCTTGATAAATTAAACTAATGTATTAATAACATTCATGTTTTCTGAAATCAGAAGCATTAAATCTAAAGATAGAGAGCTGGTCCAGGCTGCTAAAGTCAAGAGAAATAAAAGTTTTTCGTAAGTTAATCGACCAATATTTGGCCCATTCTTTATCAGACCACGTGACCTATGTATCCGAAGTTCGTCTCATTCTCATAAAATGGACAAATCGTTTATGAAAGGGTCTGTTGTCTGATTGACAGTTTGGTCGCCAARGAAACTTAGCTCGGCTTCATCCCACCGGTGAAACGGCCTGAGTGAAGTCGATGCCACTTATGATATTCCTAGTCAACAATGCGTTTATACTTGAATGGTTCATTTCCATTCAGCACTAAAAGGCAAATTGACACTACGGCGAGTTGAGCCGCATTCGTGATCAAAACGTGACATTTTGCATCTCCGCCATTGTTCGCTTCATTGTAATCATGGCCTCACATCAACTTGCGGCACTCTTCGTCAAAACAATTGCATGGAAGTATAGCTAAAGAGCTTGATCACTGCCATGATATGTCCATCCGAGCTCATAATGATAGCTATAAAAGTAGCGAATGCTGGGATGTGACTGCCATTAGTATCGATTAATAACGACGATGAGCACACCAGTACTAAACATTCTTAAGCATCAGACCTCATAAAACAAAAAGTGCCCAAAATCGTCGTTTACATGAATCAAATAAACAATAACGCGCTTGCACATTTTCTCATGTAATTTCGTTCACCGTGCATGGGATGTACTAATTCACAATTAATATTAACGATTCTCATCAGTTTTATCCATTTGGTATACCTCCCATTCACTTTCCATTACCATCATTTCTGTATTTCCTTCGATTAAGCAAAATTGTGATCTTCGATAGGAATGAAGCTGACAAAATTCGACGAGGTACAGCGCGAAGAAAAACAGAGGACTACCTTGGAACAATGACAGATAAACTTAGGAAGAACATTGATAAACTGAAGAGTGACGACGAACCAGTTAGCTCATCAAGTTGTCCTTCAAGCCCGACAAAAGTACGGAATTTTACAGTTTTACGTGATACTTGTCCTTCTAATATTTYCTCCACCTACTGCATTGCATTTGATTTCTGATTTTTTTGTTTGTAATTTTAGGGTCGGCTATTGCCTTCACAAGACGATGGTAAGTGATTTTTTTTATTTTCATAAACGTTTCTCTGCTCTTGTCGTTTGATTTTTGTCCATTTGGGGCCGTATGTACGAAGTCTTAATAAAGTTATCTACCTGCAGATGTTGTTACATGTCTTCCTACAAACAGCTCCCGTGTTTATTTCCGTGCATCTCTGTGTCCACCTTTCTATCTTCCCACCGTCTGTCGTCCAGCAAATAAAAATAAAACCGTTTGTCTGCATCTTTCCGTCCAGCCGTGCGTCTTTCCGTTTATCTGTCTGTTCGTCTGTCTATCTTCCTGTCCGTCCGTTTGTCCAGCAGTCCTTTTGTCTAGTTCCTGTTGGTCAGTGTTGACGTATATCTGTCCGTCTATCTTTCGGTCCTTCTTTCTCAGTTCCTACAATAGTTCCGGTATTCTTCCGTCTCCGCGTCCATCTATTCGCTCGTTTTTTCCCATTTGTCTTTCAGTCTGTAGTTCTAATAACTTGCTATTTCATGATTATAGCTCCACTCAAGTTCGCCGAACCTCTGGAAAACACAGTAATTAACAGCACTGACACAGCTCAAATAACGTGTAAGCTAATGCCCTCTGAATTACCGTACAAGATATCATGGCGAAGAAATAACAATGCTATAACCATTGGTGAAAAATATCAAATACTTCGAGAAGGCGATATACAAACATTAGAGATCAAATCCCCTAATGTTACAGACAGTGGGGAATACATGTGCATAGCTACATGTATCTTGGGAACTATAAACTGTTCGGCTGAGATAACCGTATTAGGTACGTTTACTTGTTGAATACTTGGTGTCGGTATAACTTGTGGATAAGCACTCACGTTACAAGCACTTGTGTTCATGTTAAATATCGTAGATGTTAATGTTTGTAAAAAGACGTCCTATGCACTATGCACTATGTTATAGCTTTATTCATGGTTTCTGACTAGCCAAGACTSTGTCCAAAACTACCCCATGTAAAAATTATTGTCCTACAACCAGGGTATTCATAACGCACGTTTTAACTACATCCATTCTTTTTCGACGAATGACAATTATTAAAAARCAAATTCATCATATTTTCATTGCATAATGAATGTTTCTAAGATTCAGTTTTACMTTGTAGCATTGTGATTGTATAGGAGAAACTGTTAGCCCAGGGTAACCGTGCAATCTTACATGTACTGAATTCARTGCRCATGAGTTATGAAGAAACATAAGATTTGGTACATGTGAGATTCAACGTTTGACCCAGGCCTTGGTGTGAACCATGAATTTAGTTTCATTATTGTTGTCATGCTAAACCATCTTTATAATAAAATTTCATTCACTTAACGTTTGTCATGTGTATGTATCCGTCTGACCATCACCAACGACGCAAACTGTAAAACTCGCATGTGTACTAGAAAGCATTGCTTATAATGAATAAATCAAGAATAAAATGGAATCTCTCATAGGTGTCCCAGAACCTCCCTCAAAACCACGAGTTCGAGAAAAAATGCCGACCTCGTTACTACTCGATTGGGATGCCAATCCATTAAATGGCGGTAAAGAAGTGACCGCTTACACTGTTGAGTACAAAGAGACTGGGGTGAGTGTATGGCAAGCCGCTGTACCCTTTGTCGCCGGCACATCCGTCATGATCGACGACTTGACTCCAGGAGCGACGTACCAGTTTCGAGTAAGCGCCAACAACGCGATAGGAATCAGTCGACCGAGTGATCAYTCTGATATTATTGTACTTGAGCCTGAAAATGGTATGTAAACGTGGTGGACATTTTATGTTATCTTTTGTACTCGGAGCCTTAATTTGGTAATATTGTAAATAAAACTAGAAATTAATRACTATAATTGGGCTCCCTGTGCTCTTACCATTAAATTAACTTTAACCAAGTTACACTAAAAACGATTAATTAATGATCAATGAATAATATTCTAAGACAATCGATGAACCACTAACTCTAACCCGAAAAAGTGATTTTAAAGCAAATGCATAAATTCTTTGAGTTTGTTAAAGTTGCATGCATTAAACATAAATAAAACTTGTTTTTCAGAAGAGTATGTCTAACCACCACAACACACCACGTTCATGACGCCATGGTCATTCTCCATACGCAATAAACTGCACATAAGATGTGTGCTTTCTTACTAAAACAACGGTCACGGTACAAAGCTGGCTTGATTCTTATTTACTAAACAGCTTTGATTTACTATTGAGTAATACACTGGATTTATTGGAATACTGCCAGTTATGTGACCCAAATATATATATATATTTCTATAAAATATATATATATACAATTGATCTGAACGAATAGGGAATTAAATGAATAAAGAAATGAATAAATTAATGAGAAACGACATGTAAATATCGACGCTGTATAGAATCAATTAGATGCTGGAATTAATTTCCAGCACTTGGGGAGAAATTATTGAGTTAATCTGTCGTTTCGAGAGAATCGTGAATCATTTAGTCGTATGTTTGGCTTATGTGAGTAATTGTTGCAAATRAGAAACCGCAAGACCGCTGGGATCTGGGTATGAGTCTCTGCAGGCCAGGACATTGTTGTTTGAACCAATCAGTTCTGCTTTAATCTTGATATACTCGCCTATCACGCTGGCGTGATCACGTGAGGTTTCCCATCGGTCCCTGCAGTCTTCTAAGCGGTTTTTAAGATTATTTTTCATGAATGGTAAAAATTTTGAATTTATTTGTAGTTTTGATATTATTTTGTATTCATGTGGTTTATTTTGTGTYCAGGGATTCTAAATGTATTTAAAATTACCGCTAGATCATTAAGTGAACGACCAAAACCAAAGCAATTATTTATGACGAGTTATTGTTCTAGCTTTGCTGTATTTAGTAATAGTTCCAGCGCTTTCATTGGTAAATGAACACGCTATTCGTGTTGAACATAAAATTGCGTGTTTTTTTTTTTCTCGATAGAAAAAGTATCGTATATCAAAGACGTGAAGTCTTACTACTACCATTGACAGCGCCGGGACAATTCTTGAATTAAATTGCAAATATTTGAAATTCAAATTAAATTAGCCGAGAATGGATGATGTAAAAATGTCGATATTTAGAAAGCCACTAAAATGTCTGTAAACTCTTAAATAGACAATATAATTGTTTATGAATCAATAAAGCTTAGCACCGATGAATTCTGCTGCTCTTATTGTCTACTAAACATTGTAAACCTTYTAAAATTAACTGAAGAAGTTTTGGTTGCAACCGTAAAACAAAGTGGGAGGAGCAATCACCCTATAGATCGTAGAACCCCTCAAACCCCTGGATCGAATGAGTCCTCATCCTCGGAATCCAGGAATAATCTTCTGCTGCTTGTTCCTTACTCCCAAAAATGATGCCCTTGGGCGCAAAGTAGTTAGACCTTGTTCTCATCTAGTCCGAACTAGAGAATTGGTATCAAGTCATCGATCAATCGCGAGCAAAGGTTACAAGTAAATAAGATATCATGAATAATTTTTTGATRAATCCAAAATTTCCACAAGATTCACTTTTATTTTGATTTTTGAACACCAAAGTGTTGTTTAAATATAATTCACCTTGTGGCTATTTGCTAAAAAATTTACAAGAATTATGCGCAATTTTTGAAGGCAAAACAACATGCCATGACATGCGATCGACCTCGGCGATTGGCTTCAAATTCCGGCCCTTGGTTCTCGAGGATGATGTATAGGTGACTCGTGAATTGAGAATCTGAATCTGAATTTTTCAAATTCAACTCGGATGCGAAAGAGTGTCTGAGAAAATCCGATAATTCACGAATTTCCATAAAATATTAAAAATAAATGAAGTAGTTGCTCAATAAATCTGTAATAACTGAATTTTGTGAAAAATTTGTGCAATTTGTTTTGCAAACATTTTCTGCTTTTACTGTAATCATGTCGGTACAGTCGCAAAGTCCTTTGTTTACTCATTGTGTTGTTTCACGGKWATGTGTCTCCAGCCTGAACCTAAATTCATATCATATACTCAAATAAAACCCGTATTTCTGCACCTTATTGCTCCCTTGCTTTGTAATGTAAAGTAGATCTGGTCCCTCGTATAAACAAATAAACCCAATGAAACGTTTCTGTATGACAATACTCTGACACTTCTGAAACAATAAATCCCTTATAAACTGTATAAAAATGGCTTCTCGTGACAACCATAAAAAAAGATATAAAGTGTAAAATAAGACTCTTTATTCTATGTTACAAATAAACGTCTAGTCGATTTGTGAAACTAGGCGTCATACACTATAACTACCAGATTATGAATACTGTAATATGTTTGGCCCATGTTTTCTTTAATGGGAATACAAATCTCATAGTCGCACGGAATATACGCAGAGATTACTGATAATCGTACTGAAATGACGTCATTGTGGAAATTGCCTATCAGTTAAACTAAGAAAAATTAGCCGTTTGTTCTATGTTCCTGACAATAGAAAAAAAATCAAAAATCCGCCGATCAGCCCTATTTCCTGTCATTTCTTATGAGATAACCGAACGCTTTCATACAAACAAATGTTAATCATGTGAATAGGTATCGATCCTTAGAAAAACACTTTTCTTGTCTCGCTCGGATGAAGTCACGACTTTTTGTCAAAACGAGGTGCGAAAGCTAAAGTAGTTTAAATGCTGCATACCAATATATTGGTCCTTTCCTTACACATAATTGATTCGTACTCACGAAACGATAAGTCAAGGCTCGTGTAAATATCATACAGTAATAGTACAAGTTATAATGTAAAGCATAGACTAGTAAAAGGCGTTCTAACTACTGCAGTATATGGAATAAAAAGACCACAGTCAACTCCTAATATGGTAAAGGTGTGTGAAATAAATGTATTTTAAARCCAGAATTCTTCAGTGAACTCCCTCTGTCGAACTGTCTTCATATTAAACGTAAAATTTCCATTAAAACACGTCTATGTCGACCAGTGAGAGTATGTCAACTGCTGGAATACTGATTTGAAATTATTTTTATTCTTTCTGATAACGAAACAATTAATCTGTGAATAGATATTACAAAGTTACCGACCACGCCAGAACGTCGTCACACAGCAGATCAACAAGTCACGTGGAAAACTGATGTTGATTCATTGTACAACATTTACGCTGAACTAGGAAGGTGAGTACGATATTAGACAACTAATTAGAAATACAAGCAATAGAAACAAGAAGAATACATTGGCTATTTTAGGCCCTAGCTCAACAGTCGTACTTAACATGTGTCCTATTCAAGTTAATTTCATGCAGAAATATGACTTTTTACTCAACTACCAGAATTAATTTCTAAGTACGACGCATTGAAATACGACGTTTGATTTAGTTACTTATTCGGATGGTTCGTGACTTTTTTTATTCATTGCAGGGGACGATATTCTGTAGTCAAAAAATGCGTTGAAAAGATATCAGGCAAAGAAACTGCAGCCAAACTCATCAAGAAACGACTGGCGACCAGACAAGACGTAGAACGAGAAATCAGTATCATGAAAAAGCTGAAACACCCCAACCTTAGTTCCTTCGTAGACGCATTTGAAACAGCTAAGACGTACATCATCGTTATGGAACTATTATCAGGAGGTCGTCTCTTTGACTCTCTCGTTGTAATGGATAATTTATCTGAGAAGGTTGCTATTGGTTATACACATGAAATCGTTAAGGGTGTCCAACATCTTCACGATCTGAACATCGTCCATTTAGATTTGAAAGTAAGTGTCTTTCAGCGTTTTAACTAATTTAGATATTTACGCGAATACTTAATACATAATTTCTYCGTTACAGCCTCAGAACTTCTTATTRGACGGTGGTCCACTACCTAAAGTAAAAATTGTCGACTTTGGCAGTGCGAGGGWGCTGACGGGTAAACCAGTCACCCATCAAGTTTATGGTAGTCCAGAATTCTCAGGTATTAACACGTGACTTGCAATAATACTATGCGCGTGGCATTCACGTGATTGACTAGTCTCCTCTCTTTAAAACCATATTTAATATATATTGTATTTGTTTCCCTCAGCACCTGAAGTATTGAACAACGAGCCGGTGGCGTTTAAAGCTGACATGTGGTGAGTAGTTGCTTCTATTGGGATTTGGCTGTGTGCTCTTACAGCCTCAGAACTGAGCTGTGTGCTCAAATTCAGTGCAGTTTTTCATTTGTTTTCTTGTAAATACTGATTGCGTTACTTTTGTTGTCCATAGGAGCATTGGAGTTGTCACGTATGTCATGTAAGTATATCGTAATGAAATAAGAAGGTGYATGCATTCTGTAATCGTTACTTCATTTTTTTGTAGGCTATGTGGAGTTTCTCCATTTCAAGCCGATACAACACAAGATGTGTGTGATAAAATACGTGCATTCACAAGTATAGACTTTCCAGACAAGTACTTCAGTCCCATCTCTCCACAGGCTCAACATTTTATTTCTTCATTACTTCATAAAGACTACACGTAAGAAAACTCATCTTTCACTTAGTATTTGATTGATTTCTATATCGATTCCTAGCTTTGTTAGCTCAGCATTTATYTCAGTTTTTCATTCGTTCGTTTCTTCGTTTTCACAGAGCAAGAGCTGATTGCCAAGATTGTTTGAAGTCCGATTGGATAAGAGTAAGTGGTTGTTCCTAATGCGCACTGTGGACGGATGAGTTACGAGTTTGCTCATTGTGATTTATAATTGCTTTACGTTAATTCTTAGATGCTAAGTCCTCGTCCGCCAAGTCCTGTTCGAACTACTAAGCTCAATATCTCGAGACTTGCAGCGTTTAACGCTAGAAGAAGAAATCAGGTTAGTTTAAGAGCGCGTTATTCATCCATCAGTTTATCAAACTGCATGCGTATTCATTTTATTTCTCATATTTTATTCAGTCATTCATCCCAGCCATTCAACAATCATCTTATTTCTTATTATATTATTTTTATATTCCAGCACGATGTAAAGCCTTTAGCCCAGAACGGAATCTCAAAATCAAAATCAAGTTTAAACAGTATAGAATCAGACTTATAGTACACACCGATTTTCCTACAGCTTTAAAACAACTGTATATATGTACAATATAACAAATATGCCTAAACACAGGTATTGCCAAGATACGAGTTTTTTCGATATTCCAATATTTTCACAACAGAGTTATAATAACAATCAATTGAATAGAAATGCGTTCATCCAACAAATACGAAAAWTATTTTCAAGTATAAATTGTTTTATAGAATTATTCTAAAAGATTTCTAAGTATTTTTGTATTTCAAATCTTAAACAATGAGAGTACGAGGTTACACTTTCATTAACCTGTTTTACGTCTTTTTTTGTGTTGATGTATCCGCCTTCTCTTGAGTAAACATGGACTTGTGAACCCCGAGGGAAATCCTTTATTTCAGTTCACTGCGATAAGCATGTCAAATGTTCAATTATCAGACCTCTATGGTAGATTGCAAATGAAGAAATGTTTTAATTGTTTTGTTTGGTGTTTGATGGTTTAAAGTTATTGTCAGTGAAAATTAAGTTCAAGGGTGTAGATGATATTAGTTACATGTACAAACATTCCGTTGTTTTATTTATTGAATTGTGTTAAAATTCATTTTCAATTTTTTTATCAAACAAAGTCTAGGATTAAAGTACCATAAAGCAACTCAACTTGTAATCGTTTTGTTGTTAGTCATATTGAAGCTGTTTTAAAGTCAATGGGAAGTAAAATGTAAAATGACTGAATTATCCGGAAATGTGTTGTCGGCCTCACTTGGGGATTGTATATTACATAACATGTTATTTCATTTCCTATTTACTTAAAAAAGAGGCCAAAACCCGAGTTCCCCTGCGTACAATACATCCGTAGTTTTCAGTCTTCAGCTGAGACCCAGAAAAATTCTTGATTTTGATTAACAGGGCGCGCTGTGTGGTCACGGGATCGATGGATCTACATACTCCATAGAATTAAAACCACAACCCACGTTGATCCATTAATTCTTATAGAACTTTTATTTCTTTAACTTTGGCTAAGTACAACATTTTGAGTCTGTAGTACATTGTTACTAGTGTTTGCTATCCGCTGTTAAAATCGCCAACCAAAGAGAGAAATCTATAGACTCGATGTGACTAATTCTTACTATTAAATATATTTTTTGTCTTTCAAAGACCAACAAATGCGGTCTGAATCTAGTATTTCTAGATATCCAGCCGCGGGGCCAGTTTGAGTGAGAGCTATTACTATTTTACGGTCAAGACAGGTTGACAGATGTCTGATATTTTCGCGAGTAAATTGACAAAAACAAAATATATACTCTTAATGCGGATATTGTTGTGTCTAGACTCTGACTATTTATTAATCTGCTTTTCACTAGCGACGCAAGGACAAGCGCAGAAGCAAGCACAAGTGAGTTGCACTTGGTGTGTTTAGCAAAATCAAGCGCAAGTACTAGAACAAAGAAAACTAGGAAAACGTCTGATATCTTGCGCTTACTCTACACTGCTTTCGCGGTTATACACTAGACTTTTATGTATATATTGTGCAAATATTTCGATAATAAGATCCAGATCACCATAGCTACCGGTCCAGGTGCTCGATAAATGTTGGGGTCAAATTCAAGCATATTCATATTATATCTTAAATTTACAGTTGCTCTTACAGTATCMTTCATGACGCAGTCACAAGGCTGAATACGAGCGTGGATTGTCCAAATATAGCCACCATAAAACGTGACTTTGGTTTTCATTRTGAGCTCTGTAAGTATTAGTTAAGGGATCAGCTAAAATACAGCACCATTTGGGGCAACAAAACACCAAAAAAGCAGAAATAATTTTGCTGCCTTATGAATCTGCTTTGATGTCACATACACTAAAAGTCTTCCATATATTGCGATATTATAAACGTCTTGTCGTCAGGACGCTAAGAAATGTGTTTCATTAAGTACAGCGATTCCGCTTTGCGAAAAAAAACCCATAAATGTTAAAAGTAAATTTACATACCACATATCTTTCGTGTTTTGTTAAGTGTTTACAGTTTTTGAGAACAATACATCATTTTCTAGAAGCTTCCTTTGGTGTCAGTGTCAATACCTCTCAACAGCCCCTCAAAGAAGCGATCGTTCCCAAATTACGTAGTTAAATTTACACTGTTGTGCTCGTTCTATCTCTAGATATTTTTCTGTTTTCATGCGTGACTACTGATGTCATTGAATTAGCTGTACTGCTTCGTGCTCGTAAGGGTTTAGTAGTTGGATAGATAATATATGCAATAACCATGCATAAACATAGTTCAACTAAACGAGCAGTTGTCTGATATCCCCACCAGGGCCATGGTTCCACAAAAGGCTTTTTTAAGTCATATAAATGATAAACACCAAATAACGAATACAGTTCTAAAACTACTGAAAYCAAWCCAGCYACAGCGACAACACTTGATATATTAATGATCCTCTTYGATCCCTCGCTCGTTGCCGARTCGGTTTCAATGCGCTGTCGATCATCGAACGTTGTTGAATGTCTATTGATGTATTTTATCTTGGATTTTTGGTTGGATTTTACAAGCCAAGCACTGTAGAGAAAGGCAATTACTAACATGGCCCACCACGTGATGAGAATCACTTGACACAGAATGAACAAGCGTGCTAAACGGGGCGCGAAAGTCACAACAAGGTAAACTATCAAAACGAAAACAAAGTGAATGACTATGACGCTGGAAAGGAACTTTAGGTTCTGAAGTCTTTTGACGATAAGCAGCACATTGTTCACTTTGACAAAAGCAAAGTTAATCAGAGAGAATATGGACGTAAGACAGGGATAGCCTACAGCAAAAATGATACGAACCAATACCACAGGAAGATGAAGATATTTGTGTCCTTCGTAAGCATCCAATACGAGGTACAAGAATCGCGTGGATGAGAAAACAAGAAGAAGTCCTGTAACTGCAGTGAAGTATCTTGTCAGCGTCAATGATTGTGAAYTTCTCAATTTAGTCAAGCAATACACACAAAATACTGTAACGATACCAAACAATACTGCAAAGCCATAACTGTGAACCTCCCACCAGGCGTTCCAAATTTGAAAAGCTGTACTCCATTCTGGCAAAGGCTCAGGATTCGATGGAATTGTCTTTTCCGCTTCTGCCGATGGTTCAGAAGAGATAGTAGATTCAGGGTTCGCCATCACTTCTAGCGCTATCGCACATGTGAACGAAATGCTCCAGTGCGCTATGTTGTTTTTATACCTGACTCAACTTGTAGCATAATTTGTGATAATTAACTTGAATTATGAATTATTAATGATCCTTCGTTTCACGCCATGTGCTGCCATCACACGCTGTTGATTGCAAGTTATCAATACTGATGACAACACTTTTTACATTCTACGAAAAGAAGTTTCAAGAAATAACAACATTCATCATATCAGCTCGAAAGTGAAAATATTACAATTTCGAAAGCCTTAGTTCGTCAAGCCTTGAGTTTCACTATATGTTGAAAGCTTGTTTCCTGGTTCTTGGGAAAACATGACACATAAACAAATAAAGGTCACATTGCGTGTCGTTTGCTCTTTGAAATACGAATGCAATACAAATTTGGGTAACAAGAGGGAGAGATAGATTGCGGAAGTCGTCAGCAATATTTTTAGCCATTACGATATGTAGAGTCATTACCAACAGAAAGAACATTCCAAATATCTTGCTTRTTTTTCGTTTAAACCTAATTGCAAAAATGTTGTCCAAAAGAACTTTTGCGCTTAAAAGGAATTCATTGGTCTTTTTGCCTTATACTAGATCTCTAGGTTAAAGTTTTTGCAATAATGTACCATCAAAACTCGGAATAGTTCACACTATAAAGACGCTCTAAGAGCGCTGAGATCGGGTTGGTACGTGGGCAATTAAACTAAATCGATGCCAAATGTGAAAAGAAATAGGAAAATTCATTAAAGCATTGAACATATTTCTGATCAGACGGCAAGCTTGATAGTAGATCTATATTTTACTAACTTTAAAATGATATTTTATAAGGAAAAGGTTTTCAAGGTTGACGATGTCAGAAATGCTTGGCCTCCAAAGTAGGTTATGAAGAGGAGTGGAGGGGGGTACGAATCCCATTTTTTTCATTTCAGTTATATATTCATCATTAAAAATCACAAATAATTCCAGCCGTTTTGTTCAGGTATTCAGTCTCAGTGTATCCAATCCCATTCCTACTGCATTCAATCCCATTCTCCCAATCAAAAATACTGCTGCTACCCATTTATTGCTGCATTGATTGATATAAGAAGTATTTKGCACTTTAATGAATTAATATGATTTGCTGCTCTACAATAGTGCAAATTAAAAAAACCGCATGAGCTTTGTGGATTAGTTTATAGCATCACAGAAGATCCATAATTGTTCGTGTACTTAAAATCACTTAATAATCACGATGCTTTCTTAAAACAAATGTAAATACAGCATGATGAATCTCTTGTGGTCAGTCTGAATAAAAAACAAATTCATTATTGAGCCATCAGTACAATTGTTGCAAACTCAGGCTTTAGAGTTTCAGTAACTAGTGGAATCAGTTAATATTTTACAGAAGTAGTCGCTGTGAATTCAAAATAATCCCAAATGCACGACATCTAGAGTTTTTCGCGATTCCTTTAGTCTCTGACGTATTCGTCTTCGTCTTTCACTGTCTAGCGAGTAGAATTTAGTGTCTTGCTCGTCAGGGGTTTGAGGACTCTCGCATCTCGGTTCGGAGTGACTTCGGTGATGCCTCGGGCTACGTTCGGCTTTATTTAATTGACTATCGACATGAATACTGGACGGTCTTTCTGCAGTGTGTAGTTTTGATAGGTGATGTCTTTCTTTTGATAACTCACCATCAAAGAATGACCTTCTCCTTGATCTTCCCTCTCTCCATTCATTCCATCGACTTTTTCTTTCTGTTCTCCTTAAAGAGTCATTGCAATTTATCCGCGAGGGGTCATGATCAAGTATTTGAAGAGGAGATTTGTCGGGTTTTTGTGCGAAATCTTCGTTTAAAATATCAGGATACAGTTTTGCAACAGATATCATCAAATCTTGAAATTGGTCATTAAGGGATAATATTTGTTTTTTTAAAAACATTTCCTCGGCTTTGATGAGATTCTGTTGAGGGAACAAGCAACATTAGTAACAGTAGCTAGTAATAACTTTAAAACAAACAAACTAGAAACAGCCACACCAACAGCAGAACAATAATGGCTGAATAACAATTGTCTTTCTTGTGAGGAAACACAGCTAGCCCACAAGGAGCACCGCAGCTCACTTCAGCGTCACTATTAGGCTCAGTCTCCAGCCGTCGGGATTTCGTGCGCCCGGGATACTCTCTCCCCTGACGGCTGGGCGCATGGGGTTCGCTATTGTCAGTCTTGACCAATCAGCGAGTGGCCCCCGATATTTTGAGGGGCATATCATYAATAAATTAGCAGGCAGCAGTGTAACAAAATGGCGGACAATTCGTCGTTTGAGATTCTCTTTGAAAGTGCTTGTTTGAAGGCTCTGAAGTCATTTAGCTTGAACGAATTTAGAGAAATACAGCAAAAGGCTCTTAAAGAGATTGTTCTTGGAAAAGATGTCCTTGTTATTCTTCCTACTGGATCGGGCAAATCTCTTATTTTTCAAACAGCGCCACTAGTGTATTTTGCTCGTTTTTCTGGCAGATAATACACCCATTTGGATTATTAAACCTTTGACAAATAGCTTTCGCCGAGACTTCAAAAAATCTTGTAACAGCCATAAACTTTACAAATGTAAATCACTCCAACGTAACGATTTTCGTACGTTCCTGGCCTGTACGTACGAAAATCGTTACGTTKGAGTGATTTACATTTGTAAAGTTTATGGCGATTATTAAACCCTACACATGTTTTACTTGGGGTAATTTCCATTCCTTTCTCTTTTTTAAAGCGCTAACTATTACATTATATCGCTACTTCGCGAAGTTTTCATTTGTAGCAAAACCTTTACGGCTGTTGTCAGATATTTCACTTCCGTTCACTGAAAAATTCACTTCCGTTACGTCATAATATGCTAATTACACAAAAACGTCACGGACATGCGCGACACGTTTCGAACCCCATGCGCCCATCCGTCAGGGGAGAGAGTATCGCGGGCGCACGAAATCCCGACGGCTGGAGACTGAGCCTACGTCACTATTCAATAGAAATAATCGCGGGGCTCACAAACTTGCAGCGGTTAGCAACTATAAAAATACAATTCATCTAAAGAGATAAATTCATATGTATGTCAATGAACACATGCAGAATTTGCTCTATTTCCTTTAGTATAGCGCGACAACCGCTGACTTTATAGGCGCGGTATTCGTTGAAACAAAAATAACATTTAATAACAGGATGGACGACCTGCCCTTGCAAATAAAAGAAATGTAGAAAGAAGGTTACAGACATAGGACATCTTGATGCTAAGCGACATTCCGGTGAACTAAAGTGTGTGAAAACGTTCCCTACGTCATCATGTATCCATGGTGATCAATGGAGCGTAGCTCAAATCAAATACTTTTGACAAAATCTTAATTTACATGCTGTCAAATATTCCTGTAAAAAATCAATAGTTTTTGACGGCATCACGTGTTGCACATGGCACTATGTTAAAAACATTGAATTACGTTTCTATAAAGTTGTCCATCAATTCTTCCATTAAATTATATTATCAGTGTTCACAGAAGACCTTTTAAGTCAATATTAGGCTTATCGCGACTTCATTTACAACACTGACAGACTTTCTGACTCGCACAAATAATAAAGGCAAATAATGCAAAATGCCGAAACATGTAAAACAACTAACCAAACAGGGTCTAGGATCCATAACWAACAAACAGGATCCACGAAAATGGTTTTATTTCAATATCGCCATATCAATGTAGTTTTAWTTTACGTGTTTTTATATTGCTATTCACGTTTTATGCGATTTGCAGTTTACATGAAATCCTTTTTTTAAGTCCCAGTAAAGCAGCCCAGTGCAATGTCTAGATATCCAGTTAAACTCAGATGCATCCACAACGCTGCTCTCATGCTGTTCTGCATATCCACAATATTTTATCTACATCACCCAGCTCTATATCATCAATATTTTGTGATTGTACATATTGTTTAGCATTTTATAAATGAGGAATAACCTTGTGTTGGTATAACTTGTRAGAGCATTTATTGTAGACTGTTTATCTAATACTAAGTTCGGTTAATAAACAGTTAATTAAACAGGACACAATAATAAACAATAATTCAATGTGGTTAACATGTACCGCGTCACAACGTTATGCGGCCGAAATCAGAAACAAATAGAGAAAACATGTTATTCTCACCATTTCTTTTCGCAGTGAAGATACCATTTCACGCGGGTTCACAGAGTGCATCCCAGCCTCGGCCATCATCGCAGTCCCTAAAGAGGTTTTGCTAGATAGTTTCTACGAGCTGAAATTGCAAGTGATATCTCTGYTATGGCCCTCWACCAATCACCTTGTCTTCAGATAACAGCGTTGAATGTCCTTCCAGTTTCGTACTAACAATAATTAGCCCTTTCTTGATTTAAATTACGATGTTGATCAAAAGTTATATCATAAGCGATCTTGTAGTGTACAGTAGATTAAAAGCACGCCAAGTACTTGTGACCACAAGATACTTAATCAAACTTTTCTCTCATCTCGAACTTGCAAAATACGTAAGAATGACATAGATAAGAGTGATGAGATGTTAGATAAAGCCCCAATATCTATATCGATGACCTTGATATCGATTCGTTCAAGCATTTTATGCACAACTCRTTCGTCAACATGCTAGAAAAAAATCACAGATTAGCATATCTAAGGATATGTCTCCAGGGATTCGCGTCCCGTAGAGTTCAATAAAACACTTGTTGACCGCAAACAAAGAAGGCATCTTTCCTGACATGTTTGAATTGTATGTTAGCATTGTTTCTACTGAATACCATGACAAGGTAGCATTAATTGATGTATCATAGATAGTTTAATGACATGGTACTCGCAAAAACACAACTCCCCGATCAAGGAAATTGTCTGTAATTTTTTTGAGTGCCGCAAGTTTCATATGTTTGTGTTTACTTAATTGATTGAACTTCACGCTGGTTTTCTTTGTTTGTTTGTTTGTTTGTTTGCTTGCTTTCTAGCCTTTGCTGTTCAGCGGTTTTGTAACTTGAAGCATTTCGCTGACGCCAAAGCATTGTTATTTGTATTTTATTTTTCTTGAGCCTCATTTGCACAGCGTATCTGAGATGTATCTTATAAAATTCACTAATAACATATCTTTGAAATACGTAATGACGTCGATGAAAGGCTTTTGTCTAGTATGCACCGACATACCCTTTACTCGAGCAAAGTAAGGTGAATTATTCTCATGAACTAGATGCTCTTAGCGCGCTTACTCGTACTGCGGAAAAACAGTCACATGATACATTCCCTGATTTGATATAAGGGGCGATCCATTAGAATTTTGAGGGGGTTGGGTTGGAAGATTTTGCCCGTGCAAGTTTTTTTTAGGACTTCAGGCGCGTTTGTAAAAGTTTTTGGTAAATTTACTCCGTTAGTTGGTAGTTTCTAGTGATGGTTTTGGGTTTATGGTACTTTGCGAAACGAAACGAAATCTGTAGTTTGCGAAACTGTACTTTGCGAAACTGTAGTTTGCGAAATGCATTGTAAATTAAGCTTATTAAAGACTTCTACTCACATTTACCTTTATATCCTAGAGTTATTTCTTGCTTGCCAAAGTAGCTTACAAGTCATTTGATGAAGTTGTTGTTCCTTGAAGTTGGCTAATCACTTGAGTTGCCGCCATTTTGTTGACACAGGACGCCCGCAGACAATGAAAACAAAACACAGGAAGACCAGTAAGCGTTCACATATCGGCTCAAAGAACCGCCACCGCACGGATGGCCGAGCGGTGAGAGCGCTGGCCTGTCACCTCTGTGGACCCTGTTCGAATATCGGTCGGGGCGCCATATGTGATTTGAGTTTCGTTTTCTCCCTTGCGTCTAGGGGTTTTCCGGGTCTTTCCGGGTCTTTCCGGGTTTTCCTCCCTCAGTAAAAACGAACCATTTCTATCTGCTGTGCTCTGCGTTCGTTCAGTCGACGTTGCTATGTGAAGGAAGCGCCTAGCCGGCAGTACGCCTATGTGTAAGTGTATGTAAAATGTGTCTGTAATATAGCACTTCGACTTGAGAGCGCGCCGAGTTGCGTCTTTCGCAATTCAGCACCGGTGCTGCCATGAAGGACGATTAGCACCCAACACCTACCCATCTTACTCGCCCACCTGGTTGGATATCGACTTTTATTGGTATAGGAGTAAATAGGAGAGTTCAATCTATGACAAATCACACTTCGGTTCATGAACATATCATTAGCCTAAGCATATAACGTTTTAACCTAACTATCAGTAAATCAGCACTGAATATTGAAACAACATAGCACAATAAGCCCAGGGGGATGGGGGACTCCCTTACAAGAAAAAGAGCGGGAGTCCTTCGTCGGAAATTCTGAAAATGACCCCTACAAGGGACCTGTATTGTAAGATGATGGGCGCGGCAGCGCTGAAATTTCACCCCTAAGAGGGACCAGTCTATAAACTGTTATTTTGTTTTGGTTTCCCGATTTTATTTGTGTTTTTGCACAAGCAGCAAACGCTGTTGGCTCGTAAAAAAAAAGATAAATGTCGGACAATCATTAAGTATAGGATAATGGATGAGCTCCGAGGCTTATTTAAAATAATATTTTCAATAAGTCGAGGAGCGAGTCATTATCCCATTTAATATATACTCTCATTGTTTTCGAAGAAACGAAACCGTGTCTTTCAAAACTGTGTTGTGCATGTTTGACGATAAGCAAGACAATTTTAATGGTTTTGGTTTTTAGCGGTTTTCTAAAACCCATTGTTCCATTAAAAATGTTACATACATTACAGACTTAAAGTAGTAAGTATAACAATCTCTACATTTTGTACTTCAAATTACATGCTGCAATTTAATTCCATTGTATCGGAAAACACCATTTGAAACGCTGGTGAGGTTTTGCATATTCACGATGCTTTTGACTATGAAACGGAACATTGGCTTTTCACATGTGCATTTTGTTAAGTTGACTTTTTTTTTAAGAAGAACTTTGCTGAGATGGAAATGTTTGAAGAGCGCTGTCCTGGCGAAATGTCATTTGACAGTGGACAGTTTGGAAAACGAAAAGTSTCCTTTAACTGGCGATGGTAATTTTATCGATTCTGTTGATTTATTTCATGTGACGCTATTGTCTTGACTTTGAACTGCTCGTCAGTACTATGTCTGTTCCGTCTCGGTGCACATAATAATGACATGTTTGCAGTTTGAATGTAATAAATTCATTACCCCCACTCTTGCCTGTTGAATTCAAAACCCTCCCCGGCTTTTAGAATCTTARATTATCAGAAATAAAGAATGCTTCAAAACAATGAGTGTATATATTAATTTCCATGATAGAGTGAACACRCTTAATCCATGAAGCTTAAATAATACAAAATGATATTATATTATGTTAATTCCTTTGATTTCTATTGTTAATCAGCAACACTATTTAGTAGTAATTGTTTCACGGATTTAGTGTGTTCACTCTAAAATCATGTAAAATCAAAGCTTTTGGCTATAAATAGTTATTTCACTCCACATAACATCGGAAAAACCCATGCACCAATTTCTTTTATTTATTTATTTTTGTAAACGTTTAATTAAAATAACAATTTTGACAAAACTTCGGCCTTAAAAAACTTACTCAAAACAAGCTRAAATACTGCAGTGCTAGAGTGCAAGCAATATATCCGTGAAATACTTACAAAAGACTATTTTTTACTAAATTTTGCTAAATTTAATTAAATTATTACAAACTATGATTAATTTAGTGTGGTTAGAAAATCAAGACAAGACGCACTTTTAATGTAAGAATCGAAAAAAGAGCTGTAAAAAAAAGTGTTTTCGAAAGAATTTTATCGCTCAAAGCTCAGCGTTATTAGACGTACTTGACACGAACCAACAGCGCCCTTTTAATCTTTGCTTGATGCTTAAAATAAACCGCAAAAGGAGTTTTATCGCTTCTACTGAAAAGTTTGTGAGCTGAGCACCTTTTTAGCATGAGACTTTGGCTCTACTTCCAGCAGCATTTGTAACGGTTATAAAGTGTAGATGGCTTGTTGAGCTCCAAGGACGATGTTTGCATAAACACACGTGCACTTCACAACTAAATTGCACGTGCACACTAAATTTAGTATATTTATACGCTTCGACTATTTTTCACTAAATTTTACTAAATTTTACTATTTTAATTTAGTGTTGCACGGATACTTAATCCGTGCAACTGTACAAAATCTAAGTAGTACTAAAAGTGGACCTGAAGCAAGACGGTATTGAATGCTTCATTTGTATCAATTCAATTTAATTTGCGTATCGCATGCACGATTTACTAAATATCACTATTTAGTTTGTACAGTTGCACGGATTAAGTGTGATCACTCTATATTGTTTGCACTCTAGTATTCACGACAAAAAATTCGCCTCAAAAGAGCTTTACCGGACTTCCTGTGTTTTGTTTTCTTTCTCCGCGGGCGTCCTGTGTCAACAAAATGGCGGCCAAGAAGTATATGAACGATCGAGAACAACAACTTACTTCATCAAATACCTTGTGAAAAACTGCTTTGGTAAGTAAGAAATAACTCTAGGATATAAAAGTAAATGTGAGGGCTTATCAGAGTTAGAAGAAGCCTATAATAAGCTTAAATTTTAATGACATTTCGCAAACTACAGTTTTGCAAAGTACATATTTCGCAAACTACAGTTTCGCAAACTACAGATTTCGCAAACTACAGTTTCGCAAACTACAGATTTCGTTTCGTTTCGTTTCGCAAAGCACCATAAGCCAAGCCCTAACGACATTCGTTCAGAGCCGGCCGAGTTCTTTGTCGCAGACCAAACGTAACGGAAGCTCTGTCTACGAGATTAGAGATTTTTACATATTGCTTTGTCTTTTGTTTGATTGCATACTGATCCATTTGTCCTCAGGGTTCCAAAGACCTGGCTTGTCTTTTGTTTTTGAGCCGTGAAGCCGTGACTAATTTGCCGCTTGAAGTTTCCGTTGATCGATTTTAGGATTCGAACACAGGATTAAAAACGCTCCACAAAGTTGTGGCATTGCAACAAAAGAAATAAARGGATATAAGCCAAACCTGTAAAGTATAACGAGGATATATTATCGTGTATTTATTGGTGTTACGTGCATCGACCTGAGGGTCTATTTTGCTGGCGACTACCGGTTTACACGGTGACTAACCATGGTACTTTATAGWTATTCATAACACTGCATGGTCGTTATTCATGACGTGAGTTCGTGGGTCAGCAACGAAAAATGGCAGCCACCTTCAAACCGGTAACGCTTGGTAATCTTATATCTAAAGATCTGTCTCAGGCATATATTCTACCTATTTTCCCACTGCCCGCTGATGGTCAATATGACAAAGAATTGTTTATCAACAATGAACAGTACAAGGTATATGATTATCCGCCTCCAGATCCGATCTATAACTCTTGTCAGTTCGCATGGAAAGTTTCATGTGCCGCAGGTCATGAATTTGTTGTTTTGGTTGACCATCTTCCCTACCGTGAGCTCAAGGAACATTGGAAGCAATGGCTACCAGTTTTCCCGTCAGCTTCTTTCAAGAGTATTTCCGAAGGACTAGCTGATGACACACCATTAGTTACCGTTGCCGCCCTAGAGTCTGTTCCAGCCAACAAGTACAGCGTACATCCAGACATTATTTACGAGTTGAATCGCAAGAGTACAATCCTGAAGATCGGGGTACCATGTCCTAAACACATGACTCCTGAAAACGTTTCATTTCCATGCGTTGTTAAAGTGGATATGGCCTGGGGTGGTCGTGGTAATATACTTGCTAGAAACCAAAGACAATTCTCGAACGCTTTGGATATGGTGAGAAAGCAAGCAGGCTGGAAAGGTGATCTCCTAATTCAAGAATACTTAGACAACATTATCAAGGTCCACGACTGTTATTTTTATTTATTTAAGTCAGGAGAGGTTTTTTGGCTTGGTGTTTATTTGGGCCAATTTGATTTTAGTGATGGAAAGTTTGAGTGGCTTTGTGGCTTGAGTGATTTTGAAGAGGAATGTGAGCGAAAAAATTATGTGTACGATAAATTCATTGTCCCAATTGCGAAGTTTCTCCACGAGAAAGGTTATTTTGGGGCTTTAAGCTGTGAGATAGTGGAGAATGAGAAAGGCATGTTCCTTGTTGATCTGAATGTACGAATTAGCGGAGGTACAAGTCATTTCCTTGTCTTTCCTTACATGGCACATCTAGGGTTCACTAAGTCAAGCTACTTCGCTAACAAAAAATTCCAAGGCAGTACTCCAGAAATAATTCATAAGGCCAATTTGATTAACAAGTCGACAGATAAAGGAAGAATAGTAATATTCATACTAAATAATTCTGTAAATAATAATAATTTACCAGAATGTAATGTTACTTTGGGAATTTATGGACGGTCGTTCGACGATGTCAATGAGTTGGCACTCAAACTTTCGTCAAGCTGAGAAAACAAACGGAGACGTTTCTGTATGTTTTAATAGTAATGATATTTCCTAAATGCTAATGTATTTATAATATACAGCAAAACATGCGAAATAAAGAATTTTACCACACTTGTGTAGCCTGTGTCACATCCGGACAAACACGTTACATATGGCTTCCAATACATGCGTTACATGYTCTCGGTTTGCACTGATCACGTGATATTCTAAAAATACTTTTTATAGGCACAATTAGCGGAATATTATTATTGTTCTCAAGAGAACTTCTAAATTAAAGGATCACTACGAAATTTTGAGCCAAAATAATGCTTTTTRACAGAAATACGAGCGATCGAAAATTGGTAAGAATGCCGTTATCACGGCTCAATGCGTTTTAGACWGGTCAAGAAATACCTACAAAAAKCTTTGTTTTAAGATCGAAATGAATATTTTATATCCAAGGCCAAGAACAACATATATATATTATGCAAAGCTTGAAGTCAAACTGAAAATTTGTATCAAAAATATAAGCGTTTGAATACGGTCTTACTTTACAAGGGAATGTATAATGGAAAGCCATGACAGTGTAGCTGATCACGAACATTGCGGACAGTAACTCCGAGCGTCGAATTGAGGTCMAAACTAATGATTTTGCTTTAGTTTTACAACAATAACATTTTAAACAATTCAATTAATGCTGAGGCTATACTTGTTTTAAAATTAATAGGCTTTCTGAGGTTTATTTGTCGCGTTTCAAGTCGCGTGACAGTATTGCGTGACATATTTTTGAACGTTAATAACTCAACGAATAAACAGCAAAAAAAGTTGAAACTTTCGGAGAGAACTTCTATCATGCTCTTTAAGGTATTTTASTRATGCAATGTTGTGTGTCTGTGATTTTAGAATTTTTTTCGACTGATGACGTCATGTGCAAACCGAGAATATGGCTTTGTTGACATCCCATGTAATTAGCATAAATACAATTTCAATATAACTAGACGATCGAATCGATCATGACGTCGGGCTACGATCATGTTTAACAGTTATGTAGGCCCTAAGTGATACATGTATACTCACAGCAAGCCGTTAGCTTTTTCGTATTCAAAATATTTGTTGATGTTATATACTATACATCAATTACATATCCCATCGAAAGTTAATATAAGTTATATATTACATCATATTTTTTACAGAACTGATCGAACTCTAAGTAACTTCTTTAGATCATGTCTTTCTCAGTTTTCCAAAATAACTAGCTCGAAAATACGCTCTAAKAGTGTCTATAATATTCAATGCAAGATATCTGAAAGGTCATRTMAACCATAGAAACGGTACAGTCTTTGCAGTTTTGTCAGTATCGTACAACTTTGAAAATTATTTTGATCGTTTGAATCATGTAAGATCTTGTGTTTCTGTTGTTTTTATTTGGCGTTTTTCTTGTATTTGTAATTTATAATTTTACATCTGGTGTTCTGTGCCATCATCAAACAGGTGTATCTGACAGTTTATATTTTTGGATTTGTCTAAGTTTTACAACTGTTTTACAACAGTTGTAGAGGAATTGATAAGGTCGAATTTATAAGACGAAACTAGTTTTCCTCAAACAAATATTGTGTTTTCTGTGTGTCAAAGGAGGGGTAAAAGTTGAAATTATCATTTGACATCCTACAATATGAAAACCTAAAGTGTGCTTAAAATAAATGAAATATAACAAAATACTAAATTAGTAGAGTATTGGTTTGCGAAAATAAAATAAAATGGTATATAATGGGATTTTTAAAAGACAKAGACTGGGAATGGGATTTTGAAGATTGGGAATGGGATTTTGAAGAAAAATAGACTGGGAAATGAGATTAGACCCCCCCTCTCTTCAGGACCCTCATGTATGTCTATAGCTGCCATCGTGCTTGAAACAGAGTATTCGAGMGACGACATGCCAGATATTTTGCTTTGTTCGTTGTCACTGGGTGCGGTGTCTGCGTGAATTGATGCAAACCGATCTTTGAACTACCATAAAAAACCTGATGTTTGTCTTACTATGTTTTTGAATTTGCTTTAGGACCCTTTCTGTGATTTCCGCCAAATAATCCATCAGTACATTTCAAAATCTATTGGTTTAGTTTTAGTGTTTGGAAGACCGTCTATAGTTTGTCCATTGTTTTCTCAACCAGTCATAAGATTCGTTCCGATCGGTGTAGACTGTCGCTTTCTCGCTTGCAGCAATCGAATGTTAGTCGTAGGCATTCGTGTGGCTTTTGTACCCGTACGAAGTTGTAATCTTAGTCGTACTCAAACTGGTCACTCGTAWATCAGTCGCTTGTACTCGTATCTAAATTGTATTTCAGTCGAGAGTCGCCTGTAATAAGTTCTTGCATGAAACGGTCACATGGTWCTAAATCCGCCAAGGAATGTAAACAACCTTAAAATAAAGCAATAAAGGAACTCAACACTTCAAGCTTGACTTTTCTTTATTTTGAACATTCCAGTGAGTATTTTGTTATCCAGAATGGTGGATTTAGTATACCATGTGGTCGAATGTTTAATGCAAAAGGCCTATCGTAGCTTATCGTACAGTCAATCATCCCGGGGGGGGGGACTCCCTAATATCAAAGGGCGGGGGTCCTCGGCGTCCCTTTTAGGGTTTGAAATCAGTATTTTGGTCCTGCTTAGGGTGATCATGACAAGAATTCCTACCAACTGTGTTTTGTGGTCCCTTTTAGGGTATACGACGACCCTAAGCAGTCATAAAATGGCAACGTCGTCATAAACTCAATACGAGCCGACGGTGTTCGATGATTGTGTAAAAACACAAATAAAATCGTTTAACCAAAACAAAATGACCTGTTATTGATTGGTCCCTTTTAGGGTTGAAATTTCAGCACTGCCACGCCCATCATCTCACAATAGAGGTACCTTTTAGGGGTCATTTTCACAATCTCCGCCGAGGACCCCGCCCTTCGATATTAGGGAGTCCCCCCCCCCCGGGTCAATCATTAGCGTCGTTCACTTGTGACGGACATATGCATAAAATGTTTTTAGAATTTTATTTCTAAACTTTATTTATTTATTATAAAAATATCGAAAAAACAGTTATTGTCATCGTAAAGAAGTTTTGCAATTTTATGTTGAATATTCTGTAAAGAAATCTGACGTACATGATGTATGCAAAATGAACTTGTTGTTGATCGCAAAAGTTCCAGAGTAAAACATAACTGGAGGACTAAGACTAAGAGGTTATCAACCGAGCGAAAATAACCCCTCCAAAAATGTTCATAAACTATTGAACCATCTTTATTGAAGTTTTTTGATATTTCAAGAATGAAAAGATACGGTTTAGAAACGATATTTTGACTACACGTGAAAAGCCTTAAAGGGCATATGACACAATTTTTTTTATTTTGAAAATAGAACCAATATGAAGGAAGTAATAGTTCTGTAAAGTGCCACTGGATGTAATGCAGGCTTCTAATTTCAGAGAAAAATGGATTTTATGCTAATTTGATGACATCAAGTTGTTAACTCATTGATAATACAAAATTGCCCGATTGTTTATTGTCACCTTATTGTTTTGTAGAAGATATTTGTTATGTAATCAAAAACAATCTTTCACAGTTTGACATGGGTAAACTTGGAACACTTGTTACAAAACACAGTTGAAATTTTATAGAGTACACAAAATGATGTCATCAAATTAGCATAATGGATTTTTAACTCCGATTTTCTCTGAAATTTGAAGCCCTGTATCAAGTGGTAATTAACCAAGCTTTTATTCTTGAACTATTAACTCTATTTTTCAAATAAAAAAATTCGTGTCATATGCACTTTAAGTTTGTCGCCACAGGTAGCCCATCTCCCGTAACTTCTCAGAGACTGGGAAGCCTGTGATTTCATTCTTGCCAAGACACCAGTTTGAATCTCTTCGGCTTCTCTTCACTTTTGTTTTGAGTAGTTTGCGGACATATGATCTGACTTCTTTTGAGCTTTTACAACATGATATTGAGTTTTTCTTCCAATATAATCCTTTTTGGGCTATCTTTGAATTGTGGTGAATACTTTGAGCATTTCTAAGCTGGATTGATGCCGTTGGCATAACAACTGTACGGTCAACTCGGAAAWGAGCGGGAAAGTCAAGTGCTAAGACGCGAGCGCGGACAAAAAAGGCGGGAGTAGTTGAAATTGAACCGTCTTTCTTTCAGATCATTAAAAGATGGATGTTGTTTGCATTTTTTTATTGCAAAGAAAAAGTCGTAAATCTTATAAACAAAGATGCATCRATTCCACCGGTCCAACTTACGGAAAATATGGAAGTTGGACCAATACCATATAGCAACGGTCCAATACGGCTTTGGACCGCAYGTCAGTCAATCAGAATTCAGGAAATTTACAAGCCATATAKAGTRTATACTGTATATACGACTCGGGCTGACGAGTAAAGGCCACTGCTCAGTACGAAAAAGACACAAAAGACACAAACCATGATGGGGACTARTACTTGATCCATATATAGCGTGGACGTTCCACAGGTATCTCTAAACCCTGATCATATTCGTGCAATTCCATRTCCTATTTAAGACAAATTAGTAAAATATAGACCCTGATCTAAGACTTGTGGGTTGATATAAACCAGGTTGTGTTGTCGAAAAAGATGTCATCAATAGACAACTGAAGCTCAATTTTATACCCTATTCAAGGGTATAAGGCCAGAAACCATTTTCTATTTGTCGGAACTTCCCCGGGCAAACAMTTAATTAGAATATGACTTTGGAAATTTTGCTAACTAATTTTTTGCTAACTTTCTTTCAAGAAATGTCAAGTCCAAGCATTCATGATTTAGAAGTCCTATTTACAAATGAGTTCAGTCATACTCAATAGATTGTTGCTTAATTGTTAATAAAGTTCTGATTTCTTGCAATCAGTGCGAAAGCAGAGTAGTAGGGACATATGCATTACTCAAATCTTTTCATTTAAATCCCTGATTCAAAATCCCATATGTTAAGGCCTGCTTRATGTGTAAGTGATGTGTAAGTCTCTGCAGCATGATGCAAGGGAACAATCTATCAGAATAACAATAGACAGTTAAAGTAATGTCACATGTATCGCAGGAAATGGAGTTGTGGAGATGAGGCGAAATAACACCTTAACCAGCATGACGGAAGTTAACAAACTGCTCATTTCCGTGTCAGAGAATGCGGAGAATACCTTTCTTGTTACAAAATTTTTGTCGTCAAACTTGAAAGAAACTAATAAAAACAATTAAAAAGAGGTTAATCAAGGTCGGTACGCGTGAGCTTTCTGCATAGTTTTGATCAAAAGACGAAAACTGACAGCAATTCTTACAGTAGTTGCGATAAATCGATCAGAAAATACTGAGAAATAGTGGAAACTATCGGTAAACTAGTGTGAGCTGTGTCGGTGTTTATCAAAGAAACAGTTTTGTAAAAGGAAGAATTTAACACCATAAAAAAGTAGGTGAAACAACTTACTGAAGTTTTCGGACGTTAATCCTAAATCGGAGTAAAAAGAGAAATTCTAGACGACGCAAAACATATAAAARAMCTGTAAAGTTTCGGACCTTGGGAACGTCCCGTAAGCTTTTTTTATCAGTCTCTGTGCGGTTTATCTGTTATTGAAAGTTGTTTAATAAAAAAACATTAAAACAATGGATTTTGAGTGTTACGAAATGAGATAATTTCTGCGAAGTAAAAAAGTAAAACTTATTGGTGAAGCTTTTTTACATCATTCTCCTGTACACTCAATGCTTACTCTTTACTCCGACGAACGATTAACGTCCGAAACGTCAGTAAATTATTTCACATACTTTTTTTACGGTGTTGAATTTATCTTTTTACACAACTGTTTCTTTAGAAACACCGACGCAGCTCACACTAGTTTACCGCTAGTTCCCACCATATCAATGCTTTTCAAGAAAAAAATATCTAATCAGATTCTGTTATATTGTCAGGTCTTTTTAATTTTTTAGTAAGACGCACCAAACTSATTACTAGACTAATACAATGATTATTGTAAGTATCTAATTATCAGTTTAGGTTTTTATAAAATCATCTAGGATCAGTTTCACACTATCCATTGAATTACCAAACAATGACCAGGATAAGTGATTCAGAGGTGCGAAGTCCGTTAACAATGGGTGTGCCAGTGACCACTTATAGTAATGCAAGGTGACAACTTTGTCATAAACAATCTATTGTTTTTDTGTGTTTGTTATCGTGTAAGCAATAATTCCACTTACTGGCTATATTGGTATAAATAGAGGGACAGTTCATTGACAGTTGCACCATTCTACGGAACACATCGTTAAGCTCTCCAAGTTATAAGATCACAGTTCTCCTACAATGAAACCTCAACAGCMAGCTAATGAAGGTAAGTTTACTCTAATCACATTAAACTAACGCTCTTACTTTTCATGCAAACCTTATTAAAGTAATCCAGGAAATTCATTTAAGAAACTAACTTTTTGCACCTTTCTTTGCTTTAGGCTCACGCTTYGGCCAGAGGCGGAAAAGAACCTTTTTCACCAACAAGCAGCTGAAACGATTTGAGGAGGTTTTCGAAGAGGATAAATTCCCTGGAATCGAGATWAGAGAAAGACTTGCTAACGAGTTTGGAATCAGGGAGGATAGAATTCAGGTAAGACACATGCATTTGATTTTGCTTAAAGCTAGAGAATATGAATACGGAATTGATGTGCTAACCTTTCTTACTTACTGTAAATTGAGGACAGTGAACGAGTTTTCAGTTGTAATCTTTAGTAAACAATTACATTTAACGATTTCTAAAACTATCATTGTTTTTTGTCTTATCAGGTTTGGTTCCAGAATCGTCGTGCTCGCTGGCGACGACACGAAATCAAAAACAAGCCTGCGTCGAGCGATCAATCAGAGGCTACAGACAATGATTTTCGACCTGCCTACCCGCCGTATTTCTTCCCTTTGAATATAACACCTTTAGCCTTCAATGCAGAATTTATCAGCCAGAATACACCAGGCTTCGTAGATGTCACTARCATGYCCACAACAGTCCCTTACTGCCAAACACCGAACTACTCGATGGACGAGTATGCAGCCGCCTTCGGACTTCTTAGTGTATATGATCGACAAGATTAGTTTTCGTTTTTCATTTGTGTTTGATGTAAATATTAACTTAAGCTTTTAATTTAGAATGTGAATGTGTTCGACTATGGCTTGTTCAACTTGAAAGTGATTGCTAATTATTGATGTAAATGTAAATATCTACTTTTAGCTTTTATTAAAGATTTGTTTGAGAATTATAACTGTGTTGTTTCCTGACGGTTCAAATTGCTCATTGCACATTTACGGTTATTTTGTTAAAGCAGTATAGCTATAATCCAATGCTAATTTTCAGGGATTGATTTACGCGAAAGATGMTACGCAYATTGACTCTGGTGTACAATCCACGAGTAAGCCAATTGGATTCCCTGTGTTTTTTAAAAACCGCTGAACTGTGTCGCTGGCTCAGACAGTCTGACAATTCATAAAATACAGCCACGTAAAGAAACTTCACAATAATATTCAAAAAGCCTCAGTTTATCTTATCTTTCTTATGGAGAATGTACTCGAGATGTSATAAGGACGCATGCAGCTCATCAAGTCTGTTTTTAAAATATAGATCGTTCTTCTAAAGGGTTTTTAATCGGCATTGCAAGTTTTCCAAGTCATCATGACTTCGCAATTTGGCAATGGTAATGTTATCGTAGTGACGGAAGATCGGCTTTTTGATGTGGAGCTGGACAGAGCTGGGAAGAAGCTGGTTGTGGTTGATTTTACTGCTTCTTGGTCAGTATAATTAATAGAAGACATTGAGATYTGGAGTCATATACCATCAATTTAGTAGGGGACTAAATAGTGCACAAGCATAGCTTATGTCATAACTTAAGCTTAGGGACGGGCCATTAGATGAGGGGGTGGCTGGGCAATAACCCCAAAAAAAATTCGAGCAAGGCTTAAATAGAGAAAAAAAAATTCGTGCACAGCAAGAGTGAAAGAAAAAAAAAGAAATCGTGCAAGTGAATAATATCAGACTCACAGATGTGGAACACACTTTACACAAACAATGACATTTTTTTATTTCATTTATATTTTGCATTTAACAAAACATATCTTATCTGCTGTTTTTCGTTTTCTGCTATGTTTTTAGTGACAGACATGATGATTATTGGCCATTTTGGTGGGCTATGACGCATGCATTTTCATCAAAAGTCGGTCATTTTTGGCCATTTTGGAGGGGTATAGCTCCTACATTTTCATTAAAAATCGGTCATTTTTTGCCATTTTGTTGTGCTATAGTCTATGTATTTTCATCAAAAGTCGGTCATTTTTGGCTATTTTGGAGGGCTGTATCCCATGYATTTTCCAATATATTTTATCAACATAYAATGTGTTAAAAACAATAACTTGAAATCAGACTAATGAAAAAGTTCAACATTAACCTATAAATTCTGCTGAGAAAAACATTTAAAAAAGTATTATATTCAATGTTTTGAAACAAAAAAATTGCAAGCAAGCAAGTCATGTGTAAAAAAAAAATTCTTTCACACCCACAGTCGTAAAAAAAAATTCAAGCACACCCAAAATTGCCCAACACCCCCCTCAAAAATCTAATGGGCTGTCCCTTAAACAGGAAGTTCCGGTATAAAAGACGAATGGCCAGGCCAAATCCAGCTCATTAGCCAATGGSATGCTGAGAAGAGAGGATCTCACCCTAGCCKTGATCTTAGAGCAAATTTTATATTTGAACAAGTAAAGAAACTTTTGCTTTTAYAATAACTATTTTGCAACAACTTTCAAAAGAAATCATTGTTTATTACACTGATATTTTAAAAGATAGTGAAAGTGAAAAAATTTAAGCAAAAAAGGTCAAGACTACAATAAAAATTTCATTTTTGCATGGTCCTACATGGTGTCTCAACCCTAAAAACATGAAAGTGAACCCGAAAATAATTTATTTTTTAGGATATTTACTCATCCAAAAAAATATGCTAGACCTCAAATGTGACAACTATATAAGTAATGAATGAATTTTAGTTGGTTCTGTACAATATTTTGCTTGTGCACAAACGAAATAGGTCAGAGATCTTCATTGACAAAAACAATTGAAATATCTGATGGAATTTGGTACCATTTTTCTTGAACGACCGATGGGAGCAGCCCTCTAAAATTCTCTGAATGATTGCTTTTATAGTAAAAAAAGTTAGACAAACCAAAGAGACATCCATTACCATGAAAAAACTTGAAATTTTTCAGTGAACATATCGTTAAAAATTGTCAAAGAAGTGTAAAAGCCAATTTGAATGTTCGTTCATCGTCTTCAACAGCCATATTGATTTCAAATTCTGGTTAGCATCAATTGAAGACATTTTTAGAGTTCCAGGCTGTGATTCGTGGGAGCTTTTTTGCTTTTTCTATTGAGTGAATGTTGTTGTCTTCAGCTAACAACACTGCTCGACAAGAAAATAATAAAAYGTTTTTTCTCCAGATTTCCCACTTTATTTCAAGGCTACGTCTGAAATGATTGGCTTCCTCATCGGCTAAGTATTGAGGTGAAAGGTGATCCTGCTTCCCTTTTTTGAGACATTTATCTACTAAAATAAACTTCAAGAGCCTAAAAATATTCACTGCTTTTCGAACTGTTTACAAACCTGGCTTTCCTGGATGTGCAAACACGCTGAAGTTAACGAAAATGGCGGGACTTTTTCTGTGTGCTTTGATTTGATCGTCGGCTCCCATGGGGATGTTGCAATTTTTTGTTATATTTTTTGCCTTGTTTCTGAACTAAATTCAGGAATAATTTGTATAATTTTCATCTTATATGACTAGGTATTTATTTGATAAGCGATTAAGCAGAGAATTTTGACGATGTGATGTAAACTTTTTTATTTATTACAAAATGTTTGTGAGTAGAGTCTCACTTTCCGCCTTGTTTTTTACTTGAGATAGGCAGCCATGAAGCTGGATGACGCAAGGCTCGCGCTATTTACACCGGAACTTCCTGTTTAAGTATTATTTTTATTAGGTCATTAGTTTTCTAACTATGGTAGTTTAATTATTGTAGCTGATGTTGCTATCATTAGATGCCATTAGTGTATTATTAGAAAAGCCACCCGCCCATACCGTAAATAATCTAATAAATATCACCTTTCTAATGAACGCCTCCTATCTAATGAACACTCCCCCTGTGCATACAAGTTTTAAACACCTCTCTCTAACAAACGCCCCCTGCCCATTAAACACCCCCCTCTCCCCTCCGTGCCACCATCAGTCACTAGAAACAAACCACTTAGGAATGCCAGTAACATAAATCAATTTAATTGTCTTMTTGCTTAATTAACACTGGTAAGTGAGTAACATCTTGTTTAATTTCTAGTTCAAAATGAGGATAGTGTTCTCTGATTCTTCTGATTTCATTGCTTAGCATCAGCAGTTTTCTTGAGTTTTGTCCTAGCAGTGTAGCACTTAGGAACTACAAGGCCTACTTCCCTTTTTCTTTTAGGTAGAAGTTGTAAATCATAACATCACATTGTTACAGTTTTATTTTAGAATAAATGCATTTCTCTAATAAATGCCTTCCTGTCTATTAGACGCCCCCCCCCCTCCCTCGCCCCCCTCCCCTTGGACCATTGGACCCTTGGCATCCAGCTACGTAATCTAGAGACCTTTGTTCGTGTGTTCCTTGTGAAATAAACCACACGGGATGTTGGGAGAACACGAAAAAGGTGTAAAAATCACGAGCTGGAGGTGAGAGGTTTTCAGCCTTTTGAGTGTTTTCCCAATATCCCAAGTGGTTTATTTCACCAGGAACCCACGAAAATATGTTGTTTATTGCTTTTAATTATATCATTTTCGTATCCATGCATTTATCAGTGAAATAAACAATAACATTTGACCAATCAGAGTGCGTGTACTCTGATAGCTATAATATACAAAACACAAATGGACAACAAATGAATGAACAACTTGCATACTGGTGGGAACCCTGTGTCATTCCAATTGACTTGATGGTTTACAATGTTCACTAAGTTTGGAGCTTTGCTATGACTTGTAAAAGGCCATTTAAAGGCCCAGTGTGCACCATTTTGGGGGCTGCAAGGGCCGGGAGGTGGTCATTTCCAGTTTACCAAAAGTCTTTAAATTGTACTGCACTTTAAACAATTAAACGCTAATATGAGAGTTTTCATCCATCTGAAATTCGTTTTATATTGTCATTTGATTACCAGAAGTATTTTGGTGTAAATCATAACAATAATAGAGGCGCGCAAAGCATAATGGTGCAAACTGGGCCTTTAAAAACTTTACAGTCTTTACAGACTTTACAGTCKTGGTCTAAGAAAGTTAATCAATTCCCTCATCAAATTGTCAGATGGGTATTTCTTCTGTTTTTCTTCTCATCCAATGGGCATTTTATTTCTTAAATATTTTCATCACTAGTTTTCATCAATGTATTTGTTTAATTTATCTCAAAAGGTGTGGGCCATGTCAAAAGATTGGACCAGTTTTTGTCCAGCTTAGCATGAAGTTCATGTCTGTCACATTCTTGAAAGTTGACGTTGATCAATGCCCAGTAAGTATGCAGCGATGGAGCATTTGTTCAATAATCAATAACAGTTTGTAGGCTTGATTATTGTATTGTATTAATAATTATAAAAGGTTGTTAATACTGCCAGTTACTGCTAGTTTCTATAGAAAGTGAAATACTGACAGTTACTGCTAGTTTCTATAGAAAGTGAAATACTGACAGTTACTGCTAGTTTCTATAGGAAGTGAAGTGTTGTTTTTGATTTGAAACAAATAAATAAACAACTTAAAGATACTGCAGAGAGGATTGATTAGCGATGCAATGAATCTCATTCAGTTAATATTTCTTCAGTTTGACAAATCAAACTTAAGCTTTTATTCTTTTGCTTTTGACAGCACTGACGTTCCATTAAAAACTACTAGTTATAATTGAAATAGAAGGAAAAGTATTTTGCAAAAATATTAGGCAAATATTGCATTTAAAGTATCTGGAATAGGAAATACTTTGTTCAAGATATGAGCTACTTGATTTGCACAATGCTTCAAGCAAGTAATATCAAATTGTAATTTGATTTTCATGTGTGATAAGTGTATCTCACAGTTATTGTACCCTTGCATGCATCACCAATGATTTATTGCAATGAAGTCAAACATAACCTTTATTTATCAGTCATCCATTATATATCTTGACTGTTTTATAGACTCTCAAATAAATCTCTAATTATTGAATAACAATATGATTTATTAGTTTACAGCAGAGACTAATGGAATTAGAGCAATGCCCACATTCCAGTTTTTTAGAAGTAAAATTAAAGTTGGTGAAGTGAGAGGTGCAGATGCTTTAGGCTTGGAGAACAAGATCAAAGAACTGGTTGACCCTCCACACATCAATAAYCACATTGTAAGTTGTTTTATGATTTGGAATTCTTCGAGTTAAACAAAAAAGGTTTATTATATGAATAAATAWTTGATTAATGCTTTATCAGTGTAATGATCCAACAGCATGCACACACTGTCAAACAGTGTCTGGTTTACCATTTGACTAAGCTTGACAATAATGTCTGGTTAACTGATTGACTTTAGACGGGTAATGATCCAACAGCATGCACACACTGTCAAACAGTGTCTGGTTTACCATTTGACTAAGCTTGACAATAATGTCTGGTTAACTGATTGACTTTAGACGGCAAAGTGTCTGGTTTACTGTTTGACAATGTCAATAATGTCTGGTTAACTGATTGATTAGGATACATGTAGCTATAATATTGTCAGCACAGTACAATTTAGTGTTCTCAATTCTCATTTTATTCTGATATAATTGTCATACTCCATAGGTTATTGATCCTAAGAGAATAGCTGTTGGTAGAAGTTGGAGTTGTTTTCAAGAGCTGACATCCAATGAAAAAGATATCTTCATGGACACTTCAGATCTTATCCTCAAGTTTGCTAAWAACATTTTGAATAACCCAAACAACAAAAAATACAGGTCAATCAGGATTGGAAATAAGATATTTCAAGAAAGGCTTTTGCCGGTGATGGGGGGTGTAGAGTGTTTATTTGCTATGGGGTTTGAAGAGGTTAGTTTTATCTAGACAAACATTTATTAATGAGCAAGCCCTTTGTACTCTTTGAACCAATAAAATGCGCCCAAAAATGTACCTTTTCCAGCTGCAGGCACAATTCATGATTTTGGGCATTTTAAACAAGGGCTCAAAATTGGGAATATAGGTACTGAAATGGTTAGCTTCGAAAACCTGTTGTAAAAACGGAATTCTTCGGCAAAACTTCTTTCTAGTAAAAAGGTGCTATTTAAAGAACAACTGTAAAAAGGAGTGGCTTTTTCCCGCCATTTGCTGTATGATAGTARTACTCCCTCTGCCCGTAATACTAAGGGTGGTTAAAGTCATCTACTTCATAGATTTCGTATGGGATTTAATCTGTTGGATAAGGATTTACTCCGTGCATAGCGCTGTTAACCCTTCATACAACCGGCCATCGGTTGTTACGGCAAGCTATCATAWCTCAATACTCTTAAAAATAATACTGTAATTGCAGCAAGACGATCATTTAGTGTTCCCGACAAAGACATCTCTAGATGCATTAAAAACATTGAGAGACGCCATTCACGATGAAAGGACTCAAAAAGCGGTGTCTCCATGCAGTGGTYTGCCCAAGCCCTCCCCGTCCCTACATAGTACAGATCGCCAGATGAATAAGCAAACAACTACGCCATCTGCAGCTATATCAACCGAAGGAATGGTAAGTCGTACATCAAGCGTCTATAAAATGGTCTTTTCCTCTTATGAAGTCATCGTGTTCTGGCGAAGGGTATCATGGTATTGATGAAAGTAGCAATATGGCGGATATCTGTTTGTACATATGGCCAACTTCGTCTCCGTGTCATTATCCCTTTTAGGGCCCGACCGTAAACGAAGGGATAAAGGACTGGGAATGAGGTTGTCCCACTTCATTAGGGGACAGGACCATAGTGACGGAATTTTTATCCGACTTCCATACAGTCAGCTCTCGGCTTGTGGACGATAATTATTACAGGTTATTATGGACACTCAAGTGAGTCTTCACACCAAAAAAGTTACTGAAAGTAACTGTTGTAGCGGTGGTTCTATGAAATACATGGGAATAGAGATGATAAAGCGTATAGTCCTAGAAAAAGACTGTTTTACTGTTTTAAACAGACTGAGCAGTCGTGACCTGTTACCAGTAGTAAAACTCTAAGAAGTTCGTATAAATCAAACAAAAAYAACAAGAAGACATAGAAATGCTTTACGTTCTAACATATCGCCCATTTTTCCCTTTCTTTTTTCAGGCTCCAAACCAACTTCAATTTTACGCAAAACTACGAAGTTCGTCTGATCACGTGATGCTGTATGAAGATCCAGACCTTCAGCGACGTGCACGCGCACTTATTCCTTTGTCACGGCTCGAAAGTAAAGCCGAATTGATGAGTCAAAACAGTAAGCAAGGAAAGGAAAAAGGAATACACGCCCGAGACTGCTTGATACTCGCTTTGTTGGACTGGTTTAAAACAGGTTTGTGGAAGGATTCTGTAATGACCGTAAATAGWGGCATATGTGAGAATGGATGGATGAATATGTAAAAAAAGCGTGAATAAACGGTAAATATTTTGATTAGTAAGGGATCAATTTTGCTCATATTAAACGAATGATAAATTGGAAAGAAAAACATCGATGAATGGAGAATTGCATACAATGATCGATTCATTAAATAAGGGTGAATTTAAATGATCAATAATTTGATTAATGCTTCAGAAAATAAAGAATCTGAAATTAAAAACTAGGTTATTTTAAAAGCGTTATATATTTTTTAAAATAATTACAATGTTTTTGTGTAGAATTCTTTAAATGGATAGACAAACCTGAGTGTCCTCCGTGCAAGACACAAGGTCAATTTCTAGGAATTGTTCCTCCGACGTCAGAAGAAGAACACTGGGCGGCAGGAAGTGTGGAGTGCTACAGCTGTACAAAATGTCACGGAATGATTCGTTTTCCGAGATACAACCATCCAGCTAAATTGCTCGGTAACAAACTATTACATGGTTTTTGTTTAGTTTATGGAATGGAAAAAGAAACAACTCTCTGCTCTCTTGTAACGGATCATTTCCSCGARCGAACGKTATTTTGAAGAGTTGAAGATAGAGGCAAGAGAGACTTTTGTAGCAAGAGAAGATTTCTTTCTTTCGAATCCAGCCCACTCAAATCCCAAACCCCTGCCCTATATCCAACAGATCAGGAGACATTTGTTTCACTTCCATTCCCGTTTATATGATTACAAAACTCTTATAGCTTGCTGAAGGTTTCATGTTTGCTGTTTTAAAACATTTTCGCCATGTGTTGTTTTTGTTTCAGAGACTCGTCAAGGGCGATGTGGTGAATGGGCCAACTGCTTCACCTTATTTTGCCGTTGCCTAGGATACGAGTGTCGTCACGTGGTCGATTGGACTGATCACGTGTGGACTGAAGTKTATTCAGAGGCACAACAAAGATGGTTACACTGTGACGCCTGTGAAGGAACGTGTGATAAACCTCTCTTGTACGAGGCCGGATGGGGCAAACGTCTGACATACATCATTGCTTTCTCAGTAGATCAGGTATGAATTATGTTTTCTAGTTTCAGGGTCATGTTAGCTGTTATCGTCCATTCCCGGGCCTAGTCATAGTTATGGTTATAGTTAATATCTATGGTGTGGCTCACCCATAACTGCTTTGTGATGCCAATTATGTAAGAGTATTACTCCGGCTTCCCGAAGATGGAATTCCTAGTCTTTGCCCCTGGTTTCCTATCTCTGACAAGGTATACCATAATATGCAACATAAATAAARATGGACTCAAGAATGTGCTATGGGTAACCCATATACATAAATACTAGATTATTTCATCATCTGGCACATATATGAATATGKGTACAATATGTACATTGACTTAGAGGTCATTAATCTGTATAGTTAATATCGTTATTTATTCCAGATTGTCGATGTCACGTGGAGATATTCAGCCAATCACAATCAAATCCGACAACGCCGTAAGGAGGTATCTGAGAGTTGGTTGGTRACGACAATTGGAAAAATGACAGAACAGGTACATCACTTATAGTACCTGAATAATTAGTAATTATATATGATCTTAGAATGTCTCTTTAACAAATTTGCGCACGGTTTTGAGGTTTATGTCCTCTTATTGACACAGTCTTGACGTCATAAAATGTTTAAAATGTTCGCTGCAAAGTTTTGAATATTTCATGACATCAAGAGTGCGTCTAGCGAAATCATCAGTTTTTTCTTTCAACTGAGCACGCKCTCTTGAGACGTGATGATGTCAGCAATATTGTTCTCATATTTACACCAATCAGCGCAGAAGAATTCACAAAAAATGGCGAAATGCTTTTATTTTGAAATTCTTGAAAGTCCCAAGATTTGCTTACATAGAAACATCATAATAAAATCGTTCATTCATAAGCTGTTAGTTTAATCACGATCTGTGGCATTCAATATTCTTGCCCACCTTAATCGAATCTGTTCGGGGACATTTGAATGGAAGTTTCTAAGAARATCCGAAAGCTTTAGTATTGTTCGCTTTACTGTGTAGAAACGACGCTATAATTCCGTTTACTTTAATTTTTCAATAGCTTCAAACATCGATGCCTGTAGAACGCCGCCAAATGCTTCAAGCGCGTCTTACGAAAGAATTGGTGGAATTCATGACAGTAAAGTCTGTTAGTRACGATGAATTACAGGGTCGTATCTCAGGTAGCATGGCCTGGAGAACAATGCGTGGAGAACTGGGACTAGACAAATCAACCAGGGTACGAATTAATATAACATTTGKATATAATGAGCTTGAATGGCTATTCCATATATTACTTGTCCTTCAAAGAGTTGCCAATGTACTTGATTGACAGCTCACGGACGTATGGATGACTCTTAGTGTTTTTCCTRAACTAAGCTCATTCCATTTTGATCATTATTCTTGGAATCAAAAGATTATATTAAAATTTCCGACCGCACTAGCTAGAGCTCTTAGCCGAAAAGTGGTGGTTGGTTATTTGACGTTTTCTTAAAGAGTCCCATGATCGCCCAGTCATAGATGGATTTAGATATAGACAACCATAATTTCCTCGAGTATACCCTGCTCATTAATCCCTCCAATTAATCCTTTTTCACAAGCCCCCAGCACTCTTTCCMATACAATTTCTCCTTTTTATTGTGAAAATCCATGMCTTTCCACCTCTCCCACGGGTTTYCTTTTAATTTTCAACGGAGTCTCAAGTCATCACTCGTCTACACTACAACCTGTGTTAATTGCAGTTTGTTCTGCTGTACTGTAGTTTTCTCCTTACACGTTCAAGCCAACAGAAACGGAAATAACAAACAAAAGGTAAAGTCTGGCCGATGAAAGCGTACTCGTACTCATTGAATAGATAGTCTGTCTATCGACCTTTCTATATTATTTTCTTGCTCATATCGCACTATTATTCTGACGATGTATCAAAAACATTTTCTAATATGACAAATGCTATTTTCCAAAGAATACGTATCCGTTACTGCACATCCTCCGATAGCTACTACCGCTGTGCAGATGACACGATATCCGAGGGCGTCAAAGCTGATTTGATTGGATGGAAAAGCGGTGCGAATGCTGTTAAGTCGATATTCCGAAAGGTTGAAACAGACTGGAAAATGGTAAGCTGTCCATATTGTTTTTTCGTAAGGAGCCCGTTGTGAAACCGTTACCTTTTGAAAAACATTATAGGTGGGCGTACGATGACGTAGTTTTTTTACATCCAAAATAAAAAATTCAAAAAATAATCAATCTGAACTCATATAATTCAAGATTATATTAATGTCAACAAAACCTGAAAATTTTAGGGAAAACGCCTTGTTACATTTCGAGATATCGGCATTTCAAAACTACAAAATTTATAGAAAACATTCAGTGGTTGGCAAAATAATGCCAACCACGGTCATTTCTTTAGAGAATCTTGCAAATTCGGCCCTTGATATCTCTTGAAATATTTAACCAATTGCCTTCAAATTTGCAGGAATTGTTGACAGGTATGAGTTCTTTTAATTTATGGGCTTGATTTTCTTGTGTTCAATTCGATTGCTGACTTTTATGCAAATTAGCTAAAACGTAAACATTGGCGCCTACCTATAGATCTTAAAAAGTGCACTTGAATCGTCTTCCACGTTTGTAAGAGGATTGTCATATGAAGACAGAGCTTTAGCGATTTATTGTGAAATGATTTCATTGTTGAGAATATTCCGATTACTTGCATAAATCGTAGTGAATTCTTAGCAAAAAAATGAAAAAAAATATTAAGCACAAAGTTCGGTCTTGTGT